GCTTATTTGTTGACCAGTATTATTAAACTCCACGATGTTTTTGTTGCCCTGAAAATGGCTCTGTGAAAATGGCTCTCCAAGCATGGGTTATTCTTACTAGCTATTGATACTATATAGTGGCTAATTGATGATTAACTTAAAATAGTTGAATGATAACATTTGAAATCTGAAAAGGGGACAGTTGGAAGGCTTTTGTCCCTACCATAACGTGTTCCTTGTCAGAGGAGAGATGTTCGTCCCAAGCAAGCTAAAGATGATTGATTGATTGATCATCGAATAAGGACCTTACCATTGGCTATCTTTTAACCCAATTTTGACATAATTTGACTTACTTAATATTTTTGTTTCAGGATGAAACTTCAGCAGTAAGAAAGCAACAACACCAACATTGTCCATTCTGGTCGGCGGATCTTGGGGGACTGGCTAAAGAACGGACAATGTGCTCTAAAGAAATTACCATAATGTGACATGTACAATGATTATTACCTTCCATTTTTTGTTTGTTTGTTTTCTTTGAAAACACTTCAAGGCACTGCATTGTGATATCAGTTTAAGTGGGCTTCAAAGTATGGTGAACATGCCACATAGTTTTTTCTTTTTGATACAGAACTCTTTTCTAATCGTAGAAATCTAGATGACAGTCTGCTAAAGAAGAGTTAACTGGAAATTATCATGGCAAAGACGTATACATGTATGTTTAAATGTGCTCTTTTCGTTACAAAATAGTGCAACACTTTTATCATTTTAAATAGGAGTATTGTAGAAGGCACAGTGGCCAAATTGAGAGTGTGCTGAAGTTTGGCTTGAGAGGCCTGGGGTAAAGACCTGGCTGGGTCAGTGCGTTGTTTTTTTGAAGAACATACTTTACTTTCATACTGCCTGTTGCAAGGGAATATTACAGTTCTTTGTGAAATTACAATAGCTCTTGATTTCACTTTTTAAAACAAAGAGGGCAAATTTATTTATTGCTAATGGCTGAGAAAGGGGGCATTTTTCATTGAATTTGGTAGTTGCCCTGGGCAAAAGTCCATAAAATTGATTGTTTCTCATGATGCTTATCAAAAGTAAAATAATTATTTTGTATCTGTCTGTCTTTAAAAGCAACATATCCAAATATTATTTAGCAGGACTGGTTTCATTGCTTTAGCTTTCAGCTGATTGGCAGGTTTTACAGTTCATTAAGGCTGACTGAAAACTGAACTGGCTTCCTGAAAATTGCAAAACAGCACACATTTTGACCTTCCTTATTACCTTTTAAAAATTGTGCCCTTTATAATTTAAACAAACTAGTAATTGCATGTTTCCTCACAAAAATTAAGGATTGATATAAGTGCTTTCAGGAAACCTAATACTTTTTCTTCAAGAGACTAAGCAACTGCATTTGTAACTAAGGGGGAAAGTTTTTTAAGAAACTGTGGTGCTGCGCCAGTGGGAGAGTATAGCTGCATAATTCAGTATCATCACCGAAGTTGATAACATAAATTTGCCACCATAGAGAGTATTGAAACTGACATTTACAGCATTAGCCCTTCACCATTCACTCTGACAAAGGCTTTATGCTTGAAATGTCAGCTTTAAAATTCTTTATGGTGACCAATTTTCTATATCAACTGTCATTGTAACTGCTGAGTCATCAGAATACAAAAAATTCTTGAAAACATTCCAAGCAAACTGCTGGCTGAAGAGCTTGGACAACAAATGAAGATAGCTCCTTCTCTTTTGAATCCTGAACAACAGAAATGATAAGTCTCATACAGCTATTTTCAGTGATTAGTTTACAAAGTAATTGAATGCTAGAGAGTTTTTGGATTGAAAGATTTTGAAATTTAACAAAGATCATCTTTGTGGGTGAGGTTTTGGGAAAAAAAGAAAAATTAAAGAAAAAATAACACTTTCAGACAACTAAAGAGAGAGGCAATTATTTTAATGAGAGGAAACAACAGAGCATTATAGCATTGAACCTCTAATAAAAATGTCAGAGCTTGGGAATGATCCATAATTTACTATGAAACACAGGCTTCCAATTTGGTCACTTTTCCAGCAAATTAACTGGATGTAGTTGCTAAGATATCGTTCTTTCTATCAGCCATGATGGCAAAAATTGTTCAAACTTGGGAGTGTTGCCCTCACAAAGTGTACCTCAGGGAGTCTCCACCCAGGTCTGAGTTGTTCAGAGGTCAATTAGCACTAACCCAACGTTAAATTTTAATCAACTTTTCTTAATTCCTATGTTCAAAAGCCTCTTTAGGACAATTTTCTCTATTCTTTGTAGAGAATCCAAAAATCATATTCTAGACAAACAAATTATACTAAATTTTCTTTCAAAGCTTTCAGATCTGTATTCAGATTTCACATTAATCCTGGGTAATCTATACTCAGCTTTGAACAACCTGGCTCTGGGTTATAAATGGTTGCCAGCAAACTTTCAGGAAATCTGGACAAAAAGCTAATGTCCTCTTGATTAATTGCCCAGCTTCCCATAAAAGAAAGTTAAGAAAGCTCCAAATTATATCTTGCATGAAAAAATATTATAGCTACCACATCAAATCGTTTAGTTCCTTATATCAATTATCTTCCCTCACAACAACTAGTTGTAATCAGCTGCATGTGTTGTCACCTATGCCAGCATGAAAATGATGCAAACTTGAACTCACAAGCCAGCTTTCCCTCTAAAACAAAACTTGAAGGTTATTTCTGATACATTAACCCTTTAACTCCCAAGATCTAATTGTTAATTCTCCCTTCTAGCTTCAACTCATTCCCTTGTAAATTAGTCACAAGAATTTGGTGATAGATCAAGATAATAACTTCTACCCGTCTAAGTTTGAATATTCTCATTACCTGCTTGCTTAATAATGTATGGATATTATAGGGAGAAGTGACATGTTAATCACTTCTGGGAGTTAAAGGTTTAAAAAGAAAGAATAAACAAAACATCAAAACATCATATAGTGCATTATACATAATTCAGGGCGTGAAATTAATTTTTTTTTCTAATAGCCACTTGGCTCCTAAATTTTTCAAAGTGGTAGCCAATGCAAAAAAAGTTGGGCGCCATTTTTAAAGACAAACAAAAACTTTTTTTTTATTTATTTATTTATTTTTTTTAACGCTGTCAGCGTTTTAGATAGACCTCCATAATTAAGTTCTGCAAAGTGGACACTAGGATAGGTGATATACAACGTTCAAGTTCACCTAAATCCAAGATGGCGTCTAATTATCGATCGAGATGCGTGTGCTGCGTTTTGGAAATTAAACAAACTTAACAAGGACGTTTCTCTTTGAAAATCTTTCAAATTCTCTATATCTCTAAGTATGGTTATGATGAAGCATTCTAGTCGCCAATTTGGCGACTAATTTTCAGGATTTGGTCGCCAAAGTAAAAAATGTAGTCGCATTGGCGCCTGTATCAGGCGCAATTTCACGCCCTGTAATTCATTGACATAATAATAAATCCAGTATATTTGGTGGACATATTGCAGACTCTATCATTAATTTCCTATTAAAAGTTCTTCAATCTGGTTTTAATTTCATTACCTTGAATCATGTTGAAATTTTTGTGTCTGGTACTAAACAAAAGTCAAAGTCAACAAATGATCACATTCAGCAATGAACAAAGAATCAAAGAGCAAATTGGCAACTTTGTATCATTTTGAACACATCAACCTGACTGTCACAAACCTTGACATTGATTTTCAATTTTTTATTTCAATTTGAAACACAAAGCCATAAAGAAGACAATAATGTTTTATTCAAGGGATCCAAATTTTTTGAAAGGGCAAAGTCCCAGGTGGGAATTGTTTACCCTTCAGCTTTGGCCTTTGAAACTTCTGGAGATTTTCAAGTACAAGTTCCATTACATAGTCTTGTAATACATAGCACATGTAACTTTGGTGTTCTGTATTTCAATATAGGCTGAGCCCCTAACTTAACTAAATACCCCTGAATGTAAAACTGTAAAATGTAGTAAAAGAGGAACTTAGCATTAATACTAACAGTAAAACTAAATAAAAGTACCTCAATATCAACCAAAACAGACACACTTAATTACACCATTTACTGGTTAAAGTGACTACCATACTAGGCTAGTTGATCTGATCTCCGACTTGGAGCAGTCCTTTCAGAATTTTATGCATTACCAAATTAATTCCTTGGAGTCTGAATAATATCTTTGCGATAACAACTGTTTCCTCAGGCAACTTTTTCACACAGGCGACACAAATCTCTGTTTTAAGTTTCCAATACCTAGTGCTTTGTACAGATGACCACCTTCATGAAACTTCTCCTTCATGAAACTTCCCCATTATATTTTTATGTTTCCTATGAACTACTTAAATTTATCTGTTGCTAGGGTCAACTTACACGAAGTTCGTCTGTTTTCAGGCCATCTAATCGTAAACCATCTTCACTAATCTGAAGTAAGAGACGAAATCATTTAACCAAGGAACACATCGAAAGTTGAAAAAGAAGAGGATTCTATTCCTTTAGCACCAGAGGTTTATCGAATGCTTTTTGTACCGTAAAAATGAATGGTTGGGTGACTTCAGGTCCTGCAATTCTGTTACCAACAGGCGACAGAAACACAACTTTCGCTAGGCGTTCCAATCTTAACGCGAAGGACTGGGCCTGAAGGGTAGTTGGAGAGGGAAGGGTGAGAAGCAATTCTCGGCAATAAAATCAGCAGAAAACCAAAATGAAAAGAGACCGGGACAGCTTTACTTTGACTATCAATTACTCCCTCTGTTTGAGGAAATGTTACAAAATATCGTATCTTAGGTTCACTTGAAAAGTAATGATCTCCTTATTTATTGGTAATCGATTTTTGTGACATTTCACCGAAGGACATCTAATAGATCAGATATATTTTTCAAAGTTAAGTCTTTTAATCACACAAGAACCATAAGGTAATTTAGACGGAAAAGGAAAAGCCATGTGTCAATTCTCGCCCCCTTAACCCCCCAACCCCCTCCTCCCTGGCCGACTTTCGGCAGTAGGAGGAATATGGCGAAGAGACTGGATGAAAGTTCCTGCGTGAACAAAGGGTGTGCATCGAGCGATGAACAAGCGAACAGACGACTTGAAGGAAGATTCTGCAAGCGTCCGCAATAAACAGCAGCAAGTGCAGGTTGGTGGTGAAAGTTAGAAACTACGAAACGAAATTTACTTTAGAATCGTCACTACTTTGTTGTTTTCACTCGTGAGGGAGCTTTCTGAGTTTTCCTTGGGTGACTTCCGCATCAGAAATCTGTTACGTAGGAGTGGATTTGTTTTGCACTCAAAGTTACTGGGTGAATTGCTTCAGATCAGGGGGATACGTTTAGGATATCATATTAGGCATGCAACTAATTACACTCAACGCTGATGGAAAGGGGAAACACTACAAATAGATTTCTGCGATGAGATGGGAAAGTTTGAGTTGTTGTGTATGCATCTTGGCCATAGTTAGTAGAGGATTTAAGTCCCTGCGTTATTTAGTGTTTCAAATCCGTTCTGGTTGAGTTAGTTATCTCTTTATTCGAGTTTACTTCTACTTTAGACCTCATTTAAAAAGTCTATGAGGAAAATGAATTGCTTTCAATACAATCCGTGTCGCAAACTTACAAAGCTAATTTGCTAGATCTCGCGGTTACTTCACTGCGCACCAAGGTTCAATCGCTTGACAAAAATTCAAAGAATTCATCGTCTGTGTCTATTTTCAAGTATTTATTTTATGCGCTAAGCAAAAGTTTTTTTTTTCAATTAAGTAGTCTTAAATGTGCGAGGAACTTATATCCAGATAATGTTAAGCACGCAAGTTGCATATCATCCACTTTTTGCCTTCAGTTCGTACTTTCTAGATAAAAGCTGCGATGCGGTTTATTGGTTTTGAATAAAGAGAAAGAGAAAATAATTACTTCTTTGTTGTCTGCGGTTAATCCTTGACAAAAGCTTACACAAATGAAATTAGCGAAAGGTGCATTGTCTACAGCATCAAAGACGTACAAAAAGGAAAAGTTCTTGTTTTTCGCATGACTCGCAAAATTATGCGGTTCTCATCCATTGCCATTTAGTACATTTACCAGTCACTCTACTCTCGAATAAAACTAATCTGAATGAACTAATTTGAATAAGATGGAAGATAAGATTTTTAGGTTGAGAATGCGATCTATTATTCCCATGAAAATCCGGCTTACATTTCCCCCATTGCACGAACAGGTAAACATATTCACATATTTAGGAAGGCTTACACTAGTCTCACCTGAATGACCAGGTTACATCACAGGACGAAATTGCAAGAATCCGTAAACGGAAACGTGGCAGAAACATGTTAAACCGTTCTGGAAACACGACGGATAACCTGTGTTTCCGTTACCGGTTTCGTGACGTTTTCTCGCGTTTCCGTTGCTGCGTATACAACGGAACCGGACCACTTTTTGTGCATGTTAAACATAACGGAAATATGGAGTTGCATGTTTCCGCCACGTTTCAGAAATACGGAAACATGTGATTTCGTCCTGTGCATGATCAAGAATTGTTTTTCTGTTTGAGGAAAATATTAAATAAAATCAACAGTTACCTTGAGAGGTCACTCTGTTCAATATCATTCTTGTCATGAAAATCATCATCATGTGGTGTTATACATTCTACAGGGGGTTTTTATGTTGACCGAGTCTTAAGTTCTCTGGTAATCTTAGTAGCATATAGTCACCTAGTTTAACAAAACTCACTGCTGCATGCCAAAAGGTAATATTCGTTTGTAAAAAACCGCTATGAAAGCCACCATTGCATGTTTTCTAAACAGAAAAGGTTCGGTTGAACTTGACCGGCACAGATTTCTCACTTAAGCCTAAATTTAAGTTAACTATGCACATGAGCTGCAAATAGCAAATGCTAGTAGAGGCGGCTTGTGTAAATATAATTGACTACATTATTGAATTTTCAAAGTTACGAGGAAACTAGGAAGAAGCACAATCGATCATAATCGAAAGGGCAATGGTAGGTGAATAAAATATATCAGCTGATTAGATAACAAGAAAAGGTACATCAGTGAGAAGGGATAGATAATTGATTACAAGAGTGGCTACAAAATACATCAGATAACTCGATGAATGTTGCGACATTAAACGTTTGAGATTGCTGATTCGAATTCGCAGATGTAAAATCATTTACAATGGCAGAGTAGGCACGTACTAAACCTGATGTCTTTTTTATGCGACAGAACCCAGCTTTGTCGAAAGGAAATGAGTTTGATACCAATCCGTAGTTCTTTGGTTTCATAAAAAAGGCGAAAAATTACCTGTGATAGACAATCGTGTGAGTTTCCCCAATTGTCATATTTTATGACTTGAGACCTTCTTCTAATAGCTGACATGATGATTATCCTTCTTGGCTTTGCTTTTGAGCGACAGTATTATGGTCTTTAAACATGTTATTTACGAATTTATGAAGAATCTTTTTATTACTTTTTACATTTTAGAACAACATTCGGCCACAAACATCCAATCAAGGCACTCTTGCACTGACCGTTTTGTAAGAAGAATACAGTGGAAATTTTGAAGGCAGGGTCTTGTTCTGACAATTAAGCTTCCCTAGAGAATCCATGCCCTAAAGCACCAGGTATGGCAGCTGCCACACCTTCATCACTTGCCAGTTCTGTAGAGAAGACGAATGGAGCCAAGCTCAGCAGACTTCTTATTGATGGCGGTACAGCGGTTTTGAGGAAATGCTTCGATACCTTTCACCCCCCTACCAAACTAGCTGCTGGTCTCAGTTCTCACTACACAACACTGCACACTCTTTTCAAGAAAAAGGTTCTGCGTTTAGCCCAGTGGTACCAACTTTTCCCACCTAGTGGGGATCCACCTGATTCTAAAGAATTTGATATCACTCTCCTGTTTCTCCTTTTGACCAACATGTGTGGCCTCACCCCTCCATCCTTAGGATGGCACGCGATGCCACCTATTAGTGACACCTCTTTCGAGGCTAACCTTGCTCGAGTGAAGTTTTTCCGCAATGAGTTGTATGGCCACGTGTCCACCACTGGCGTTGAAATGTCAGTGTTTTTGTCCCTGTGGCCGAAAATTCGCGCAGTCCTTGTTGATCTTGGGTTTGACCAGGTAGAAATAGATAGATTAGAAGCCGAACATAGTGGAGAGGAAGACTATATTGACTTGTTACGTGAGTGGTCTGAGAGTGAAGAAGATACGTGGTCACAGCTGAGGGATATACGGAATTTCCAGATACAGATGCACGAAGACGTTGCAGATCTACGTCAAAACCAAAAAGAAGACCAGAAAACACTTGAGGATACCAAGTCTAAATTGGAGAAATTGTCCCACTGCCAGGCAAAAACTCTTGAGGCTGTTGAAGAAATGCAAGTAGGTATCGAAGAATTTAAACAGGTAGCTGAGTACGAAAAGAAGAAGAGAGAAGATCATTGGGAAGTTGAGGCCCTTAAAAACCTAGCGAAGGTCGACTTCCGAGGGGATATTGAATATCATGCGCAAAGATTCCAGGAAGGAACCCGTGAGTGGATCTTCCGACAGATGGATGAATGGTTAGACGACAAAAGCTCCGAAAATCGAGTAATGGTCATCAGTGGCAATGCTGGCATGGGAAAGTCAGTTATCTCCGCTGTTGCGTGTAAGAGAATGCAAAAAGCTGGTCGACTGTCAGGGAGCCACTTCTGTCAGCACAACAAAGTGCGCTATCGAAATCCACAGCTGATGCTTCAATCCTTGGCCTGTCATTTGACGCACACCTTACCCGAGTACAAGGAAGCTCTCGTGGAAAAACTATCAAGGAATCTGGGGGTACCACTCAACAGCATGGGTGTCGAAGAGCTCTTTGCTCTGCTTTTGAAGGAACCTCTTAATGCTGTTAAAGATCCAGGAAGAAACATCTTAATGGTAATAGATGGCTTGGACGAAAGTGAATATCAAGGACGCAACGAGCTTCTCGATGTCGTTGGCAAGCATTTTTTTAAGCTCCCAAAATGGATTCGATTTCTCGTGACAGCCCGACCAGAAATAAACATTACGGAGAGCCTGAAGCATCTGCAACCCATACACCTGAACCAAAAACAGGAAGAGAACTTAAGCGACATCAAACGTTTCTTTCAACTACGTCTGGGAAAGCAACTTGAGCAAGAACATAAGAATGTGCTCTTGGACAAACTGGTTCAAAGGACTGAGGGTATTTTCCTATTTGCATATTTTCTTAGTGCTGCACTCGAAGAGAATGCCTCGCCAATTACCGTCGAGGAGGTGGAGAGCAGATTGCCTTCGGGTATTTCATCCGTTTATCTTGATCATTTTAAACGGTTAGAAAAGGAACTTTGCAAAGAGTTAAAGATTGAAGAAGAACAAGTGTTACATTTCCTATGCGCCCTAGCCGCTTCCAGAGAGCCTCTACCATTGGCCTTGGCCTCCAGAATACTACAACCTACTGGGAACTGTTCCACTGCCAGACGAAAGGTAAATGAAATAATCGCCTGTATCTCTTCTCTTTTGCCAATCTGCCACGATCGAGTTCACTTCATCCATAAGTCCGTGAAAGATTGGTTAACAAATACGTCGTCGTATGGTCAGCATGAATTCATCGTGGACGAGAAGGAAGGGCATCAGATCCTCTTCGACCTTTGCACTGCTGAGCTTGACAAAATTAAAGACAAGAAGCTTCTTGATTCCCATTTCAACGACGCTGAACAGTACGCATTGCAACATGGTGTCCAGCATATGACCGAGCTGGATGGACTGGGTGATCATTCAACTACCTACAACGTAGATCACCTGGTAAAATCCTATGTCATAGATTTAGAACTCATTTTTCGCAGACTTTGTGTGAACAGCGTGGTTCCTTCAGATGATCTCCAACGTGTTCAAAGGAACGTCGACCTCGCCTCACTGCAAGAGGGAACTTATTCTTTGTTAAGCTCTCTGTCAAAAGCCCTTCGAAAACATTCCTATCTGTTGAAGGACCACCCACAAGCTTTGTTTCAAATTTTGGTCAACGAGGGCTCCCCCGAGCTATCTCTTGGAGCAGCAGCAATCCTTGAAAACAAGCTTCCTCATGCCTTGTACATGAAATACCTAGACAAAGAAGAAGAACAAGAAGTAGTGCAAGGTCGATTTTATTGTTCAGGTACTGTGGCATGCTTTGATGTTTCACCCGAAATGGATTATATGGTGTGTGAATGCCAAGATGGAACAATTCACCTGTGGTCTCTTCACACAGGGAATGAAGAATGGAAGAGACCATCCTTATTTGCGAAAGAATTCACGGCCTTATCTCGTTGGGGTAGTTCCTCGCACGATGAAGGAGCATATCGTTGGGTGCAATCTGGTTTGACTTTTTATCGATCAGTAGTTTTTGATGCTAGTGGAAAATATGTCTTACCAGGATGCTTGCGAAATGTGTACACCCTAGGTGGAGAGTCCTATGAGCTTTTTCCGAAAAGTGATTGTGTTTTTTCAAATTGTGCGTTTTCTAGAAACAGGAGAAAATTTTTAACTGACAGTAGTAATGATCCCAAAAAAATCTCTCTGTGGAACATAGACGATGGCGCCGAATTATGCTGCATGCTTTTGGATGAAAACGTTGCATGTCTCGCTATTTCCCCAGATGGGTCAGTCCTCACAGCTGCAGATATTACTGGACGCGTGTACATTCGTCATTGCGACACATTGCAAGGATGGAAGTTCAAATATGTTCCATGTGGACTAATGCACCTTGCCTTCGATGGTAATTACATATTCGCTTTTGGTTCTCTAGGTTTTGTGCTCGCAGAAATTGGATCTCATATTTCATACGCTTGGGTTTGGAATGGCGAACATGATTACCAACTGTTCTCCCTCAGAAGTGAAGATCAACTCTCTTCCTCGACAGGTGTCTCATCGCTCTCATTTCAGCGAGGCAAATTTCTGTTATGGCCAAGTGATTCAAGTACTTTAGATTTAACTGATTTTTACGAGGAAAATGCGGGGACTTGTCTGGTACAGAGTGTAAGCCGTATTTTTCCAGATTTAAAAGCAGGATTTTACACAAGGCTATCAGACAATTCAATACTGGCGGGTAGCCCATCTTTCAACTACGTCGCCTTGGTGGACGTCAGTCATCCAGATTGTTCCTTTAAAAGCCCAGCAGTCAATGAGGTGATGCTTTCACCTGAGGGAGATACTCTGTACTCCATTTGTTCGGATGAGAGGTCTTGTGAAGTGACCGTTTTAAGATTGTCGAATCGAGAAATTTTGATGCCGAAGAGGTCTTTTGCTTTTCCGTCTCTATTTTTTGTGCCTATGAAGGAAGGTGTTTTACTATGTATGGGGAATGGAGTACCAGAGCTGTGGAATTTCGAATTAACGAGATGCATACGACCTCTTTCCAAACTGAGTGGTTATGAAAAGCTTACTCTTATATCACAGGAACTGATAGCCTGTCAAAGTCAAGACCATTCATTTGAAGGAACAGATATACCGGATGTGGTAGTTTATTATCCACCAGAGGAGACAACATTTTTTTTAATGTCATTAAAAGGGTCATCTAATCCAGTTAAATTATATCTGAGAGGCTCAACCACCTTTAAATTGCTCAAAGTAGACATCTTCAACGTCACCAGTGGGGAGTTTATTTATTCTGGGAAAACAAAAGTTATTTGCGAAGAAAATATTGAATTTGTTTACTTCAATGTTCGGGGTGACTTTCTTGTCTGCACTTGTGAGGAAATAGACGATGACTTGTTTGACATAACAGAGTTGAAAATTTGGTTGAGAAAGAACGACTCCCAGAAAAATTCGTGGGAAAGAAAGAGTAGAAAGTATTTTGAAGAACCGTTTTGGCCCCGGCTTATTATTTCGCCCAAAGAAGAGTTTGTTGTGACTTGGGGTTCCCTCGATGCAGGTCGTGGATTACATATCCTCGATGCCAGATGCGGTGAAACGAGGCACAATTTGCTGAAAAACCGCGTTGACATCGTCGACTGCAAATTTGCTTGTGACGACGAGTCTTTGCTTTGCTGCACTAGCGACAACTTCCTTCGATTGTTTCAAGTAAGAACCGGTGACTTGCTCTGCGTGCTCGACATAAAGGAGAGACCGTTCAGTTTGGGGGTCTGCGCACGTGAAGATCTAATAGCCGTTGGTTTGTCGTCGGGTAGATTAAAATTCATCCGCGTGGAGCTACCGAGGAGAAAAGAATCAGAACGTAAAGGTATAACAGTAATGGATCTATAGACGTTCGCTTTTAGTCTGTTATTATTCACTTAAGTTAATAATGATGATACAAATCATAATTAAACAAGACAGTTGATTTTCAAAGCCACTGAAGTACTTATTCACACTGTTTCATTCAATAATTTTGGTTTACACTGCTTGTTCATTTCTTAAGACGCAATAAGAAGAGAAAGGATGAGTTAACCTTTTACATTCTAACATCAGTATGCATATTCTCCATACTTTTATTTATACATTTCCTTAGGTGCTGACAAAGAGAGTTTGTCTAACAATCAAAAGCTTCTTTTGGTGGTGATCATTTCCTTCATTCTCCTGACCTTAACGTGTGGTTCAGGGTTGATATTGTAGGGAGAAATTTAATGCTGGTCACTCCTAGGGTTTAAAGGCTTATGGACGGGTTTTTGTTAACTTATCCTTTTTAGAGAACTAAGCTGATATTCAAACGTCCTTCAATGAATAAAATTTTGTGGCCATTGAGATGTATTTCGGAACTCTGCACCAATTCACTTTGAAGTTAACATGTCTGTTAATCACTTGCAGGCTCACTGACCAAAACCAAATGGAAGTGAATGGAAGAATCTTAAAGCATTTTTGCTGCTCTCGAGAATCGTCACGTAACATTGAAACAACTCTCAAAAAGGAATCCACAGAACGATATTGACTGTACGTCGATGAGTACAATGACATCAGGACTCCTCCGACGCCTTCTTCACCTTAAGAATCCAACATTCGAGACCTCATACGTTTGCTCGGGTTTGCATTTTTTTTTCTTTTTGTTATGAGGATTTCAGTTTAGCTTGCACTGAAGAAATTCGATAAATTCAGTTTGAGCTGAAGAATTCAAACATCTCAATCGACGTAGAAGAGAAAATGCACCAGCGGGGCTTCAAATGTTGTCGTTTTTGGCTAATAGCTTGAGGGCAATTAAACACGTGACTTGTTTTCAAGTGCGGCTTGTTTTCTTCCTCTCAACTTTAACTCTTCATTCATACTCGAAGTATGATTGTCTTTTGAATTTATTGTCGCGAGAAAATGTCATGCAATGTTTTGGTCTGGACATTGCATTATAGAACGCTGATAGACAGGAGAAAAAAGTGTCCCAAGCACTCTAGTGAAACCTTTTAGCTCGGAATCTTTGCAGGGCATCAACTGTTCATGCTTCTCTTCACCCGAATCTCCCCCCAACCCTCCTCCCGTAACCCAGCTAAAGATAAAAACATACTAAAAAAAGACACTCATACGCTTAAGAAGTCTTGCGGTTAACTGAGGCAGACTGATCCTTTGTTTTTCTCTGGAGTGCATCGGCGTAAAAATGAACTAAAGTCAGTCATTCATGTAATTTGCTGCTATACACATTTTTACAAAACAAATAAAGAGCACGGCAGCTCTTGTTTTCAATATTTTAAACTGATCGTACCACTGAGCACTGATGATTGAAGAGGAGATTGAGACAAACTGAAAAATATCTATCGGCGAACACAGGTAATACCAGAATTCCTATCAAGATTTTTTTTTCTGGGTGTGAATGCTCCCGCTCTCAACGCGTGAATGCGCAGTCTCGTTTGAAAAATAATCGACCGCTTTACATTGACGAAACATCTCTATCCCACACCCTTTACTTGTCAATGATTTTGCCAGATTATTTGTGAGCGTTGAGGAAAAAAGGTTAGGGTCTGCGTGGAGCTTTTAATTTTGACAAGGCACACAGCGTAAGCTGGAGGTCGTTCAAATGAATAGCAATCGTAGATCAATCGTGCGATCTTTCTCGAAACTGTGCTCGGCCATTAACTACTGCATCAATTTCTAAACACAATTTTGAAATTCCGGTGCACAACTATGTTGTAAAGAATGAGCATATCGTACTTTTAATGATAATGAAACTTTTAATGCCACTCTGTAATAGAATAGAAAGCACAAATTCTAAAGCTATTTCTTAACATTTCTGAAATTATCATGATGATGCGTCTGGTTGCAGTAAATACTACTGTTAATTCCTATTTCAATTCAATGAATGCCGAATAACTTCAAACTCTGTATTGGCGCTTAAGATGTGATAATGAAATTCTTTCTGCGGTAAATTTCCCCTCAGTCTCCCAACCAATGAAGTTCGTGATTAAGTCTTACCGTGCACATTTATCGTAATGTATTTCATACTTTTATCAAGATAAAATGTTGGTTGAAACTTTGCACTAACGTTTTGAATTCAAGGGTAATTTAACCATGCCTCAGGTATTAGTCTCTTAGCGTGAAACCGAACCGTCAATCATTTCTGTTCAATTTAGCTGGATCAAATTATGCAAATAACTAGTATGTCTAAAAGATAGTAATGTTGCGGCACGTCCTGTTCATAGTTAGTTTCCAAAACTAAGATTTAAGAGTACCCTTCTCACCTCGAACGATATTCTGTCCGAGCACTGGATTCCGGGTATAGTTTACTGCATACCAAGACGATTTTTTTAAAATTTTATTTTCATGGGGTGGGTTGTGATTAATGTTAAAAAACTCAGATTGGTCTAAAGTATTTGTTTCGATGGCCTGTTTTCTTATATAATGATGCGCCAACAGTGTCTAAGGATGCACAAACTTCTTTTCTGCTCTATCATTATCTGAACTTATCATCATTATCATCTGAACTTATGTCTGATAACGTTAAGCACACAAGTTGTAAATTATACGCTTTTTTGCCTTCGTACCTTCTAGATAAAAGCAGTGATGCGGTTTACTGGTTTTAAATAAGGAGAGAGAGAAAATAATTACTTCTTTGTTGTCTGTTGTTAATCACATCACAAAAGCCTACACAAACTAAATTAGCGAAAGATGCATTCTCTACAGCATCAAAGACGTACGAAAAGAAAAGTTCTTATTTTTCGCGTGACTCAAAAAATTATGTAGTTCTCGCCACTGTCATTCAGTATATTTACAAGTTAATATATTCTCGAATAACTGATCAAAATGAACTCATTTGAATAAGCTTATTGCGCAATATAAACATGTTTACATATCATGGAAGGCCAGCTCTATTCTCACCCGAACAATGAGGCGACATGATCAAGAATTGTTTTTGTGTTTGAAGAAAATTTTAAATAGAATCAATAGTTACTCTGTGAGGTCACTCTGTTCAACAGCATTCTTGTCATGAAAAGTATCATCGTGTGGTGTTATATATTGCGTAGGGGATTTTTATGTTAACCAAGTCTCGAGTTTTCTGGTGATCTTAGTATCATATAGTCATCTACTTGAACTTGACTGGCACAGATTCTTCACTCATGCCCTTATTCAGGTTAACTATTCACATACGATGCAAATAGCAAACGCTGATCGAGGCGGCTTGTGTAAATATAATTGACTAGATTATTGAATTTTCAAAGTAACGAGAAAACTAGGGAGAAGTACAATCGATAACACTTGAAAGGGTAGTGGTGAATGAAATATATCTGCTGACTGCATAACAAAAAAGGGTGTATTGGTAAGAAGGGAAAGATAATTGATTACAAGATTGGCTAGAAATACGTCAGATAACTAGATGAAAGTAGCGACATGAAACGTTTAAGATTGCTGTTTCAAATTCGCAGATGTAAAATCATTAACAGCGGCAGAGTAGGCACGTACTAAACCCAGTCTCTTTTTTTATGCTAGAGAACAACCCCCTTGAAGGAAATGAGTTTGATACCAATCCGTAGAGCTTCTTTGGTTTCAGAAAAAAAAGGCCAAAAATTACCTGTGATAGACAATCGTATGAATTTTCCCTGTTTATGACTACAGACCTTCTTTTATAATAGAGGATATGATAATTATCCTTTAATTTGCAAGCAAACTAGCCTTCTTGGCTTTGCTTTTGAGCGATAATGTTAAGGTCTTAAAACATGTTATCTATTAATTTATGAAGCATCTTTTCATTACTTTCACACAGGTACAGGTTATTTTAGAACATCATTTGACTACAAATATCCAATAAAGGCACTCTTACAACGACTGTTTCATAAGAAGAACACAGTGGAGATGTTGAGGACCGAGTCTTATTCTGACGAGTAAGCTTCGCTAAAGAATCCACGCCCTAAAGCGCCAGGTATGGCAGCTGCCACACCTTCATCACTTGCCAGTTCTGTAGAAAAGACGAATGGAGCTAAGCTCTGCAGACTTCTCATTGATGGTGGTACAGCGGTTTTGAGGAAATGGTTCAATACCTTTCACCCCCCCGGCAAACTAGCTGCTGGTCTCAGCTCTCACTACGCAACACTGCACACTCTTTTCAAGAAAAAGGTTCTGCGTTTAGCCCAGTGGGACCAACTTTTCCCACCTAATGGGGATCCACCTGATTCCAAAGAATTTGATATCACTCTTTTGTTTCTCCTTTTTTTCTCCTCTCCACATGTGTGGCTTCACCCCTCCCTCGTCAGGATGGCACGCGATGCCACCTGTTGGTGACACCTCTTTCGAGGCTAACCTTGCTCGAGTGAAGTTTTTCCGCAATGAGCTGTATGGCCACGTGTCGACCACTGGTGTTGAAATGTCAGTGTTTTTGTCTCTGTGACAGGAAATTAGCGCAGTCCTTGTTGATCTTGGGTTTGACCAGGTAGAAATAGATAGATTAGAAGCGGAACATAGTGGAGAGGAGGACTGTATGGACTTGTTACGTGAGTGGTCTGAAAGTGAAGAAGATACGTGGTCACAGCTGAGGGATATACGGAATTTCCAGATACAGATGCATGAAGACGTTGCAGATCTGCGTCAAAACCAAATAGAAGACCAGAAAATACTTGAGGATACCAAGTTTAGGTTGGAGAAATTGTCCCAATGCCAGGCAAAAACTCTTGAGGCTGTTGAAGAAATGCAAGTAGGTATCGAAGAATTTAAACAGGTAGCTGAGTACGAAAAGAAGAAGAGAGAAGTTCATTGGGAAGCTGAGGCCCTTAAAAACCTAGCGAAGGTTGACTTCCGGGGGGACATTGAATATCATGCGCAAAGATTCCAGGAAGGAACCCGTGAGTGGATTTTCCAAAAGATTGATGAATGGTCAGACGACAAAAGCTCCGAAAATCGAGTAATGGTCATCAGTTGTAATGCTGGCATGGGAAAGTCAGTTATCTCCGCTGTTGCGTGTAAGAGAATGCAAGAAGCTGGTCGACTGTCAGGAAGCCACTTCTGTCAGCACAACAACGTGCGCTATCGAAATCCGCAGCTGATGCTTCAATCCTTGGCCTGTCATTTGACTCACACCTTACCCGAGTACAAGGAAGCTCTCGTGGAAAAACTATCACGGAATCTGGGGGCACCACTCAACAGCATGGGTGTCGAAGCGCTCTTTGCTCTGCTTTTGAAGGAACCTCTTAATGCTGTTAAAGATCCTGGAAGAAACATCTTGATGGTGATAGATGGCTTGGACGAAAGTGAATATCAAGGACGCAATGAGCTTCTCGATGTCATTGGTAAGCATTTTTTTAAGCTCCCAAAATGGATTCGATTTCTCGTGACAGCCCGACCAGAAATAAACATTACGGAGAGCCTGAAGCATCTGCAACCCATACACCTTAACCAAAAACAGGAAGAGAACTTAAGCGACATTAAGCGCTTCTTTGAACTACGTCTGGGAAACCAACTTGAGCAAGAACGTGAGAATGTGCTCTTGGACAAACTGGTTGAAAGGACCGAAAGTATTTTCCTGTTTGCATATTTTCTTAGTGCTGTACTCGAAGAGAATGCCTCCCAATTACTCTCGAGGAGGTGGAGAGCAGATTGCCTTCGGGTATTTCATCGGTTTATCTCGATCATTTTAAACGGTTAGAAAAGGAACTTTGCAAAGAGTTAAAGATTGAAGAAGAACAAGTGTTACGTTTCCTATGCGCCCTAACCGCTTCCAGAGAGCCCCTGCCGTTGGCCTTTGCCTCCAGAACATTACAACCTTCTGGGAACTGTTCCACTGCCAGGCGAAAAGTAAATAAAATAATCGCCTGTATCTCTTCTCTTTTGGCCAATCTGCCACAATCGAGTTCACTTCATCCATAAGTCTGTGAAAGATTAGTTAACAAATACGTCGTCGTATGGTCAGCATGAATTCATCGTGGACGAGAAAGAGGGGCATAAGATCCTCTTTGACCTTTGCACTGCTGAGCTTGACAAAATTAAAGACAAGAAGCTTCTTGATTCCCAGTTCAACGACGCTGAACAGTACGCATTGCAACATGGTGTCCAGCATATGACGGAGCTGGATGGACTGGGTGATCATTCAACAAACTACATCGTAGATCACCTGGTAAATTCCTACGTCATAGATTTAGAACTCATTTTTTGTAGACTTTGTGTGAACAGCGTGGTTCCTTCAGATGATCTCCAAAGTGTTCAAAGGAACGTCAACGTTGCTTTAATGCAAGAGGGAACTTATTCTCTGTTACGCCATCTTTCAAAAGCCCTTCGAAAACATTCCTATCTGTTGAAGGACCACCCACAAGCTTTGTTTCAAAGTCTGGTCAACGAAGGCTCCCCCGAGCTATCCCTTAGAGCAGCAACAATCCTTGAAAACAAGCTTCCTCATGCCTCTTACATGAAATGCTTAGACAAAGACGAAGAACAAGGAGTAGTGAAAGGTCGATTTTACTGTTCAGATACCGTAGCATGCTTCGATGTTTCACCTGGAATGGATTATATGGTGTGCGAATGCCGAGACGGAACAATTCATCTCTGGTCTCTTCAGACAGGGAATGAAGAATGGAAGCGACCTTCCCTAATTGCGAAAGAATTTCAGAGCTCATCGCGTTGGGAAAGTCTATTACAGGATGAAGGAACATATCGTGGGGTGCAATATGGTTTGTCTTTTTATCGCTCAGTAGTTTTTGATGCAAGTGGGAAATATGTCCTACCGGGATGCCTGCGAAATGTTTATACTCTCGATGGAGAATCATATGAGCGTTTTCCAAAAAGCGATTGCGTTTTTTCAAATTGTGCGTTTTCTGGAGACAGAAGAACAATTTTAACTGACTGTGGTGATGATCCAAAGAAACTCTCCTTGTGGAGCATGGAAGATGGCATGAAGCTATGGTGCATATCTTTGCAAGAAAACATTGCATCTTTTTCTATTTCCCAAGATGGATCACTCGTCGCAGTTGCAGATAATCCTGGGTCTGTGTTTATTATTGATTTGGAAACAAGGCAAGAACGATGCTTGTGGAAGATCAATTATTCCCCTTGTGGACTGATCCACCTCGCCTTCAATGTTAAGTTCACCTTTGCCTGTGGTTATCTAGGTTTCATGTCCGAGCAGTTTGGATGCAATAACTACAGCTGGGTGTGGAATTATGGGAATGAGTACCAAACATGTTCATTCCATAAGGAAGATCTATTCTCTTCCTCAGAAGGCGTCTCACCGCCGTTGTTTCAGAAAGGCAATTTTTTTTTATGGCCCATTGATTCAAGCACTTTGGACTTAGATGATTTTTACCAGCAAAATAGAGGGAATTGTCTGGTGCAGAGTGTAAGCCGTGTTTTTCCAGATTTAAGAGCAGGGTTTTACACGAGGTTATCAGACAATTCAATACTGGCCAGTAGCCCATCTTTCAACTACGTTGCGTTGGTAGACGTGAGTCATCGAGATTGTTCTTCTGAAAGCTCAGCAATCAATGAGGTGATGCTTTCACCTGAGGGAGATACTCTGTATTCCATTTGTTCGGATAACAGTTCTTCTGAAGTGACCGTTTTAAGATTGTCGAATCAAGAAATTTTAACGCCGAAGAAGTCTTTCGAATTTCCGTCTCCGTTTCTTCTCCCTGTGAAGAAAGGCGTTGTACTTAGTATGGGGAATGGAGTGCCAGAGCTGTGGAATTTTGAATTGACCAGACGTATTCGACCTCTTCCCAAATTGAGTGGCTATGAAAGACTTTCTCTTATAACAAATGAACTCATAGCCTGTCAAAGGCAAAGCCGTTATTTAACATCTGAAGGAACAGATCTGCCGGAAGTGGTAGTTTCATATTCACCAGACCCATATGATTTTTCACTGATGGAACTGAGCTATCGTCTTTTAAGCCCTATCGCCTTTAAGATGCTTGAAGTAGACATCTTAAACGTTGCCAGTGAGGAGTTTATCTATTCTTGGAAAACAAAGGTTTTTTACGACGCCAGAATTGAATTTGTTTACTGCAATGTTCGGGGTGAATTTCTCGTCTGTAGTTGCGAGGAAACAGTCGATGGCCTTCTTGCCATAGAAGAGTTGACATTATGGTTGAGAAAGAAAAACTCCCACAAAAATTTGTGGGAAAGGAAGAGTAAAAAGTATCATGGAGAATCTTTTTCGCCCAGGTTAATTTTATCGCCCAAAGAAGAGTTTGTTGTGACTTGGGATTCCCTCAATGCAGGTTATGGATTACATATCCTTGATGCCAGATGCGGTGAAACGAGGCACAATCTGCTTAAAAACCACGATGACATTGTTGACTGCAAATTTGCTTGTGACGGTGAGTCTTTGCTTTGCTGCACTAGCGACAACTTCCTTCGATTGTTTCAAATAAGAACCGGTGACCTGCTCTGCATACTCGACATAGAGGAAAGACCGTTCAGTTTGGGGGCCTCCGCACGTGAGGATCTTGTAGCCGTTGGTTTGTTGTTGGGTAGATTGAAATTTATCCATGTGGAGCTACCAAGAAGAAAAGAATCAGAACGTGAAGGTATAACAGTAATGGATCTACAGGCGTTCGCTTTTAGTCTGTTGTTATTCACTATATATATACAGTTAATAATGACGGTACAAATCATAATTAAATAAGATAGTTGATTTTATTAGCCCTTACTTATTCAGACTGTTTTATTCAATAATTTTCTTAGCTTAGTTGAATCAATGGATTTATCTTTTTTATTGTAATTATTTTAGAGTCCACTGGTGGTTTACAATAGGAAGGGAAAGGATAAGTTTAGGCCGGGTTTTGTTAACTTATGTTTTTCAGAAAACTAGGCTGAAATTCAAACGTCCTTCAATTAATAAAATTTTGTGGCCATCGAGATGTATTTCGGAACTCTGCACCAATTCACTTTGAAGTTAACATGTCTGTTTATTACTTGCAGGCTCACTGACCAAAACCAAATGGAAGTGAATGGAAGAATCTTAGAGCATTCTTGCTGCTCTCGAGAATCGTCTCGTAACATTGAAACAACTCTCAAAAAGGAATCCACAAAACGTTTATGACTGTACGTCGATCAGTACAATGGACTTCTCCTCCGACGCCTTCTTCACCTTAAGAATCCAACATTCGAGACTTGATACGTTTGCTCGGTTTGCATTTTTTTCGTTTTTGTTTGTAGGATTTTAGTTTAGATTGTACTAAAGAAATCCGAGAACTTTTTCGTTGTAAAATAGAAACCTTCGCCTTCGCCTGCCACAAGTTGAGCTGAGAAAATCAAACATCTAAAGCGACGCAGAAGTGAAAATGCAGCAGCGGGGCTTCATTTTTGCTTTAATGTTGTTGTGTTAGGCTAAAATTTTGAGGGCAATTAAACGCGTGAATTAGCAAATGTGACTTGTTTTCTTTTCTTAACTTTAACTTTTCATTCACACTTGAAGTATGATTGTCTTTCGAATTCAGTGTAACGAAAGTGTCTTGCAATGGTATGGTCTAGACATTGCATTATACAACGCCGGCAGATGGGAGAAAAAAGTATCCCATGCACTGTAATGGAACCTTTTTGCTTCTTGCATGGCTTAGGAATATGGAGACGTACAGGTTTTCTTGCAACCTTTACTTTCCTTGACGCACTATGGTTAATATTTACCGGTGTGAGGGCATCAACTCCTCTGTTCATGTGTCTCTCCACCCCAATCTCCCCCCAAACCCTTCCCCCTCCCCCCTGACCTACTAAACAAAGACACACATCCTTTAGAAGTCTTGCGGTTAACCGCAGCAGACTAATCTTTTGTTTCTCACTGGTGTGCATCGGCATAAAAGTGAGCGAAAGTCAGTCATTCATGTCATTTGCTGCTAAGCACATTTTTAAAATGCAAATAAGAGCACGAAATGTCTTGTTTTCAATATTTTAAACTGATTGTACAAGCTGAGCACTGATGATTGAAGAGGAGGTTGAGACAAACTATAAAAATATCTATCGGCGAACAACGGTAATATCAGAATTCCTATTAATTTTTTTTTCAGGGCGCAAATACTCCTGCTCTCAATGCGCGAATGCGCAGTTTCGTTGGTAAGATAATCGATCGCGTAGCATTGACGAAACATCCCTATCCCACAACCTTTACTCGTCAATGACTTTGCGAGATCAATTAAGAGTGTTGAGGAAAAAGGTTAGATTCTGAGTGAAGCTTTTAATATCAACAATTCATACAGCGTAAGCTGGAAGGCGTTCAGGTGAATAGAAGCTCCAAGGACAGCAATCGTATATTAATGATGCGATGATTCTCGAAACTATTCTCGGCCATTAACTTCTACGCCAATTTTCAAACACAATTTTGAAATTCCAGAGGACAATTATGTTGTGAAGAATGAGCATGCCGTACTTTTAATGAATAGGCCACTCTGATATAGAAGAGAGAGCACAAATTTGATAGCAATTTCCTAACATTTCTGAAATATTGATGCGTCTGCTTGTAGTAAATACTGCTGTTAATTCAGTCGCTAACATGACCTACAAATCAGGTGAAATTATTTCCCATACCCAGCAAAATAGACTATATTGATGCTCCTATCATAAGAATTTATATGAAAGTAATATCAGCAAAATTGGACTTTGTCGCATGTTCAAGTTTCTGTTTCAATTCAATGAATGCCGAGTAACCTCAAACCCTGTAGTAGCGCTTAAGAAGTGATAATGAAATTCTTTCTGCGGTAAATTACTCATCAGTCACCCAACGAATAAATTTCTTGATTTAGTCTTACCGTACACATTTATCGTAATGTATTTCATGCTTTTATGAACGTAAAATGTTGGTAGAGACTTTGCACCAACATTTTGAATGCAAAGGTAATTAAACCATGCCTCAGGTATTAGTCTCTCAGCGTGAAACCGAACTGTCAATCATTTCCGTTCAATTTAGCTGGATCAAATTATGCAAATAGAAACTACTTCCTACGACTCTGAAATTGCTGTGGACAATGGAGTCGAACTGAAGTACCCATTCTTAGGCCGTGTAAAACCAGCTACCGGCGTTGAGTATATACAGTTGAGTACACGTACAATTTAAAAATAATCTGAAAATTAAATAATTTTCGTAATACGACTATAAAATCATTCTACTTTCGATAAAACCAAAAGGATCAAAATAAAAACAGCAGAGCTGTGTATTTCAATAGAGATATGTCAGTTTAAGACTTTGTTGTTATCTGGGTTTCGTATCATTTTAGGATTGAAAATAGCATCTGCACCAGTAATGGCGACTTCTGCATCCGCACCACTAGCAAGTTCTGTGGAGAAGACAAATGGCGCCAAACTAAGCAGACTTCTTATTGATGGCGGAACAACGGTTCTAAGGAACATTTTTGATCATTATCACGCCCCTGCAAACCTTGTTACTGATCTCAATTCTCACCGTAAAACTCTTCGTTCTCTCTTGCGAGGAAGAATCCTAAAAAAGCCGCAATGGGACTTACTGTTCCCACCGTCTGGGGTTGCCCCAGACTCCAAATCATTTGACATCACATTGTTGTTTCTCCTTCTTACCAACATTTGTGGCCTATCTTGTCCATCCTCAGGATGGCATTCTAAGCCACACGCGAGTGATAACTCCTTTGAAGCAAACCTTGCTCGCATCAAGTTTTATCGCAATGAGTTGTATGGCCATGTCACAACCACTAGTGTTGACGAGTCAACTTTTAACAATCTTTGGCAGGAGATAAGTTCTGTTCTCGTTGCTCTTGGACTGGATAAAGCGGAGATAGATAGATTGAAAGATGAACACTGTGGGGAGGAAGACTACATTGATGCACTTCTCGATTGGGCTAGCAGTGAGGAGGATATCAAATCACATCTAAGAGACATCAGACGTAACCAGGCCGAAAACCGAGAAATCGTTTCTAAGGTGCTTCAGACCCAACACGATTGTGGCAAAGTTCTTGAGGAAAACAAGTCAAAACTAGAAGAACTAGCAGAAAACCAAGCTACAACTCGGGAAGTTGTTCAAGAACAACATGAAACACTGAAAACAGATTTTCAAGAAGTCAAGCGCGAAATCGAGCAGTTGAAGAAAAAACAAGAGAGAGAAAGATCGGATAAAATTCTCAAGAATCTGATGCAAGCGGAGTTTAAAGGAGACATCGAACATCACGTTAAAAGATTCCAAGAAGGTACACGGGAGTGGATCTTCAAAAAAGTTGAAGACTGGCTGAATGACAGGAATTCCCCAAACCGTGTAATGGTCATTAGTGGAAATGCAGGAATGGGAAAGTCAGTTATTTCTGCTATCATTTGCAAAAGAATTCAAGAAGCAGGACGTTTGTCGGGAAGCCACTTCTGTCAGCATAACAATGCACGGTATAGCAAACCTCAACTTATGCTTCAGTCCTTGGCTATTCACTTGTCTCGAACTCTACCAGAATACAAGAGAGCTCTCGTGGAACAGCTATCAAGGAATCTGGGGTTGGAACTCAATAGCATGGGTGTTGAAGAGTTGTTTACTTTGCTTTTCATGGAGCCTCTAACTAAAGTTAGCAACCCTGGCGAAAGCCTCTTGATGGTGGTCGATGGCCTGGATGAAAGTGAATACAAGGGGCGCAATGACCTTCTCAACGTGGTTGCCAACCAGTTTTGTAAGCTTCCAGAATGGATTCGACTTTTAGTGACGACGCGACCAGAGATAAACATTGCTGACAGCCTTAAGCGTTTAAAGCCCATTATACTCGAGGAAAACAAAGAGGAGAACGTAAGGGACATTAAGCTGTTCTTTGAGATGCGTCTGAGCCATCAAATGAAGGAAACACAGAAGAGCTCTATTTTGGAGAATCTGGTCAAAAAATCCGAGGGTGTGTTCCTTTATGCTTATTATCTCATCGATTTTATCGAAGAGAATGTGCCGTTTCTCACACTTGAGCACCTGGAAGGAGGCTTGCCGCTGGGAATTTCATCTGTTTATCAATGTCATTTTAAACGGTTAGAAAAGGAACTTTGTGAAGAGTTAAAGATAGAAGAAGAGCAGGTGTTTCGCTTTCTTTCTGCCTTGACAGCCTCTCGTGAGCCATTGCCTATAGCTTTCGTTTCGAATATGTTCGATTCGGATGGAAAATCCTTCACAGCTCACCGTACAATAAAGAAGGCGATCGCTTGTATCTCTACACTTTTGCCTTTACGCAATGATCGTCTTCACTTTTTCCACAAGTCGGTGAAAGACTGGTTGTCTGGTTCTTCTGTCTATGGTGACCATGAGTTTATCCTAGATGAAAAGAAAGGACACGAAATTCTCTTCAACCTATGCAAGATTGAGCTTGAAAACGTAAAGAGAAGGAGCATTCACAATTGCACTTTCAGTGACACTGAAACATACGCATTACAGCATGGTGTCCAGCACATGATTGAAGTGGATTCATTTATCAGAGACCCAGTAACTACTGGGGTTGATGGTCTTATCGAGGCTTTCGTAACAGATTTGAAACTCGTTTACGCTAAACTTTGTGTGAATAGCAACTGCCCCTCGGAGGATCTCTACAATGTGCAAAAACACGTTCGACCCGCTCTGTCACATGAAGAAGTTTGTTCCAACTTGGACCTTCTTCAGGATGTTCTTAGAAAGCATTCTTTTCTTTTAAGAGACCATCCTCTGCTGTTTTTTCAAAGTTTGGTCAACGAAGGCCTACCTGAACTGTCTTCCATAGCCGCGTCGATCCTTGACAATGATCTTTCTCATGTGTCATACCTTAAGTACGTGCACACAGGAGAAGGAAATGGTGCTGTCAAAGCTCGTTTTTACGGTTCTCATCGGGTGGCATGTTTTGATGTTTCACCTGACATGAACTTCATGGTCTGTGAATGCCGAGATGGAACAGTCCATTTGTGGTCTCTTAAAACAGGGAACATTCAATGGAAAAGACCTTCTTTTATCACAAGACAATATGTGGGGGTTCATCCTTATGGCGTGTTTAGTGATTTGGGTGCTTATCGTCCAATTGGTGGTTACGTCTTGACTTTTTACAACTCCGTGATCTTTCATCCAAATGGAAAATATGTCCTACCGGGGAACCTCAGGAACGTTTACACTTTGAGTGGAGACTGTGTAGAGCTTTTCATCGACAGTGAGTGCAAATTCGCTCACTGCGTATTCCCCAAGGATAAGAAAGCAATGTTAACCGACCGTTTTGATAATCCCAAACAACTATCTTTGTGGAGTATGGAGGATGGGACAGAACTGAACCGTTTTACGTGTGAAGAAACCATTTCAGCTTTTACGATTTCCGAAGATGGCTCAAAAATCGCTTTTGCCGACTTAACAGGTTCTATCTACTTGCAGCAAATAGGTAGATGGAATGCACCTGTTTTGCACAAGCGCATTAGCAAGGCTTGTGCATTAATGCATTTCAGCCCAGATGGCGAGGTTCTTTGTTGTGGCCACCTTCCATGTGAGATAGAACATGTTGGAATGAATAATTACGGCTGGACGTTTGATCATCACCGGAAATTCACATTTTGCAATTTGACAAATCTTGCTGCCCTTTGTTCATCAGGTGAAATTCTCTTGTGGCCAATTCAGTCAGGAAATTCGGTACTCGACTACTTTTCCAACTGGGTTGATGATATACGTGGTGTTTTTCCATGCTTCTCTGCAGGATTCTTCAAGAAGCTGGACAGTACAACAGTATTGACGGGTGGTCCATCCTTTAACTACATCGTCGCAGTCAATGTTGATGTTCTAAGTGCAACCAGTTCTGCCCCAACTAAAATGAAGGTCAGAGAAATTGTAATGTCTGTGGAGGGAGACGCTATATATTCTATTAGCTCAAGTGATGATGATTACAATGCTAGCGAGGTAGTAGTGACTGTTGTAAGAATGTCGAGTAAAGAAATTTTAACGAAAAAAACTTTCACCTGTGGATGTGTGTCTCTTTTACCTACCAAGTCAGGTATTATCCTGTCTGTTGGCCAAGATACTCCACAACTGTGGAGTTTTGATCTCCTGGAATGTATTAAACCTCTTACCAAACTGCGTGGTGTAGAGAAACTAACTTTTTTATCGAGTGAGGCGATAGCTTGTCAAAGACACCGCCGCATCATGACACCTGAGGAATTTTGGGGTTTGGAGTGGTCTCGATTAAGCAAGGATGAAGATGAATCATTGACACCAAATGTTGCATCAGAGACTGAAATTAACCATTTCTCACCTGAAGTCGGCGATGTTTCATCTGATGAAGAGAATGTTTTAACTGTGGATGATTCTTCATGGGCGGGTGACTCAACACGTTTCAGCGATTCCTCTTGTCTTGGCGTATTTACCTTATTTGCCTGTCAGTCATTTGGAATGCTTGATGTAGACATATTCAACGCAGTTACCGGAGAGTTTGTTTCATCAATGAAGACGACTGTGAGTCCTAACGACAAAATACATTCTGTTTTAGTCAATCTTCGTAGCCAAATCCTATTATGTTTCGTTGAGGAAATATTTGATGTTGTACATAAGGAAAAAATAAGATTCAGCTTGAGCGAAAATAACTGCGGAGTACCCATTTGGTGCAGACATTCAGAGAGGTGCGAGGATTCTCCTTTCGATCCTTATTTTATCTTCTCTCCTAGCGAAGAGTTTCTCGTTACGTGGGGATCGCTAGATTCAGGCTATGGACTGCACATTCTTGACACAAAAACTGGAAAAACATGCCACACCTTCATTGAAGATCATGACGACATTGTCGACTGCAAGTTCGTTGATAACGGCGATATTCTGATTAGCTGCACAAGTGACAATTTCCTTCGTTTGCTCAATGTGAGGTCAGGCGAACAGCTCAGCATGCTAGACATTGGGGAGCAACCGTTCAGCTTAGGTGCCTGCCTCAGTAATCATCTTGTTGCCATTGGATTGTCAAAAACCCGAATGAAATTTGTTCAAGTGGAATTACCAAGAGCCAAAGAAGTTGCAGAAAACAAAGGTTAGAAAATGATTTATATATTCGGTTATGATTGGTGGCATTTAAGGATGAAAGAGAACTGAAATAATATTAAGTTGAAACCAAATACCATAACGCATAGGGTACAAATAGTTGTCCTCTGGCAATAAGAGGAAGGTAGAATCATGCGGTATAATTTACTCGTAAGTGCCATCTCTTTACTAGTAAGAGGCAAGCTTGCATATATCTCACCAGCCCGATTTGAGCACTGATAGGATAGGGTACACGTCATGCTTATGATTGGACAGTGTAATAGGACAGTTAAAGGGACGGTTAAGACGTCATGCTTGTGTAAGTGGACCGAACGCATCGTGTGCGCGCGCTTTTGTCAAGCATTTCATCGAGGTAAATCGATGTCTTGGTTTTGTCATAATTTTTATTAATTGGTAACAGGACTTCATGTCGTTCAATTCTGTCTGTAATCATACTCGAGGTTAACAAATCGGACTCCCGCCTCGCGGTGGTCCGATTTCGTTAATCACTCGTATGATTACGGAACGAATCGGACTTCAGTCAGTCCCATTACAGTTATTAGTCAGGTAGCATTGCTATATGGGATCAATATCAGTATCTGGGCAACTGCCCACCTACCCCTCCCCTAACTCAACAACAGTCAATTGACAACAAGTTAAGGTTAATGTTGTGTTAGGGGAGGGGTAGGTGGGCAGTTGCCCAGATACTGATATTGATCCGCTGTATGTCCTTTAAAATGATAAAGCATACTGATAATTATTTGTAGCTTATTAAATTGACTCGCCTATTCCACACTAACCTGTAGATCAAGTCATTAAAACTCAAAGTCAGTCATGTTGATACTAAAAAAACTTACCATCTCACTTATTCTATTTACAATAATTAACCTTAATGTTATCCTGCAATGATGTCATTGTTGTAACTGGTGGTTATTTTTCCTCTTTTTTTAGGTTCAATTACCAGTTGGAATGAAGCAAGCCGGACAGAATGGAAGCTCAACTAGAAGAGCTTTTCTGTCAGCTCCTCACACATTACTGAGAACGCACAGTCTCTTTTACTCGGTAAACTACGGCTGGCATTGTATGTAAAGCGCCCTACGGGCTAGGAAGGAGATTTCTAAGAATATTCGTAAACATATGCAGTTTTAACCGTATCTAATGGCTTTTTATTTTTCAAAAGATTGGAAATCTTAAATGGGCACTCAAGGGGTTCACCTCTTGTTGCTTGACTCATGTAATCGATACTACACACAACTGATTACGTGCCTGACTGGCTACAATAGGTTTTGCTCGCAAATAAGGAAATACTTATCAACTGTACATAAACATTTTTCACCGATTTTGGCACGAATTTGATTAAAGGATTACTGGAAAAGAGAGCACGATTACAATTTACTGTTGTTTTTACAACCGTTTTAAGTTTATATACACAACTATTTCCAATTTCAAGTATTGCTCAAATTACGAAGATTTCATTAAGTGTTTAGCTCAGACCTTTTTTCTAAGAAAGATTTGATACATCCCTCCAAGTAATTTTTCCAAATATTGTTTGTCCGTTTATTATTTTGTTTGCTTTTATTAACAGAAAGATGAAGCAGCCCGCACTCTGCTATGTTGTCTTGTGTCTCTGTCTACTTTATGAGTACTCATCACTTTCGATGATCCAAGATCTTGTTTCCGTGATTACCTTTAGCATCAAATGAAAAATGGTAGTAAAGGGAAATCATTGAGAAGAGGCTTTTCCCACTAACCTAGTTCTGCGAAACACTCGAAATGTCCTTAAAAACCTTTGTAGTATTTTCGCTGTGATGAAAGCGGAGTATATAATTTGCGTCTCAGAAATTATTGGTCGGTGCGGAATCAATGTCTTCAGGCCAAAGTTGTCTTGAATACAGAATTGAAATAATCATTATTAATAATCATTGCTTTTAACACACTTTCACTCCTTTAAGAAAATATACGACATGACACGCTTTGACAGCAACTGATGGATGATTCGTGATAACTTGTGGCTATCATCAAGCACTGGCACAAGTCGCCTTAAAAGGCACACGCATGACTCAACAGTGGAGGATCAAAAACGGGAATTGGAGATATTTTTAATAACAAATATAGTCCAGTGTTCAGGTGCTAGTTTCGCATTTGCATGACAGAAAAATAAAAAAACGCTTCGGCCCAGCGCAAAATTTTGACATAAATATAGTCAGTCGAAAAAGCGCTCAAAATAATTTGTATGATCCAGTGAAAACTCCATTAATCAGTAGCGTTTACTAAAACAACAACCACTCACCCCTCCTTGCGTACTAATAGTATGTCCTGCCTACCACCCCTCCCTGAGTACTGGTAGATTGCATCCCAACCCTTCCCTAAGTACAAACGGTCTGCCTCCCCCTGATTAAAACGGTCCAAAAAATGGTGCCAAAAAAAAAAAACGAAAAAAGGTCTAAAAAAACGTCCAAAAAATAGTCCAAGGGTCCAATGGTCCAGTCCATATTTTACCCTATGCGGACATCAACCCGTTCCTCATTCCACTTCAACCTTGGAACAAAAACAAGTTTTAAATCAAACATGTCAGTATTGGCAGCTGATATTGTCGGACGACCACACAACTGGCAAAAGCCTTTATGACCATTTCATCGGCGGTTAGGTTGGAAAATAAGGAATGCTGGAGTTCAAAACCAGAACCGGACTTCTCGGAATATCCGGAATTCTTGAAATGACCGAAAAATGATAAATTTAAAAACATAATAAATAAATAAATAAGAATATAATGAAAATGAATAATTAATTTATAATTAACTAATTGATGGTAAATTCATAACTTAATTAGATAATTAAATACAAAATTTTTCTCTGAGGATCCGGTGACGTTAAATAAATAACCACTTATCGGCACTGTTCATGGTGATGCACTTACTAGAAATAGTAATAACCATCAGTAGTAGTAGAAAAAGTAATAAATGTCCAGTGTTCGTCGGACCAATTTTCATCCACCACAGCAAAACCAAAGGTACTTATGCGCAGTTTTTTCAGAAATTGAAATGCCTTGACACCCAGCTTGAGCCGTTGCTAGTCTTTGTTACCGATGGAGAAAGTGCACTGTCAGATACTCTGTCTGATAGTTTTCCTAGTGCCACTCATCTTCGTTGCTTTTTCTATTTCCGTAAAAAACATCGAGGCTAAGCTTGTATCTCTCGGCATAAAAGAGCACAACAATATATCGAGTACAGTTTTGGAAAGCAAGAAGGAGCAATTCACGAGATGGGTTTTCTGGATGCCACCAGCGAAGATATGTTCCATGCTGTTCTGGCTTCATTGCAGGAACCGTGAGCTAGAAGAGAACAAAAAGAGTGTGGGACATCGAGTTTCCATAATTGGATGCTTCATCGAGCCCGGATGATGAAGGAGTCCATGATCGCATCTTTCCGGACAGAGGCAGGTCTTGGTTACCGACCAGATAAATTTTACACAAACGATTCTGAAAATACCAACCGTCGCTTGAGACACAAAACGGGAGAAAAAGAATTAGGCGAGACAGCTTTTGCCAAGGCTGTTAGAGAATTAATTGAAGATGAACAGGAAACTGAGCTTGTTCTAGCTGTTTTTAATGGATCTGAGTTCTACCAAATAAAAGAGCCTTTTAACAAGTTCCAAATTTCGAGAGACGAGCGGTTTGCTATGAAAGGGAGCAACGGAAGAAGAAAGAAGAAAGCGTCTATACTGCTGATATAAAAGACTTACATGACATTACTGACAACCCGTGTGGGGCTCAGGCATGTTTTGTCCTATGCGAAATACACAATAATCATCAAAATAAAATTTACTCACCAAAAATGCAATGAAAGGTGCACTTGATGCTCATATTGCAGAAGAAATGTGAGGAAAGCAGATCGTCTTTGATTCGCACCTTACAGGTGTGGCTGGGAGACTGGAAGGGTGACTCGTTCTCTCTAATGGAATGTGGCAAGAACTTTGGGAAAGAGACGGTGATTTATTGTTTCGTAATATTTTAAAAATTGCATTGGTTTTCAGGTCACACAGATCGATCTGTAAACTATGAAATTATTTTATATGAGCACAGCATTCCGATTTCTCGAAAATTTTTAATGCTTGGTTTTTGTTAAATGCTCCGGATATTAAAATATCATCACCTTGTTTTTGCGCGAACTGGATTAAATCCTTAAAATACTTCTTTCTTATTAATAAAACACAGTTTTACCAGTTTTAGAGATAACTTTGAAAGAGGCGTTGCTCTTAAAAATTACTGGCGCGTGGAGATTTATACTCTTGATAAAGTTAATGAACACGACATGGTTCAAGGTTTCTTTCCAAACAATGATAAACACGTCCGTGACAATAAAACAACAAGCAGTGTTGGCGTGACAGTCTGGCAGTTTATCGATTGACAGGTAATAACTAAACGAGACCCGCCCACCCTGATTAAAAAAATACAATCATAAACTCCTGACGAAGGTAACAAAGTTACAACACATGAAGACAAGGAAAGCTACACTACAAGAAATTAGTAAACGAGAGAGATGGGAAGGAACTGAAAAATCGAGCGAGCTGGTGACGCGCTTGAGGCGAGAACCGAGACTGATTGAGTTGTAAGGCTGCGGGTTAGAACATATTGAGCAATGAACGGAAGTGCGTCATTAGACTGTCAATATCAATAGTGAGACTGTCAATAGTCAGATAAATCTAGTTGTTTTATCTCACACAAATCACTTAGAACAGAACCTCCTTCAAAGGGAATAACGCAGTCACACTTTGGGTTCGCTCGCCAAGTACTTATCGTATTTACGTCTACTTTTCCACTTAGAACCCACAGTACTCGGGGTCTGTCAATAATTAACCACGCTTCTGGTCTATTTACCTTGAAGTAATCTTCGGCATCAGTTTGTAGACTGTTAGCTACATGTAATTCTACTACGTACATCCCAGTGAACAGTGCCATAGGTAGTTATTTTTTGTAACGTCACATGGTCCCCTTCATCTTATCGAGAGAAATTTTGCACTCTTTTGTTTTATTTATAAAGAACTGGTCTTTTTCCCTTGTATTTTTATTTTTACCATATTTTTTATTTAATTAATTAACTATTTATTTATTAAAGTTTATATTTTAAATCATTAAGTAATTTCAATATTTTTTATTTTTTCGGTCATCCTGGGAGTTCCGCGCATTTTGAGTATTCCGGTTTCGGTTTCGAATTCCGGCATTCCTCGTTTTCCAACGTAACTAATCGGCGGTAAGATTTGCATTAACTATTTAGATAGAATAACAACCGAGGGAAACGGCATGGTACACTGGAATCAGAGGAGTAACGTAAACTACTGAATACACAAAAGCCAATCGATAGGCAACACATATTTTCAACTGTGTAGTTAATCTTCTTCTTTCTCGGATGGCCAATCCTTAAGAATTATTCCTCAATTATCAGGTACGTAAGCCATGATTACAGTTGAGAGCATGCATCTCTTGCCCAGCATATTTAAATTATCCAAAAAGACCTTGTATCGACCTGTAAGCCGGTTTTTTTCGATATGAGTTAAAGTAAAATCAGTACAATGGCTTCGACTTTCGGCGATGTTTACCGGTCGTCAAAGAACAAGTCCGAGGCGAGAGATTTCATTTGACGAGTAAGAGAATTTCTTCAAGTCATCTGTTCTTAATTTACATCCGCTGCTTTTCAATTTCAAATTGAAAGAGACAGTGTTTAGTTATGGTCAGGTGAAGCTTGGAATTGATCTCGTAATTTTAGGACAACACGTCCTCTGAAATGCGTCGGGTAATGCTAAAATTTGTATCAAGAACAGTGCGATATATAACTTGACTAACGCTCATCATGATCGACAAGTGCACGGTTATGGTTAATTTAGGTTAATAAGCCAATTTAATAAACGTAAGATAAAAATGTAGGTAGGAAGTTGTGACTCAGTAGGAAAAATTAAAAGACTGCCAGCCCCAGAGGCGTGAGGGCAATCATGTAAGCTGCCTATTGATGTCTTGAAGCAACAATTAATATCGAGGCGCACTACAATTCCTGAACGAAAATCATGGGTTAACAGATGGAGAAGAAAAACTGATTTTATGTCAATCGTATACATCATCATCTGTAAATAGAATTCAATCACTAAATGCGGCGAAGATCGGGATATCATTCCCCTCAGTTCTTGTCTGTCAACAACTATCGATTGTGAACAAACTTAATGCTGTTTGTCTGGTTGCTTGAGTGGTTTTTACGTGACGTCACTTGCAGGAGAAGAGCATTACTCTTTTCATTTGAAGCTAGTATCGCCATGTCACGTTATGTCACGCTATGCCACGCCATGTGAAAAATAAATTGTGAACACACTGACTTTCAAAAACTGAGCCATCTAAACTTTGCCTTTATCTTTCCCATCTGGACTGAAAAATGGCAAATGATTTGTGACAGAGAACGTTTTCTGGCTCTAAAGATCTTTATGCTGTTTCAAAGTTTTACCAATGGACTATGCTTTAATATTTCTCAACTTTTGTTCGTGGTCACAACTGAGGAAGCGGATATAGGAATGATTTGGGTCATCGTTTCCGATAACCAATATCAATACCACGAAATTAAGTGGAAATAAGGTAGTCAAGGCTTGTATTTTTTGAATACGAAAAACGGCTTGTATTTTTTGTGAAACACCAAAACTCCCACGCCCCCTATTTTTTCTTTTTTCTAACAAAAAATCGCGATCTCGAGATGAAGAAAAGTTAGCGTTCTGGTTTAAATTCTACTTCAGTGAAGAGAAACAAAATTTTAAACTCATCAATCCATTTTTTGGAGTTCCATTGTAGAGAAATTCCGGACACTGTAGACGTGGAAGGAACCGGTAAACGAAGAAAATGTGTTAGTGTCTAGATCCATTATCATGCACATGACAAATCATAGAGAAAGATGTTTTTCGTCTTGTCACAAGCGTGGAATAAAGAAAAAATTCTGAGTCCCCATGAGGAATCGGCTCTAACCACTGAGCCACAGAAACTCCACGGTGAGCGAGGTCTATTACGAAGTTCATATCAAAAGCGTCCTTCATACTGCTAAGATCAGCAATGTATATGCTTTTTCGAATTTTTAATTTTTGCCTTTCAAGTCGCAAATTCAAGATTTTTATCGATACTTTTATGGTATTTTTGAATGTGTAGACTTTACATAGCTACTTGTTGGGAATGATTCTTGGGGGGGAAATTTTTACAGCGTGGCAAAACATAAGGATACTGAGAGGAGATCATGGGTGAAAGAAACATTTAGAAAAGCTCAATATATTTCCATATTTCGTGTTATTAATTCAGCTGTCTTGCATTCAAAATACTGTTCACTTTTAATTTTTTTATTTGTTATTCTGTTTAGTGTGCCATTTTATAATTATAAAATATCGGTATGAATAAGGGCAATTACATATAATAAATATAATATTTCAGGTCAAATTCAGATCACGAAGGAAAAAATTAAACACAGACAAAACAACTACAACAATAGCTGGCACTTAAAAAAACATATACTTGAGACTTACACAGGGAAGGAGTGCCAGAAATTCAGAAATTCAGAAATTTGAAAAATTGAGTTCCTTGGGAACAGAACTCAAATTGTCTTATACAATTCTTTGAACAACCCAGAATGCTTACCTACTTGAAAAATATGACCTAAGCACGTACATTAATTTCTCTTACTATAGTTCTCAAGTCAAGATCATTTCGCAACATCAAGAGATTATGAACTCTTGGCGACATGTACAGGTCAAAATAAGTTAATTGAGTTTGTTAGTAACGAGAAAATTAAATTTAACATTCTCTGTCCGAACTATGCTTTTTGCTCAGGATTCAGACTCTGAAGTACAAGAGGAGATGGCTACTGCTGCTGCACCTTCAACACTGGTCAGCTCTGAAAGGACGACAAATGGAGGCAAACTCAGCAGACTTCTCATTGATGGTGGAACAACAGTTTTACGAAATGTTTTTGACACTTATCACCCTCCTTTGCATCTCTCTGCGGGTCTTAGTGCTAACTATTCAATCTTGAGTAATTTGTTGAAGAAAAAGGTCTTGCGCGTTGCTCAGTGGGACCTATTATACCCACCCGGGGGAGTGACTCCAGATTCCAAAACTTTTGACATTACTCTTCTCTTTCTTCTTTTAACTAACATATGCGGGCTATCCCCTCCCCCATTTGGATGGCATGCAAAGCCTTCTTCAGGTGACACCTCTCTTGAAGCCAACCTCGTGCGAGTGAAGCTCTTCCGGAATGAGCTGTATGGTCACTTGTCCACCACTAGTATCGACACGCCCACTTTCTCCTCTCTTTGGAAGGATATTAGTGTTGTGCTTGTTGCTCTTGGTTTGAATCAGGGAGAAATAGATCGATTAAAGGCAGAAAACTGTGGAGAGGAGGAGTATCTTGACCTGTTACTTGAATGGTGTGAAAGTGAAGAAGAAATCAAGTCACGGTTGAATGACATCCATCACTCGCAAACTGGGGTGCAACAAAGTATTGAAGATATTCGCCAGACTCAGCTTAAGGGTCACCAGATATTTGAAGATAGCAACTTTAAACTTCACCACATACACAATTTCCAGCGTGAAGAACACAAACGAATGGAAGAACAGCGACAATGTCTCAAAGAACTACTTCAGACTTCTATTAAAGACCACAGAGCAGTAGCAGAAAGTAAGATCAAACTTGACGAGATTTCTCAATCACAAACAAAATCAGAGCAATGCGTGAAAGAGGTAGGCAAGAAGCAGTTAGAAAACCGTAAGTTACTTGAGGATAGCAATTTCAGATTGAGAGAGGTACATCAGACTCAAATTGACACACAGGAAGTTATGTATAAATTGCATCAGATACATCAAGAAGATTATAAAGCAGTTGAAGAAACAAAATCCAAACTTGAGAAAGTCCTTCGAAATCAAGAAAAGCATCTTGCCGACTTAAAACACATCGAGCATGGAGAGAAAAATACGACAGAGGAAGGTAAAAAACACAAAGAGGATGAAATTCTTACGAAAATCGCGAAAATTGACTCAGAAGAAGAGGTAAAATATCACACAGAAAGGTATCTCGAAGGAACTCGTGTGTCCATTTTCACAAAAGTAGAGAATTGGTTGGACGATAGGAGCTCTCAAAATCGTGTAACTGTGATCAGTGGAAATGCAGGAATGGGGAAATCGGTCATTTCTGCAGTTCTCTGCAAAAAGCTACAAGAAACCGGCAGATTGTCTTGCAGCCATTTTTGTCAGCATGATAAGGCACGCCATAGGAATCCGAAAGTGATGCTTCAGTCCTTGGCAAGCCAGTTGTCAGAATCACTTCCTGAGTACCAGAAAGCTCTTGTTAATGCACTTTCGAGGAATCTCGGAATCGAGCTTAAAAACGTGGAAGTTAAAGAGCTGTTTGAATTGCTGTTTCAAGTACCTCTCAGAAGCCTAAAAGCTCCTGACAAAAACATTCTTATGGTGATCGATGGATTGGATGAGAGTGAATACCGCGGACGCAATGAGCTGCTTGAGCTTATCTCTGAACACTTTATCAACCTTCCATGTTGGATTCGATTTCTCGTAACAACTCGTCCAGAAATAAACATTTCAGACAGTCTCAAGAAATTCCAACCTCTTGAGTTGAAGCCAGACGATGAGGAAAGTTTAAAGGACATACGGTTGTTATTTGAAAAAAAACTAGGTTGTTTAATTCAACAAGGTTATCAAGAAATCGTCATATCCGAACTGGTTCAAAAATCTGAAGGACTTATTTTATATGCATATTTGCTGGCTGAGTTTGTAAGTCAGAATGTGCGTCTCCTTACTCCTGACAGCATGGACAGTACTTTACCCTCTGGAATTTCCTCTGTTTACCAGACGTACTTCCAACGTTTAGAAAATGAACTCTCCAAGGAGCTGAACGTCAAAGAGGAGCAGTTCTTAACTTTCCTAAGCGCACTCGTGTCTGCAAGAGAACCTTTGCCAGTACCTTTCGTCACTGAAATGATCCTGTCAGGTAAAAACTCTTTAGCTGATGGGCGAAAAGTAAGGAAGGCAATCACATGCATTTCATCTCTGTTACCTGTTCGAGATGACCGTATTTACTTCTTTCACAAGTCAGTTAAGGACTGGTTAACTGACATGGCCTCCTATGGACAGCACGATTTCACCGTGGAAGAAAGGGAAGGCCATCGTATTCTCTCTAATCTTTGTGCCAAGCAACTTGACGATGTTAAGCATAAAGATGTCCACAGCGAAGCTTTTAACAGCACCACAAAGTATGCCTTGCAGCATGGTGTTAAACACATGTTGGAAGTGGGAAACTGTTTTGACAAACGTCTTCTGGAGGAAGTTGTAAATAAATATGTCATAGACTTACAACTTGTGTATTTGAAGCTTTGTGCAGACAGTACAGCAGCGTCAGAAGACATCGATTTTGTTCAGAAACAATCGGGTTTTAATGAGTTGAATGTAAATGTTCAGAATGCGCTTAGCACTCTATTGTTTTTGTTGAGAAAGTTCATCGCTGACATAACGCAACTACCTCATGTGATCTTCCAAACTGTCTTGAATGAGGGAGGGCCTGAACTGTCTTCTGAAGCGTTAATCCTTTTGACGAGCAAGTATTCCAAGATACCGTGCATAGTATCCAAGCATAGGGACACTCAGATGACAACATTAAAAGCCCAATTTGAAATGTCGTCTGCAGTAGCCTGTTTCGATGTTTCACCACATCGAGACTACATGGTTTGCGAATGTAAGGACGGTACGCTTCAATTTTGGTCTTTGAACACTGGCAAACTGCTATGGAATCGTGCTGTGATTGTCACCAAGCGATTTCGGCCGAATTTTAAACGTGCGTACAGAATGGTGCCATGTTCACAAGTGTTATCAATTTACCGCTCAGTTGTTTTTCATCCCTTCCAGGAAGTTGTCTTACCGGGAGTTCTCAGTCAAGCTTACTCCTATAAAGGAGATCTGATGGCACTTTTCCCCAAAAGTCAATGCGAGTTTAAAGTTTGCTCAGTTTCGGCAGACAAGACCGCCATACTAACTGACTGTCCACGTAACTCTAAATGCATCGCTTTGTGGAGTCTAGAGTCTGGTTTAGAGATCTCTCGTACAACAAGAAAGGAAGATGTGTTGTCCTTTGCTTGGTCTCGCGATGGAAGGATTTTAGCAATTTCTTATTCAAGTGGCTCTGTTGATTTGGTTGATGTCAGGGAAAGTTTTAAGACACTGACGCAAACAAAACTCCCCGAAGTATGCGGAATGATGCGGTTCACTCCCGATCATCGACACCTTATTTGCCTGCACGAGTCTACAGCCGACTTGATTTCTTCAAAACAGTATGTCTTAGATGTCAATGTAAAGAAGATGAGCCAAACCTTTTCAACTAACCTTTCTTTAGTCGAAAGTCCAACAAATTTAAGCAAAGGATATGATTCACCCAGCGAAAGTGGTTTTTTGCATGGAGATCCTCTACCCTGGATATTACATAGTACAGTTCCATCGACAGAGTTTGTGTTAGATAAAAATACTCTACTTGGAGAGTATGAGGTATCTACCGACATTGTAATGCGGAATACCAATAATTCCAATGACGCAGCAGGTATTTCCTCAACTCAAGTCAGCGGTGTAGCGTTTTCTTTGGATGGAGAGACTTTATACGTCGTTAATGAAGCCGCTGTACCTTGGGTTAAGGCTTGGGATGTAAAGAATGGAGAGCTCAGAGCAAAGAAGAGATTACCGAAAAATGCAGAGCAAACGTGGCTTGTACCAGTCAGAGATGGTGTAATTTTGGCAATAAATGAAGACTCACCTGAACTATGGAATTTTCAGTTGTCTAAGTGCACTCGACGCTGGCCCGATTTGCACCAAATTGCAGATATTATCCCAGTATCAGGAGAGCGTGTGCTTTGTGCTAAAGACACGTTTGAGTTGAACATCATAAATACAGTTTCAGGTGAAATTGAAGCAACAATGTTTACCCATGGAAAACACTGCATTGCATGCAACGATAAATGCCACGTGATAACCTCTGATGATCGAACTGTTCAGTTGTCGAATGATAAAACTGTTTTTTGGGAAAAGGACATGAGCATTTTGTGTGGGCTATTTTCTCCAGATGAAAGTCTTGTCATTTTGCAAAGGCAATGGTTTGGAGAGGATTTGATGATCGTTAATGCAGTTTCGGGAATCACACTCTTTTGCATCACATGCATGCCTATTCCTTTTGGCTTCCAGTTTATCAGTGATGAGGAAATTATTGTGAGTTCGTTTGTTAAGAATGCTAAGTGCCTTAGACTCTTTAATGTCAAGTCTGGTGACCTACTCAGTGTCCTCCCTGTGGAAGGAGAATGGTCCTGTTTAGCAGCTTGTCGTAAAGAGCGGCTCATAGCTGTTGGGCTACACGACTCCAGCACTAGCTTTAGAGCTTTTCAAGTAAAATTGCCTTGTGACAAAGATGGCAGCGAAAACAGCAGGTGAGCTGTTGAAACTTGGTTCTTAATTATAAGTTAGTATCTTTAAGTAGCGACGATTGCTTTACGAGTTGACAGAAGCTACGACACAGTGTATGGAAGGAACCAGAATGTTGTGCATAAAATTACCTAAATCTGTTATGCTTCTCTTACACTCCACTCACACCAAAGCTTAAACATGTTTTAAAGTTGTTTTGTCAAACACAGTTTAGTTTTTTTTTTCGTCGTAGAAACTACTTCACCGAATATTTTTTTACTTAACCCTTTAACTCCCATGAGTGACCAAGACAGAATTTCTCCTTAGAATATCAATACAATACCAACCAGATAAGTGACGAGAATAAAGAAAATATCAATATGGTAATAGTTAGTTGATCCAATACTAAATTCTCTGAACTAACATTATAAGAGTTGTATGGTTGACAGTAAGGAGAAGTACGACTTTGATCCGGGAGTTAAATGGTTAATATATAGCACATTGGAAAAGCAAGTTAGCAAGTACTTGAATCCTATGGAAAATTAAGTTTTTCAGCTCTCTGTTTATGATTTTCATTCAGTAATAACCAGTTTAACAAAGCATGTTTTGCTGGTATGAATAAGGTATTTGCTCAACGCGCAATCGTCTTTCGCCCCTAACTGAGACGTCTACGTTGGTCGAGCTGATAGTTATAAAAAAATCGACCAAAAACCAGGCGCAAAAGGCTACTGATGACAACTTCTTGTGTCATCTTTGCATTATTTTGATCTATGTGTTATTCTTGACATTGTCTGAGCCCTTTTCGCCACTTCTCTCTATGCCACAGGAAGCCCAGTCAAGTCATGCCTCCATATCACTAAATTTTTTTAGGTAGCAGTTTCCCATGAATTGATAATTTTTTTAAATTCCTTTCAGCATTGACGACAGGCTGGAGATGGAACTCCTGCGAGGCAACCGCAAAAGGAGGTACGATTCAAATACTTTTTTGTATCGCAACTTGGGGAGCCTCTTATGCTGGTATCAGAAGGGTTGAACGTATTGGACAAGTATCACATTATTTTAGAAGAAAAACACTTTTTGTCGCTGCTGGTATAATCCCCAGGGATAAGAGGGTCAATTCACTCTACCTAAGTTTGACATCATTGTGTCATGGTGCTGCTCTTATATCTTTTTTGTCTCTTTTTCACTTTCTTTCAGTCGCTTGCATTGCTCGCTTGTATGATGAAGCTGAGGTGGACGATGCATTGGTAAAAAGAGATAAATAGACGATTGAAATTGGATCGCGTTTGAAGTGTACGAGATAAGGAACAAGTTTAATTTCCTCTCCCCCCCCCTCCCTCCCCCAAAGCTTTCAGCTCGTATTCTCGTATATTTTCTCTGTACTAAGGGAATAACATCCACCACAAGTTAGGTGACGGTGTAAATAATATTTAGCAAGCAAGTGTATCTATTAATTTCTCGGTTCATAAGTATACTATTTTTATAATATACAAGAAAAAATTACGCGCGTCTGATTGGCTGTATCACGAGTGCAAAGTTGTTACAGTGCAAATTACAAATAGCGCGTGCACGCTGTCAAAATTTACGTCAGTCTTGACTCTCTGTGATGTTTTTTTCAAAAAAATTGAAAGATTTACTCGTGTTTATTAACACCAAATTGCACTCGAAATCATAATATTGCCTATAGTAATAGCACTCAGATTTATTATTATTAGTAATTGTTTAGGAGGTTCGTAGGGAGCGTTAGATAAATTATTTCTTAAATGGTCAATCTAACATGTCTAAGAAAAAAACTTCCTCAGTTTGACTGAATTTTTTTCTTGATTGTAAATATGAAAATCGTACATGTGAACTGTGGATTATGACATAAAGTTTGAAGCAATCTTCGCAGTAATGAACACTACTTAAAGTGCCTATGACACAAAATTTTTGTATGTGTAAATATTTAGCTTATTATGTGTACAAACCAATTCCGATAGAAGAAAAATTTCAGAAACCTTAAAACTCGGTAAAGTGCTCTTATTTTGTCTTGAAAGTGTCCCGTGGACTGGTAACGAATTAGCGAGTGATAACGTAGAAAACTGTGAAAACTCTCAGTTGACACTTACAAATCTCTCACATCTCTTGTAATTTTGTATCAGTCAGCGTTGAAATACTCTCGAAATAATGTGCGATGTATACCTCAATTCAGCAAGCTCTACCGTGAGCTGTGATAAATCGTACTCAACTAGTAGAGAAGAAATGGAAGTTACGAGTACGGTTCAGCCCTGAGAAGGCGAACTGCGTTACATAAAACGAAGATTTCGAAGAAGACTGACTAACACGGTTTCTCGTCTGCGGTAAACGCCGCCGTACCGGAAGTACAAGCTTTACTGGAAACTGGAAAACAATGGTCGTCACTTTGCCAAAACGTCGGTGTTGAGTGAAGTTCTAAAATCAAGAGTACGATTTAAAACTCATTTCAAACAGATTTTGTAGTGGTTCTTTTTGTCCTTTCATTAAAGCTTCATTGGAGGAAGGAAAACCGGAAGTGACTAACACCCTTAGAAGAACGATGCACGCTAATCCCACATAAAATTCTCTTTTCGTAGTGATATGAAATACGACTAATAGAGATGTTTTATGAAGTGTCTCTATTGGTTTAAGGTCCCCCACTCCCCCACTCCCCCTCGTTCAGGGCTTAACCCTCTCAAGGAGTTTCTTTGCTTCGGTTTTGATGAGCTTTACGATTTAAGCTTTCAGCTCTTACCTTTAGCGCGTGCGACGCTTAAATCGTTTAGTTTTTATCCCGCAATAAATTCCATTAATGGGCATGCTGACTTGGTTCACTACTGATCTTGTACTTGACCTTTAATAATCTTCGCTTGTTCTAACTTTTGATTGTTTGATAAGAAGGATTCAATACGGTGTTATTCATTTATAAGACTCGTGAAAGTCTTAGCAAGTTGGCTAACTGTACTGATTAGTGGTGTTTTATCTCTTAAGGACTCTTGGATGGCGTGCCTCGAGCCTACGGACAGAAGGCATAAAGCATGCAGAAGCGCGCACCAGAGATAGAAATTATTAGTTATAGAGAGGAGAGGAGAGAGGGAGAGATTGTTAGAGGGGAATCATTTGCTATTAGAACTCAGCAAAAAACATAGCAGTAGTGGTTTGTAGATCATACAACACAGTCAGATAATAAAGAAGAAATGAAAGAGGACAGATCAAGACTCCCGGTACTTTTAGCAAAGCGTGGTACTCTCAGCAAAACGTGGTGCTCTCTACAAGCTTTTTGCTCCTATCTATGTATCATATTGTAATTTCACTCGAGCGAAGACCACATTTTTCTGAAACAACCTTGAGGGAATCGTTTATTGCTTTTGGCGAGCTGTCAAGCTCTTCACTGATCTGGATCTAACCCTGAGCCCCCGCCACTTTAACAGCGTCACAAAAATAACATTAAAACTTTAACAGGAAACACCCTACCTAGGGTCACTTCCCGTTTCAATTGCAACTCGTACAGCGATTGACCGCAGCACGATTTTGAAAACTCATCGTCAGGTTTATTTTGGTCTGAAAAATAAAACACATTTCCGGTCTTTCTACACGTAGCATGTAGAGGATATAGTGTGGCAGTTTTGATTGTTTCCACTTGCCTTGAAAATTGTTCTCATAAAACAGTCGTCCGGCTTCAAGACAAAACAAGACACCTCTTTAGCTTTAGGGGTCAGCCGTGGTTTTTCCTATCTTTGATCTGAAGACGTGCCACCTGACTCCCAGTCACAAAAATCGCATTTGACGTCATGGGAGGATAGATTGCACGATATCATTAATAGTTTCGGTTTCTATGATAGTGATCAGTCCATCTGTCGTGCAGCCCTCCCTAGCCTAACATTTCATATCATTAACCTTGAATAAGGTGAAACAAAACCGAACAGTCGTAACTTCCATGCCCCAATCAAGGCGGTCGTTACTAAGCAAGTGCATGAGTGAAAAGATTTTCTTAAAAGTCTTCTCTAAATTTTGTGTTTACTGCCCAGTGTGCAAACATGTCTGGCTTTCACTGACCGGCTTCAAGCTAGGTGGCCAACGGGTCTCGGATCAATATAAGTATCTGGGCAACTGCCCACCTTCCCCTCCCCTAACCCAACATTAACCTTAACTTGTTGTCAATTTACTGTTGTTGAGCAAGGGGGGGGGGGTAAGTACGCTCACCTTTTCCCTCTCCCCCACCGTCGTCTATCATGAGAGATAATTTACACGCGTTGGCAACTTTAAATAATCTAAAATTGTTTTCGAAGCTCTTAAAAAAGCATCTGGTTCCTACAACCCATTTGGTCGGCCTAGAAAGACAAGGATAGGGCTTACTCGAATTTGAGTAATACGAAGCTTTACCGGAAAGGCGTTTTCCGGGCATATAAGTTACCTTCGCCATTCAGTCCTACGTTTTTCACTAGTCATGTTACTGCACTCATTCTGTAGGTAGGGGAAATTAATTAAATGAACGAAATCAACTGTTAATCTGGTTAAGAGATTTAAGAGTTATTATTTTGTATACAGATATTATTTTGTTTGCGATTTGTCTGCGGTTACTGGTATTACTGAAATTCTCTGTTGACAACACAAGCTCCCAAGCTCACGTCTCGAGAAACTCGTGGATGCGTCACGCGTTGTGTGACTTGGTGTTAAGTTTCGATAGGAAGCGTTTTAAGAAATAATATGGGGAACAAAATATAGCCGATTTAGAACGATAAATATTTCGAAATATAAACAATTTATACCTGAAATCAACAGATCTCACGCACGTCTTGTATGTCCGTTGTAGTTTCCGGCGTTCTCTGCCGCTTTAAGCTTACTTTGCCATTACTGTCATTCCTGTTATAAGACGAAGTCTTACGCGTAAAATGTTCAATGTTTATCGTTGTAAATCGACCATATTTCGTAGGGCTTCTCTTATAAGTAGTAAATCTAGAAATGGATAACTTGCTAAAATAGATTCTTTTCAACATAGTAAGCGGTCGGATAACAAGCGATGCCGAGTGGAAGTTAGGCGAGGTATTTTTATTGAGAATTTGACTGTATTTTTTTAATCCTAAGAGCGCTCGTAAAATATTCCTAAACATTCTCTTATAATTTCAGCATAACTCTTATTTCGCAATATGATTAACTCACAGCTGGAGCTTGGGCCGCCTGTGGAGGCCTGTGTTGACAAGACGGTCTATTTGATCTGCTGACTGAATCACTGTATGTCCATCTATGGAAAAACTTTTTTGTGTTGTGAATTGATGGACTTCTGCGCTTTGCGGGAACAAATTTTCGCGGCTCAAATAAACCGAAACATTTTTCACTATTATCAACACAACATAAAAAATATTGAACTGCAGTGTTCGCCAAATTTGATGTAATCTACGGAGAACTTTATTTCCCAAGAGCACTTATATAACAACAACATGAAAGGAAAAATTTCATCCCTTTCTTACGTATGCAAGACGTTATCCATTTGTTAATGTTTTTTTCTATTTTTTTTATTAGACTAAGCGTACGTTGTAGCGTTTTACCTGGCTAGACATTTTTTTTAATAAGGGAACTTAATTTATTTGTTGCAGATCCAGGAACCGAAGTTCCTCGAGGAAAACCGCAGAGATGAAATCTCTTAATTTCCATGATGATGTATTTTGCATTTTCGCGCGTTGATATGGCTCAAATCCTAAGCTATGTACAAGAATATCCTTTTCATTGAGAGCGCCAATCAGCAACTAACCCATTTCTAGCCTTGCGCCAAACGGTTAGGGTACCAATGTTGTAATTTTTAGCTTGGTTCAGTTCAGCGCGGTCTCTGAATCAAATTTGAAGGGGAGTAGGTTTCTTTCAAGCTGCGATGACACAAGCCGCATCAGTCCGAATATACCACATCACAGCCATGTCTATAAAATCATCTGATTCTAGCCATGAGCATCATCAGGAAATCAGTTGCATTTAAAGGGTTACGTAGTAATAAAACTGATTGCACAAGGAACTGAGATTCCATTGAGCCAAATTATCTTGTTGAGTGCATGAGTGAATTATCTCTTTATGCCAAATTATAACTGGTGAATAACATAAGCCATTTACATTAAGTTGCCTATTTTTCGTTTGTTCAATCATTTTGTGCAAGGTCTGAAAAAATTACCAATCAGATCCTGTTTAAACAGTTTAACTTCCCTTTAATTTTGAAAAAGCCTTCGCATTAACTGTGTGTTCGTAATCAGAGATCATGATAACACATTAGTTGACATTTTAATATGCTTTTGCCTGGAACAAGAAGCCATTCTTACGCTTTGTCGATGACGCAAGCTGGGCGCTTTCCGGCCTCTTGACTTAAGATTTACTGATATGAAGTCCTGAGGCAAGCTGACGTTATGGTCTGGAGCTGTCTTGGATTTGAAGTAACTGACCATAAGCCACAAGCTTAAATTTTCTTGCTAATGGTTGATTTTGAATTCCGACCATTTTCGCAACTTCCGACCGTTGTCAAGGTCTTAATCTTACTGCTCGTAGCTAACTCTCACGGAATGACCTGTTGAAACGTCACAGAGACTCCCGGTGCTTTCATCGACCAGATGTTTGTCAGGCTGTTTGTTTATTACAATTTCCGGAGTATTATTTGACGAGGTATCGATAACAGCGGAAGTCGCAAATAAAACTATATAATGAACTTTGCCAAATCGCTACACATGCCATACAAGTTCACCGACTTGAGCATCTTAACTTTGGTGGTAGCAATATTGTTCTGAGATATTTTGAGGTTTTCTTTGGGAAACCTCATTTCCGACGAACTCTAAATCCCGCTGAAAGATTTTTCGTGCAATTCTGCATTTCTTTTTCAGAGTGTTGCAGCCACTTCCGCTCAGGATTTCCCTTACCAAGCTGATTTTGGCCGAATCATAGTCTCATATTTTTAGTTCTTAGTCATCACAGAGTGAGGTAACAACTCAAAGCGTGTATACCTTCCAATCCCTCCGATACTGGCTGTGATCTGCAGAATGGGTGCCTTAATACCCTTCTTAGTACTCCTGATTGGTTTCACGATCTCAGAAGGTAATTATTATAAGATGCTTAACACGCTTTATGATCCTTTAAAACCGTCTGTAATGCAACGTTACAAGGGCTTTAGCTTCAACATATTTAAAGCGGAAGAGAAAAAAAGTACAAACACGTTAACTCTGGAATGAATGTAGGAATTTATGCGGGGGAGTGTTGCAAGATTGAGTTTGCCAAGCAAATGACTGGTATCCTTCTTGCGCATAAGGAATAATTGTGGGCGTGGAAACGCACAGCATTGTCACACGTATTTTAATAGACATTTTTGTCTTTATAAAAAGTTCGCTGATAGGTATATGAGCTATGACTCTATGCTGCAAAGCTAGCAATTAAAAGAACTGATTCGACATCTCTAACGCAGGCAACTTTTAGGAGCTCTTGCAAAGAGCTTTTCGAGAAGAAAATAGTTGAGGCTGTTTTGTGACTCATCCGCTCATAAGTCGAAAGAAGGAAAATGTGAATCTAAATCTTTTAACCCTTTACATCAGTATGCATATTCTCCATACTGTTCTCTGTACATTTACTAAGCTGCTGTCAAGGAGAATTTGTTTAACAATCAAGAGCTTCTTTAGTTGGTGATCATTTCCTTTACTCTTATGACATTAATGTTTGATTCAGTGGTGATATTGTTAGGAGAAATTAGATGCTGATCACTCTTAGGGGGTTAAAGGGTTCATAAATCACGGTTGTTTTACGAACCGAAAAAAAAAAAGAAAAACAGCTCCCAGTTGACTTGTTAGCTCATTTAGTGAAGCACTGCACTTTTATCGCAGATGTCATGAGTTCAGCAACTGCACAAGCAATTTTCACAACTGTTTAAGTAGTTGTCATTACTGTCATGATCACTATCATCTTCATCCTTTAGTGTGGTTGTGAGTTTTGCTATGTTGTCAAGAATTTCCACGCTTGTCTGGGACATATCTTTAAACCTATAGCAAGCACGATTTTGTAAACACTTTGAAATGGTTCCTGACTGAAGATTTTAGTCCTGCCTTCTTACAGCGTCCAAGCACGTATTGTCAATGGCATCTTTTGAAATTACACAGTTCTGCTCTGTCCATCTAAACAAACATGGCAATCTGCCATATTGGCGATGACGATCTGCTTTTTTCACCGGGTTTCATTTCCTTTTTGGCACTTGACCACGATGTTTAATTACAAAGACGTCCGGTGTTTTTTTTTTTTTTTTTTGTAACTTAAAAAGGGGGCAAGACAATCGGCAATATATCAGTTGTTTCAGAAAACATTTTTGCACACATTATCCCTAACCCGAAATGATCAGTAGGAATGGCCGCAAACAATTCCCTTGGGGAGCTGCAATGGGAATAGAGTTTTCATAAAAAATACAACAGTAATTATATAAACAGTGTATAGGGGAATCCATGGAGTTTTTCGGTGTTATCCAGCGAAACGGAATCAGAATATACCACAAGGAAGACCGCCTACTGAATAAAATGGCTAATATATGAAAATAACAATATCGTCAAAACGAAAAGAGTTGTTTTGATCTCTTGTGCCCAGTTTCGTGAGTTTGAATGATTTGCGGTTCTCTTCGGCGGTCTGCATGGTCGGAGGTCAATTGCAATGGGGAAATCATTTACGGCGCGCTGCTCATGACATATTTTTTGTTATAGAGAGCTTTGTATTTGAACATTCATCAAAAACCACTGACTCGCGATCGTCAGAGTTCTTCAATTTTGAACCGGAAATCAGTCATTACAGCGAATGATGAAAGAGGCAAGTCATCAGCGGTCGGAGGGGGTGGGGGGCGGGATACGAAAGTTACGTCAATGCGAAAGTATTTGAGTTTCCTAGGAGCCTGGTTCATAATTCTTGAATTGTGCCGTGGGCAGGGTACTAGGTTCAACCTGGGAGTTGGCTTCAGATGCGTATTGGTTGGCTATGAGGTTTTTTCTCCCTCTATGAATACCAATTGTCAAAATTCCAGTTCAAGTTCAACTTGAGCTCAGGGAACAGAGAATCACCCGTAGATGCGCATATGCTAAATAATACTTTTCCATAAATTTGAAATATTTGATTATCAAACTATTTTCCCTTTCTTTCTTTTTTTGCGATGTTATTGTGAACGTTTCTTAAAACGACTTCTCTTTTCAGGTTTAATGACAGATGTTTCTCGAGAGATCACTATTTATGCCAATCAAAGTCTGACGTTGTCATGTCAACCAAGAGATAGTCCTAAAAACCTAGTTTACTGGCACTGGATAAGTCGGAGTGATAAGGTCAAGGAAAATCTCGTGAAAAAAGGGCCAACCTTTACAATTAGGAATGCAGCCATCAACGACACGGGGTTTTATTTTTGCTCTGCTGCAGAATGGGGAATTTGGGGAATATCATACCACATTTTCGTCAATGTTATAGGTAAGTTACTGAGATCGTTTTGAATGCAGATCTAACAAGTTGAGTCATTTTGATCCGTTGAGTCAATTAAGTTTCTATAGAGCTATGAGAAGGGTGGGGGGGGGGGGAAGAGGGGGGTGTCTGAGTACTCCGTATCTGAGTACTCCGTGTCTAATTAGTTTTTGGCATAAATTTCCTCAGTTCCAGTTCAGTTATCTCGGAATCTCTATTTTAAATATCCCGTATCCCGTTAATTTTCCCTCAAGTATCCCGTATCCCGTTAATGTTTTACCCAGATATTACGTATCCTGATTACACCTAACAAGGCCTCAGTTATATGATATAAGAACAAAAAAGGACACCCAATATTTGGTGGGGGTAAGTTTCTAAAGGAACTGTGGTGCTGTGTCCGTGGGAGGGTATAAGAAAGTAACTTGGTATTATCAACTAAGTTGATTCCGTAAAGAGTTTGTTAGAGGCTGACGTTTCGACCCCACTATTTGGTACGAAATAAATTCATCTTGAAAGGAAAGTAGGCAGTGACCAGTTAACAAGCGCACGTAAGCACAAAAAGGAGAGGCCGGGGGAACAGAAACAATTCGCTTTGCGCAGTGCGAACTGCGTGCGAACAATTTGCATTCACCATTTCTATCAATCTTTGCAATCGTTCTTTGGGACGTCACGCAACGCTCTTCGGCCCCAAACTCACTTTAGAAGTAAAGTCGCGCGACATTTCAGTAAACAGCTGCGAATTTAAGGAGATTGCAACTTGTATGCAGGCATAAGTGGCAGTTGTTTTAATTCTGGCCTAGACCTGGCCAGGTAATCGAATTAAAAAAAATATGTGATAAGCGTACTAGCTCACGTCGAAACATCGGGCATATATCTGGGTGTATGATCTCTAGCCTACGTGCAAGTTCTCATTGGCACGGGGGATTTTTGCGAACTCTGTGAGGGTTGAATGGGACAAGGCTCTAGGAAGTCACGCAACGCTCCACCTCTTGACCGGAGTGTCGCTTGACAGTCCGAGACTAGGTCGTTATTGTGTGACTCAGAAAACTGTGAACCGCTTTCTCGATAATGACAAGTCAGTTGCTTGCTGACCAATCAAGATAAAGCGTGGAAGCTTCAAAACCACAAACTAATTACCGCTGTCGCTTGTCGCGCCTAATTGGCTTTTCCCTTGGAACGTAATAACATCCGATTTCATAGTTTACTAAGTTTCACAGTAAGTGTCATCTTCTTTCAAAAGAGCCGGGAAAACTATCTTGTGCCAACGGCTGGAGTTTCTACAAGAACTCGTGTTTCATGCACTCCTCCCATGCCGTGGAACGTGAGTGGGGAGGAGCATCCTCTTACTGCATTGACTCCTCTGCACAGCTGGCTAGTGTCTCAGGCGATTCAGATGATGATACTCTGCGCTTTATGAGTGTTCTATCCAGGCGTTCCTTCCCGGCACCCCTCTCTAATCCTTTGACCGTTTGGGTTGGATCCCCTATGGGGAATCACCTCACCCACAGTTTTTCAATGCACCAATACCAACAGGGTAGCAACTGCATTGGATTAAATGCAACAAGAGGAAAATTATCCGAGTCTGCTTGTACAGAAAAATATACCTTTATATGTGAACGAGGTAAGAGTTTTCATCCTTTTTTCACCGGGTGTAGAGATCGAAGTGTTTTTTTCTTGTGCTGTGCAAGAGGGGGGGGGGGTGGGGTGGGGGAGGATTTAAGTCGCAGTAAAATCATCTAATGCCTTCATGAGGCTTAGTATTATTCGAATGATGCCTCCCTTATTGGCAGTTGATTGGCAGATAACTTTCTTAAGCCCCCCCTTTTACTCTGCTGGCAACAACAGAATTCCCCCCCCCCCGTTCCTCCTGAAAGCCATGTCATTCTCCCAAAAATTCTCCATCCCACACCCCCACTTCCTAGCAGTGGATGGTAAATATTGATTGGTCCCTCATAGCTCATGTGCTTCAATTAAGTGCTATCTGCAGTTAACTTAATAAGTTCCACAGTGAGGTATACTTGAGTCAGTAAGGTCCACTGTGTTGTCCATCGATCAAGTTTTACATAACACCTGTTCTGTTACTGCATGTATCTCCCAAACTTTTGTTTACAAATCAAACAAAGAATTTCTCCTCGTACCATACTGTTTCATGTGGTATTTTACTCGTAAAACATATTTCAGAAAGGGAGAGAAGAGGGAAGTTGTTGCCTTTTTCCTGTAAGCATTGGCATTTTAATAACGCAACAAGTTTTTTCTGATCTTCAGATTGTTGAAATTGCATGCCAACAGTTGCACCATCGTAGTTTAAAGGCCCATTTCCAACCTTGATGCAACGCGGTCGTTTGTTTTTGTTTGAAACCACCGCTTTTGTTTAAATAGTGCCTCTCTGATTGGTCAATCATTTTTACCTAGTCACGTTGTCTCAAAATAGCTTGTGCGTTTTCTCCGATGAGTTTGGTGAGCTTGTCAAAATAATTCTGTTTAAAACAGTACAAGACGTCTTAATCCGGTGTGGAATCAGATGAATCCATTGATTTAGTAGATTCTGAGGAAGTAAATGCTTATGGATCGGTTGTTGCTAAAGAGGAACACGAAAATCCATGCGAGCATTCTGAGGAAGGTGAAAATGTTGATCCACCATGTTTTCATTTATACATCAATTTTTTTTTATTGATGTTTGCCATCCTTGTTAAATAGGACCAAGGGTCAGTTGAAGTTTCCTGCTCGTGGAGAGGAGCTTGCGCTCGAAAGGGTGGCTGAGGTTGTTGAGAGTGCAAAGCAGCAAATAAAAATTGAAACGTAAACCATCAGTGTCGCTGACGTTCCTGCAATGAAGTGATTAAACGTTTGGCAGCCGGACATGGTCTTAAAATAATTAAACTTCCAGCAGTCCGATATTTTCCATATTTTTCTTCGAAATCCAAAAAATATTTAAACGAAAATGTTCTACCTTTATTTACAATCCTCAAGTGCTTCCGGGCAGCCTTAAATTTTGAACTTGATATTTCTCGCTAACCCTGTATACAGAGTACGAAGCCATCCAAGCGCTTGACACTTAGAAACTTTTCAATGAGACGGCTGGACACGGTCCTCAAATAACTCCATATTTCTCTTTGAAATATGCCAATTTTTCCTTGGAAAATATTCTACCTTCATTTACAATCCTCAAGCACGGCTAGAAAGTGAAAAAATTCAAACGTTGTCCGTTTCGCCGACCCTGTACACAGAGTACGAAGAGATCCAAGCGTGACACTACAAGATTTCCAGCGGACACTACCGGAAACGGTCTTCGAATAACTAAACCTCCGGCAGTCTGATATTTTTCTATATTTCTCTTTGAAAAATCCAATTTCTATCGGAAGATATTTCATCTTTAACTAGAATCATCAAGTGCTTCCAGAAAGTGAAAAAATTCGAACGTTGTCCTTTTCGCCGACTCTGTTCACAGAGTACCAAGAGATCTGTCCAAGCGTGACATTTAAAATAAATTTTCCTGGGATTCTACCAGACAAAATTCAAAATACTGTGAGGAAACTGTAAAATGACGAACGGCGAATGTATGTACTGTAAAACAGTTGACTATATGTCCTGGATGGCTCTTGAGAAAGACGATTTTAGAAGGTTTTCAGTAATCAGGGAATTTCGTGTTACTGGAAATTGGGTTGAGGCGCGCGTTGCATCAAGGGTGAAAATGGGCCTTTAATCCAGAACAATTAGCATTAATCATAGAGTGTCAATTATTCTTCAGTCAGACTTTTTTTAAACGGATATGCCATGCTCATACATTTATCAGCGACTCTAAAGAAAAGTGTGACGTTGGGGGGGGGGGGAAGGGAACATTTTCATCTTTCCTAAGATCTTTGCTTGGTGTCAAAACTCTGTACACCAGCCAACGGATTCATGTTACTTGTACGCAAGCCTGACTCGTACCAGTGCTTGAGGTCAGTTCATTTTATTTTCGTTTGCTATATTTACAGTATTGCCAGGTGTCCCTAAAGGCGTTTCCATCGAATATATGAACTCTTCTGCTGTCCGTGTGGGATGGAATTTGCCTCTTCCTGGTAGCAACGTAACAAATCATTATGTGGAATTGTCTATTGCATCCGGGAATGTTATCAAACGGCAATCATCATACGGAAAACAATCGGTCATTTTCACACTTCTCCTGAGCAACACACAATATAAAGTGCGAGTACAAGCCGAGAATGCCGCGGGGAATGGGTCGAGTTCACAGTATGTATCGTTCAAGACGAATGAAAGTAAGTCGCGTCAAAGAAGTCTATGCAAATTTGTGCGTTACGATGCTTTAAACCCAACAGTCTAAGATTAAAGAGAAACATTGAAAACGTAAGAACTGTTGACGAAAGTGAAAAACTTTGGGGGAGAGAGGGAGGTTGCTGTTTCAATGCAGTTCTACGATAACAAGCCTCCCGTATGTTGCTAAGCTCGGTTAAACTATGTGCACAGAGTGCCGTCTTACGTCAGTGAATCTATTGCACCTTCAGAATTTTGCACATTGTGTCACTGACAAATGGTACCCCTCCCAGCTGTTGGCTGAAACTGTAGTTGACATCATAAATTTCGATACATTCTCCAGATGTTCCGGTCATTTACACCCCAGCAAAGAACAACGAAGTGATTGCTGGTCACTCTGTCACACTTCGGTGTGGTCAGCCGCACCAGACCGTCCAGTGGTACAGAGACAAAAGCAATGTACCCCTAAACGTCAGTGGCCAAGAACTAACCATTCACAGCGTTTCCTCAAAGGATGAAGGTACCTACCATTGTCAGGTGGATAATGGTCTGAGAGTGTCCATGAAAGTCCTGGTTGTTGGTAAGTCCATGAAGGTTAATCGGTCTAAAGGGTCATTTAATATGCATATGTAAGCAAGGTTTCTGAAATAGTTTGGCGATATACTTTTCCTTTCTAACATGTTACTTTTTTTTCATTGTGTGAACCTTGTATAGTCAGAGAGGAAGGATCTTTTTCAGCGTGAAAGGACTTTCTTTGCTTTAGACATCTACGGTTATTATCTTAGATGGCAACTCAAAAGTTCTTTTCTGGCTTATCGCTTCTTTCATCACTCCGCTATTACCATTATGCTTTAAAAGGTCATCAATAACATGAAACAATAAAACGAATTGAACACCACGAAATCGAGACGCAAACAAGCAAACATTAAAAAATCTTGGCAATATGCAGTGAAAAAGGAAGGCGAAAAAAATAGATAACAAGGAAGCTAAAAAAAATATATAAAGACATGACAAACACTAACGGCTCCTACATTAGCACTGAATGGCTCCCATACATGTGTACATTCAGCTGCCAAGAGCGCTTTGCCGGTGTCCAAAAGAATGCAAAAATTTTCCAAGAATTTGGCCCACGCAGTAAAATGCACCTTACCTGTCCATCAGATTGACCGCCAAAGTATTACAAGAAATCTCGCTTTGCAGCTTAGAAATATGTTTCTTTTCATTCTTTTTAATCAGAGCATCCTGTTATAACTGAAGTTAAAGGAATTATTCTTAAACAAAACGACAAAGCAATGATGAAAAGAGAGCTTCTGCTGCTTTGCAACACGGCAAACAGACATCCGCTAAAGTACGCATGGTTTAAAGATGATGAACCGCTGATTAATGGAGAGGACTCAGTTAAAGTTTCCTTACAAGACGATGAAACCAAATACACATGTCATGTGTCAAACATAGCCGGAAAAACTTCCAGATCCTTGGTCATCTCCCCTATGGGAGGACCAGGTGAGGAGAAGGATTCATTTTTCTCAAATCTTCATCAAAAATACTTTCATATTCTAGTTAAGCTACAATCGATTTCAAAATTAGTGTAAAAATTTAGTAAAACTTATGTGTCAAATAACCTTTTCTCGGACTAAAGTCCCTAGAGTGGAGGTATGGAGGTGCTGCTTCCCCCATTCCCCCCCCCCCCCCCTTCCCCCTTCAGCTGTTTAGAGTATACGGATGACCAAATAGCATAGATATCATGAAGTTTGAGAAAATCACAAAGCTAACCGGTGGGCACTGTCTGATTGGATTGTTTTCCACGACACGACCTCATTTCGGAAATTTTAAACTGCACAGTAAATACTCTAACTTAAATTAATAATGATAATTTGGTTATTAATTTGATTTTAACATTTTCCTTTTTTTCAATGTTTAATTATTTTTTTCTATCTTTTGAAGAAGTATCAGAGGTCGGTCACGGTACCGATCGCTCCTTGTCAACCAATTTGGTCATCGTCATTGCTGTTTTGTCCGTTCTCCTCATAATCTGCTCTGTTGTGGGTTTTACCCACAGAAAGATCACAAAGTTAATAACTGAGAAAAGGAAATCCAGAAAATTGACAGTGCAGAGCACCTCTACTGAGATGGCAACTGTGGAGGAAATGGAGTCGCCGAGACCAGAGTCACGGACCGAAACTATCACGCGTGATAACGATGAGGTTTTCCCATATGATGTTATATCGGCATGGACTGATTCAAACGGGCTTTACATGAGCTTGAGACGCGAGGGAAACGATGGCGAACTTGAAGATGCCACGCAAGTTGCAAGAACTGACTATACTAACATTTCCCCTAGCAATCGTAACGATAGCGCAGCTAATTGCATGTACGCCCCATTGATTCATACTGCAGGATTGCAAAGTGCTAGAGAAATGAAACGTCCATACGTGAACGTGGACACCATAGAGACTTCATCAGATAGGTAGAAAAAACCTTATATGGTTATCAAATGGCCTTTAAAAAGGCTATTTCCTTGTAAAACCTTGTAATTTCTGGTTTTGCTCCTGTTTGGCTGAAAACGGCGCGAAACAGAATTAATGTACATTTAAATTGTGTTCCTCAAGTGCGAAGCCGAAGTGTGAATACTATTATGTTTGACTCCTTGACTTTGAGACGGTAACGAAGCCAGCTAAGAGTAGTTTACCTTTAGTAGCAACCGCTCTGTATATTTGTAGTTGGACTTATCATTATTTTTTTTTTTGAAATTTTACTCGCCTCAGAAGGTTCAGTTAGGTCTTTTTGCCCCTTTGGTATAGTCTACCTACGGAGGACTTTGGAATATAAAGGTTAACAAAAAGGAAACTCCCATCCCTCAAAGCAATGAAGGATATGTCTTGAAATGAGGATAGGATGACCCAGATACCTTTTAATTTATGTCCAAGAAAGTAGGTACGTGCGCTAGGTAAGACAGTGACGAAAGAGAGCTAGGGAAGCGAGCTGTATTTTGATCCCGAAGCAAGAGTTGAATTTAACCCTTTACACCATAACATCAGTATGCATATTCTCCTTGTTGTTCTGTATAAAGTTCTGAGGTGCTGGCAAGGGGAATTTGTTTAACAAGCAGGAGCTTCTGTACTTGATGATTATTTTCTTAATTCTCGTCACCTTACTGAGTGATTCATGGGTGATGTAAGGAGAAATTAGATGTTGATCACTCCAAGGGGTCAAAGGATTAACAGAGTGCGGAAGTAGATACCTTTGTACACTTATAGCAGATGAATATGCTGTGTTGTAAATACGATTTGCTACAGAATATGTTCTTGGATCTATGTTGGTACAATTGACGATATTTAGATACATATTGGACGAGGCTAAGAACGATCTATCGCGAAAATTGTCAAAGCTGCGATGTCATTTATCTTCCGAAACCATTGAAAACTGGACAAAACAGATTATGCATATCTGAAACTCCACCCTCCCGGGATGGTGTAAAAAATTTAGAACCGTGCCAACAATTGAATAGTGTGATTACAATATAAATGCTTTAACACACGAAATAGCGTTGTAATTGATCAATGTAGTTTTGTCGCAATCTGGCTAAAAAGATTATGCGTTAAGTTAGCTTAGATGGGAAATTTCCACTATGAAATCTAGTTTGTAAACTTTACTTATACGTTGATTTAGCTTGGATGAGCAGATTCCACGATGAAATCTTGGCTGTAAACTTTGCTTATTCTGAGGTTTTCTGTGCTAATATATCAACCGAATAAAAAAATAATAATACATATTAGAAATTCAAATTACTTTCATTCAGTGCGAATAATTTCAAATCAATTTTGCCCCATTTTCCTTTGTCAGATCTATCCAAAAGGATCATCCCGTCTATGCGTGGAACGGTCAATATTAGGGACTGGAAGAACTGGTTTTGTCGAGCTTTTAATTAAGCGTAGGAAATAATTTTTCACGTAACATTCTGCTCACCGTAATCGCCAAATAATGATGAAATGGTCGCTTGACTTCAGGCTTATATTTCTGGAGAGAATGTTGTATGGCTGTATTCAATATGCTGTTGACCTGTAAAATAACAGGTTCTTGAACTCTCAGGAAAGTAACCGAACTATATTACATTTAAGGCATTGTCATACACAAATGCAGTAAAACAAATAAGCAGGTGAGAATTTGGTAAAAACTAGATTTATTGCATTTATACAAGACTTCTCAGAGTGTCTTCCGATCCGGAAGTTTTGGTGCATTTTCTGCAAATATTTTAATCCAGCTTTTAAAAAGCTCTCTCGACCTGGTTGTTTTTGTACATTTCTGCAACTCTTTTACTCCAGAGTTAAAAAAACCTAAAAGACGTTCTTTAAAGGAAAGTAAATTATCATTTATTTTTTCAATTAAAATTCTGTTTCACTTGGCAAACAAAATCGGAAATAATAAATGGAAGCTCTCTAGATCAGCAAAACGAACTCATAAGTTGCATGCCGACACCTTCAAAGCAGAAATAACAAAATAGGACAAACAAATTTTGTATAAGAAATAATTATCTAATTGAAGTACCGTTCAGGAAGATTCCTTGCAAAAGAACGACTAGTCCAACATGGAATAAAATGGTTTGTAACTGATTAGTTCAAAATACGTGAAAATAGTGCATAACATATATTTACGAGAAATACAGAACATGCCTTAGTCGTTAGAGATAGCACAGTAAATCTTAGGCGTAAATGATTGTGTTCGAAGAACGTAAAACGGTTGGAAGTTTTGGTCTTTCCGGATTCGATTAAAGCACCCTCTGCCGAGCACATGCGCAGTCTGAAAAAAACATCATTGTGATTATATCGCAGTAAATCGTCTTTCTAAGCCGCACCCGACCAGATTTCGTCATAGTTCGTGCAAACAAGGCCAGCACCTAAGAGAGAAAAACAGGGAAAGAAGACAAAAACTTTAAATAAACTCCGTCGTAAAGACAGTGAGAAATAACAAACTACTTTAGGAGAGTATTCCGCGTTCAACTTAGGTCAAGTAAGTCAAGTAATAGTGCACGCATGCGTATTGTAGGCATGAGGTTTCGGTTTTTCGGTTCGCCATGTTTTCGTCTTGCAAAATATTCTGACGGTTTGTAATGAAACTGCTCGGGTAGCCAATGAAAACACAGGGTTTGCTTCATATTTCCCACGGGCGCTGGCAGCTATACAATAAAGAATGATAAAATAATATCTGAAGAATCAAACAAAAGCTATGACAAAAAGTAAACTAAAACAAACAAGGATGAGAACAAATAACGAGAAGAAGGATATGAAATTCCGTATAATTCAGCAAGCCCGTTGAAGTATCCATCCGTAGTCTTTTTAGTGCCAAGTTTCACTCTTTACAACCTTATATCAATTTGCACATTCTCTATGCTGTCCTTTATTCATTTCTTTAAGGAGCTTATAAGGAGAATTTGTTTCATGATCAAGAGCTTTTTCTAAATGGTGATCATTTCCTTTATTCTCATGACCCAAATGTGTGATTCGTGGATGATATTCTGAGGAAAAATTAGGGGCTAATCACTCTTAGGGGTTAAGGGTTGACAAGATACAGTAAATAAATTAAATATATACATTAATAAATACATTGGCGAAGCAGACGAACGAAGCAAATAAATAGAGGCATTTCATTCATTTATCTAACCATTCATCCACCTAATTCAGTAGCACATGTAGGGGGTTATTCAGTTAGGCTTTGATTTATACATGATAGCGTCAACTATTTTACCTTCTCACTCATGAGAAAGTCGTCTGCTTCTTGGAAGATGCACCTGGATGAGCCTTACATCCGATCCACCCAGGGACACGGCGACACGTAAACTGTTCAGGCAAACGCCAAGACAAAAATTTTCCCCTTCAATATTTAACGTAGCCAAATGTTCCTCTGAAATTGCATCGAACATTCGAAGAAAGTTACCAACATTCTCCACTGAACAGACCATCAACGCTCGGTTCGTGATAAATTTAACATCCACTAAATAATCCTTTTCGAGTAACTTGCTGTGTAATTTCCCTGAGGTTGCATTGTAGATCTCTACGATCTTAGAGGTCCATAGAACCACGAAATCCCCTTTGGGAGAAAATAAGCCTTTTGGTAGGACGCCATCCCTACCTTCCAAAAACGACCGAATTTTGCGAGGCGATGAAAACGAGGCGTCTGAAAGGTGAACAGCGCTTTCCACTAATAATTCGCATGTACGTTTAAATATTATCATTTCGAATTTTTTGTTCATCGCTAGGACTATCCACCCTTTTACATTTCCAATGATCTGGGAACGACCATCCGAGGTAGACAGGACAACAGCGGTACCATCTTCGGTCAAACAAGCTACTTGTTCTTCTGATATAGGTAGCAACTTAATTCCTTGTAAGTTGCCCCACGGACGTTTACACTCCGTCAATTCAACGTCCCAAAACTCAACTGTATCGTCCAAAACAATAACACCATCTTTCACAGGCAAAATCGAAGGGAACTTCTCGTAGTTTTTTTCTGCTTTAAGATTCCAACTTGGAAATTCCCATACAGTCACTGTTAGTGGACTCCCACCCACCACGTACACATTCTCACCATTAGTGGAGAAAGCAACATCCTCAACCAACGTGTTGGACTTTATGTCGGTCTTTTGAATTTTAGCGAGATTTATCAAACTCACATGTTGAAGATTTGGGCTACTTAATAATGCACGTTCGCTTTTTAACCTCATTAGCAATCCAGCTCTCTCGAAAGGAATAACTCTCGACAAGGCCAACGTCAAACTTCCTGTGGCATCTCCGTCGATGAAAGGCCAATCATCCTCATCGCTATCGAGTAAACCTTCTTCGCTGAAGTCACTCAACATTTTTTGGGAAAATCTATTAGTAGTAATTCTGCAGCGAAAACGTCGGTGACCAACTCTGTCTTTGCACAGACCAACAAGAGCATCACTCTCCACGGAGAAAGTCATAAATCCCCAGGGTGAATTTGTCGATATTGATCCTAACTCAGTTTCTTCATTCTGCAAATCAAACAGACATAGTGAGCCCGTGGAGTGGGAGACTACCAGAAGATTTTTATCTGGAGAGCACTGAAAACAGATTATATCTTCATTTCTGGTAATGCGGGACATCTCTACCCCGGTATCCAGACTCCAAAAGACTAGGCATTTGGAATTGTTCGGACAGTCTGTAAGTATCGCGGTGTTGTCCCCTAATAATGTACACATAGAGAATCTACATTTACTTGTGCTGAAAAGCTCTTTCTGTTTCCCATCAATGGTATAAACTGCGGATAGGTTTCCAGGCAGTATATGTTTTCCATCGGGATGAAAGGCGACGGATCGATAAAATGAAAGCGTCCCAAAACCTGATCCTTCTCCACCTACAAATGCTCCACGAAATGTAGGTCTGAATTCATATTCCTTCATTAAGACAGGATTTCTCCATTCTAATTTACCCGTCTTCAGTGACCACAGCTGAATCTGTTCCTCATAACATTCACACACCATATAATCCTGGTCTGGCGAAATATCGAGACAAAGCACTTCTGATGAACAATGAAATTGAGCTTCCACAACTGACTGCTGTTGATTCTTGTTGACCAGCTCCATATAGGATATTTCATCATATTTCTCATTCAAGAGTTTTTTAGCTTCTGAAGATAGCACTGATCTGCTCTCGTTCACCATAGTCTGTAAGAAAACATGCGGAAGCTCCATCAGCGACCGACTGTTCTTACGTAGAATAGACAGCAAAGTTTCCAGGGAAGCTTTCGTTTCTCCACTCAACGAGTTAAAGCTCTCTTCCTTTAGAACACAAACAATATCTTCCGTCGCCACTGTACTATTCACACACAGCTTTGCATAGACAAGCTCTTGGTTTATCACATACTTCCTCACAACGTCCTTAATGCCGTCTTTTCTTGTATCCTCGTCGACCTCTAACATGTGTCGAACACCATGTTGTAGGGCATACCTTGTCTTGTCATTAAACTGCGCGTCACTCACAGATTTCGCAACTCGTCTCTGCACCAGAATATCAAATTCTGCAGCACAAAGTTCTGCAAGTATACGATGGCCTTCTCTCTCGTCGACGATGAAGTCGTGCGCCCCGTAGCAACATTCATCTGTTAACCAATCTTTGATGGACTTGTGAAAAATGTGAAGACGGTCACCTCTAATGGGAAGAAGTGAGGAAACACTGTTTATAGCTTTCAAAAGTTTCCGTTTACTACCTTTCGTGGTAGTACTTGAAAGCAACAGCCGAGAAGCAAAGTCGATAGGCAAGGGTTCTATCGATGCGGCAAGAGCAGAAAGGAAATTCAAAAAAGACTCTTCCTTGATGCCAAGCTCACTCATGAGCTCACTCTCCAACCTTTTGAAATAGCGATGGTAGACTGAAGAAATTCCTAACGGTAAGTTTCCCTTTTCGTCTCCTTGTTTAAGAACTGATGGATTCTCTTCAATGTATAATAGAAGAAAGTAAGCATACAGCATGAGCCCTTCCGACTTTTCAACGAGATTTTCCACAATGTCATTCGTGTTTTCTGCTTCTGGCATGCATTCTAATTTCTTTCCGATGAAGCGCTTGATGTCATTTTGATTTTGCTCATCCTCTGCTTCCAGCTGAAACGGTTGCAAATGTCTTAATGTCTTTGCAATGTTCCTCTCGGGTCGGCTTGTGACAAGAAATCGAATCCACATTGGAAGCTTGCCAAAGTGATTGGCAATGATCTCAAGTAACTCATTCCGATCGTGATAGTCACTTTCATCCAGGCCATCTATAACTAGTAACATGTTCCTTCCAGGGTCCTCTACGCTGCTGAGAGGCTCTTTCAAGAGGAAGGCGAATAATTCCTCAACCCCCATATCGTTGAGATCCTTACCCGTATTTCTTGACAATTGCTCTATAAGAGCTAGCTTAAACTCTGGCAGAGCATGGCACATATGACAGGCCAAGGACTGAAGCATTAACTGAGGCTTCCGGTAACGGACGTTATTATGTTGGATGAAGTGACTTCCGCATAAACGGCCAGCCACTTGCATTTTTTTGCAAACAACGGCGGAAATGACAGATTTCCCCATTCCTGCGTTTCCACATATAACCATCACCCGGTTTTGAGAGTTTCTGTCGTCTAACCAGTTTTGGACTTTGCTAAACACCCACTCACGGGTGTCTTCTTGAAAACGTTGGACGTGAAACTCGATGTCTCCTTTGAATTCAGACTTAACGAGGTTCCTCAGGACCTCTTCTCCTTGGCTGCCTGAGTTTCTTCCTTTGCTAAGTTCTCCAACGGCTACCTTCATTTCCTGTACATCTTTTTGCAAACTTTCCAAACACTCGCCTTGGCTTCTAGCAGCGCCCTGAATGGTGCTTTGTATTTTCGTCTGGGTCTGATGCACTTCTCCTAGCATTGACTTGCTATCTTGAAGCGTTTTGTGATCTTCTAGCTGGGTTTGACGTACATCTTCAATACTACGCTGTGTTTTGCTCTGAGATCGATGCACTTCTCCTAACATTGACTTGCTATCTTGATGCGTTTTATGATCTTCTAGTTGGGTTTGACGTACCTCTTCAATACGATGCTGTGTTGTGCTCTGAGATCGATGCACTTCTCCTAGCATGGACCTGCTATCTTGATGCGTTTTGTGATCTTCTAGTTGGGTTTGACGTACATCTTCAATACTACGCTGTGTTGTGCTCTGAGATCGATGCACTTCTCCTAGCATGGACCTGCTATCTTGATGCGTTTTGTGATCTTCTAGTTGGGTTTGACGTACCTCTTCAATACTACGCTGTGTTCTGCTCTGAGATCGATGCAGTTTCGTCAAATGAGATTTGATTTCTTCTTCACTTTTAACCCATTTAATCAAAACGTCAAGGTAATCTTCCGCGCCACACTTTTCTTCTTTCAGTTTATCGATTTCTTTTTTATCCAACCCAAGAGCAACCAGAGCAGCACTAATTTCTAGCCACAGAGAAGAGAAAGTGGGTGTGTCAATGCCAGTGCTAGTGACGTGGCCATACAACTCATTGCGGAAGAACTTCACCCGGGCAAGATTTGCTTCACGAGAGTTGTCACCCGGAGATGGCTTTGAATGCCACCCTGAGCGAGGAGGAGATAGTCCGCAAATGTTGGTGAGAAGGAGAAACAGGAGAGTGATATCAAACGTCTGAGAGTCTGGTGCTGCTCCGTCAGGTGGGAATAGTTTGTCCCACTGAGCTGCACGCAGAACCCTTTTCCCAAGGAGAGAATTCAGGGTAAAAGAGTGGGCGTTAAGTCCAGCAGACAGCCTTGCCGGTGGGTGATAGCCATCAAAGATGGTCCTCAACACTGTTGTTCCACCATCGATGAGAAGTCTGCTCAACTAGGATCCATTTGTCTTCTCTGGGGAGCTGGCTAAGGGCAACGGTGCAGAAGCTGACATGTTGTTCAAGAGTACTGCAGGCTAGACCTCAAAAGGTACCCGTGGGGCAAAAGCGATAATTCCACGTTCTTTGTGGACCATGAAAAAAAATAACAAAAAAGAATGATTAAACCGCTAAGGAATTTCTGGTCAATTTCAAAAAGCTGCTAAAATAATGTGTATGACATAATGATAGTAAAACCAACATTTATGATAATACTGATGATATTTTTAGTTACAATAGCATAAAAACGATGATACTCTTTATTTGTAACCACCATCCCTGACATTTCGAGATCGTTTTTCATCCCAAATCTATACAACCAAATAAATGTTCACAACCCAACAGTCGTGATATGTATTTGATTGCTACATCTAATACATTTCAGACAACCCTCTTTAATGGACTCCTCTCTACATATTTGAGCAAAGTATTCAGAGACAGACTTTATATAGTACTTTCCCAGTGTTTGGTTACCGGGAAGTTAAAAATCCTTCACCATTTAACCACTAAGGGTGACTGCCATCTAATCTCTCCATACAGAATCACCCTTGAATCCAATGTGGAGGTCATGATAATAAAGGAGATGATCACCAATTTCAGAAGCTACAGAATGGTAAACCAATTCTCCTTGTCAGTACTATAGAAAATGTACAGAGAACAGTATGGAGAATACACACACTGATGTTAGGGTGTAGAGGAATGATAGTATTATGGCAGGTTTAAGTTCTTTCTCCACCAGGGCAAGATTTTCCAAACATTAACATAGATCTACATCTTAAGCCCTACATGTAGTTGTGATCATTTCCAATGGAATAATCAAAACCAACTAAAAGACAACACCTAGAATTTACAATCCTTTTTCCTCAATTAGCATTTTTATAAATATAATCTACATCAAAGCGATAACAAGTCTTTTTTCATGATCAGAGAAGGACTAATTCATGTTCCTGTTGTCCTAAGCATCTATATCACTATCATCATCAACATCATCATCACTGAGAAAAGTCTCATGTCACATTACATGTACATCTAACATTTTACCTTTTGAGGACTTCACCTGGCACCCGATTAGGAAAAAGTTATATATGACTGTTTGGGATTTCTGAAGAGTTAAAAAAACAAAATCATCTTAATTACCCTTCTAGAATTGATATAGGTACATATAAAGAAGATAGTTAACCTATAAAGGACACTTGAGTTTGATGAATATGAAATGATGATTCAGCTATTGGCTATCCACCATGTCCCAAAATGATACACGGTAGATTGCAAGATGCAAGTGAAATTACTTGCAATTAAGACCACATAAGGTTAACCTAACTGCGTTTAGCAGAAAGCCTCTTTATGCACCAGTATTTATGACTCTTGAATTCAGATGCATTTCATTTTAATAATAAAATTGTTTCTCATTAACTTTTAAGGCAGTTAGGAGTGAGTTCTGTTAATTGAATTAAGATGTGAGTTTTAAAACTGAGCTGAGCCATGCAGTACATTCTGCCCCTGCTTGGAATGCACTATGCCCAGAAAAGCAGGGATCACTACCTTGAAGAGTGGCTCTGCATTTGGTAGGTTTAAAGGTAAAATCTACACTCAAGCTAATTATATAGCCAGTCCAGCAAGAGCTTATCCAGGTTTCTATCACATGAGGCAACTAGGAGTATTACCACTCCCCCCTGGATGGAATGCTAGATTATGCAAGATACCCCTAGCTGTTTAAACCATGTCAGTCAGACACAACAGCAAAAGAAATTTGTACACCTGCAGTTATGCATGACATCTCATTCATACTCCCATGAGTGAATTCCTTGGCTTTTTTTAAGGATCCCCAAAGATTGAAAAATGCTCAGTAGTACCAGGCCTTTAGCAATTTGTCAGAAAAGATAACGTGACTTAAGCAGCCTACATCTGTAGATCTCTTAATCCACACAAGGAGAAGAGATTCAAGGAACTTGTTTCAATTATCACTCATTTTCTAAAATTATAGTTATACTTGATCAAATTAAATCTAAGTGCAGGTTTTCATGATGACTCAGCAGGGTAATAAAAGGAAGTGAACAAATACATTATCATATCCCCTTCAAAAGTTTGGAGCCAAACGGAACCTAAGGATTTAAGGCTAGCTACAGAAAAACCTGGACACATAGTCCTAGGTTTTTCCAAGTTAGCCTCCATAGGTTCCAATATAGATGGTGTTTCCTGTGAAAATAGGCTACCTAGGTTCTTCTCCATGTTCTTAATTAAAACAAAAAAACAAACAAACAAGCAACTTGTATTGGCAGGTGTGGGTGTGATACAGTAAAAACCTGCATAAAAGAACAAGTAGATTAAGAACACCCAGGCTGAAGTTTGGTCAAAAAAGTACAATATACATAAGAACACGTTCAGCCTGAAAAATTAAAATTGTTCTTATACAAAGAAATTGGCTGCCAGTTAGATTAGAATAACCTTCTAGGGTACAGTATTACCCTAAGTAGATCAATATATGTGCTGGGCTATTGCACACATAGAGTTTCACAGCAGGTATGGGAATTTCCAGGGTACATTTAACAATTGTTTTTAGACTTGGTTAATTGATGTTACTAAATGACTGCTATCTTCTGTCAGTCACATTGATTTCGTTTTTGCTGCAGACACAACATGCTGACATGAAATCATAAAAGACAATGAAACTGAGCAGCATCACAGATAACCCTTTAACCCCTAAGAGTGAGTAACAACTAATTTCTCCTTACAATATCTCCTCTGAATCACACACTTAAGTCATGAGAATCATGGAAATGATAAAAAACAACAGAAGCTCTGGATCTTTAAGCTAATTCTCCTTGTCAGCACCTCAGGAAATGAATAGAGAACAGTATGGAGAATATGCATACTGATGTTAGGGTGTAAGGGATCAAATTTAACACTGCAACAAATCATTGAGAGGTCAACAATATCTGGACAGCCAAGTACAATTCAAGCACCCAGCCTCTGCCACACAGAACTCAAACAACAACAGCTCAGCATGTAGAAATACATGTACATTGACTATTTTTGTAAACAATCAACCACCACTCAGGTGAAACAAACATGCAGAAAATGGCTAAGAGTCATCAGCTTGAGGATGCATTACCTGAATCGGCTGGTGTTGCACAAAGTCAAACCCAAAGGTGAAGTAACAAGCAAAGGGGAAGTAACAAGCAAAAGTCCTACACTGTCGATTTCAAAAAGAAAACACTAGATCTTTTGGATTCACTGAAACCAACAACAAATAATTACAACACAGTTGCAAAGCAGCAAGGAGTCAACATATCAGGGGTGTTTAAGTGGGAAAAACACAAAAGCAAAATTCTGGCAGAACTGACTCTGAACAAGACAAAGAAGAACACAGGTGCACAAGGCCAATGAGACAAAGGAGAAGGATAGCTGGGAAAAGATCCCAACGCAATGATAAATATCCACTGGCTTTCAACCTCTTAGCTGCCAAGTTTAAACTACAGAGAGCAGCAGGAAGCAAAGTGTCCAAACTTTGATATAAAAAAAAGAATGAAATTAAAAATTGAAGCATATTATGATGCAGAAGAAGCTGCAAAATTTAAGGGAAGCAGCAACTGGTTCCAGAGATTCAAGAAAAAAAAACACAAAATGGTACTAAGAAGGACCAACAAGAAGAAACAAGTCCCCTCCAGTTGACACCAAGCATATTAAATGGATACCTAAAAAAAGATACAAAATTAATATTGACCAGGTTCCTCTCCCATTTGTAAATGAGCATTATAAAATAATTCAAATAGTACGTGCGCTCTGATTGGCCATAAAACCATTTTACATGAGCATATGTAAACACGGTTTTCGTTCCTCTTTCATTAGTTATTTCATAAAAGAAATGTAAAACGGTTCTGTGTTTACATAGCCTGATGTAAACACTTGGGAGAATGGGAGAACACTCGATAAGCTGGAAACCACTCCACTTAGTATAGAAGATGGTTGCCTAAATATAGATACAAAATTAATATCGACCAGGTCTCTCTCTCATTTGTAAACGAGCAATATAAAACCTACAACACATTGGGTGCTAAGCCAGTGAGGGTGCTACAACCATCACCTGGTTTTGATAAACAACAGGCTACTCTACAACTTTGGACTAGGGCTGATGGGGAACAAAAAGTGAAGCCACCTCTTATCTTCAGAGAAAAAGGGTGTGTGGCCACTGAGGAGAAAGAAAAATATAACAAGAGGGTTCATATGTATTTTCAGTAAACTGCCTGGATGGATGAAGACATCAACATGCAGTGGGTCCAGGGCACACTTATTCCAGGAATTGGGAAGGAAAAAGAAGACAACCGAACACTCTATTTTGCTTCCAACAAAGTCAAACATTCCATGAAACATGCAGAAATCAGATCAACGCTACAGTTAACTTGCTACCTAAAAACCACACAGACAAAATCCAGCCCATTGATGCAGGATGTGGTCAGATGATGAAAATTGAAATTGGTACAACAATGGAAACATGGCTGGAAGAGGAGAACAATCTCAATAAATAGCATGATAGACTTTCAGCAAAGGCAGCAGGATCTTGATGACCCAATGGTTTGGGGAAGCGTGGAGTGAGTTAAGAAACGATGAGACCTTTTTCAAGAGATTATTTAAGAAAACTGGCAGTTTGCTAAGTCAGCAAATGGCTCTGATGATGTAAAGATCTCACCCCAAGGTTTGAAAAATTATCAAATTTAAATGGATTTGATAATTGGACTGGAAATTTAGTAAACTAGATGCTGTCATTTTGCTCTCTCAGTTTGCTTGTAGGATTGGGGACCAGTCAATAGTTACATGGAAAGAGAGAAGGGGAGCTGGTGCATTTCAAATTTGCTTGACTTTTGCTGGGTTATGAGTTGTTTATCACCAGAACTGCTATGCCTCCCCCAACGTAATATTATTGTTTTGATTAATGCAGTTAAGGTTAGTTCCATCCATTAATTAATTAAAATGTTCTGCTTGCACATTGATTTCATCTGTTTGTAGTCTATGCAGCATAAAATTTTTGGAAACAATTTTAAGAACAATTTAGGAACGCTTTCAGGCTGATTTTGTAGAAAACACCCAATATATACACCCCCCTCCCTGTAAGAATAAAATCAGCCTGAATCCCAAAACATGTCTTCTTTTGTGTGGGTTTTTACTGTACCACACTGTATGCCAGCCTCATAGTGCTCTGCTTTACATGGTTAACTTATACACACAGTCAGATCTGTTGCACAGCTATGGATGTATTGACAGTACACTATGGTGATCTTATAATGCTGCCAGTGATCTGGCTAGTTTTTGTTACCTTTTTGCATCCCATGCTATGTAGAGTATCAAATTTAAATACACTCTAAAAGTAAGAACCTGTATTGAGATTTTAGCCTAGAATGGTTCTTTTAAGATGGGTACTTCACTGGGAAACTTTAGCCTGACAGGTTCTTAAATTTTAGGTTCTTATGCATGGGTTTTGCTGTATTTAGAAAAAAGACAGACTTCTTTTGCTGTGAATTCACAAAGCAAACAGTGGTAGCACTCGTGTACACCTCTAGCAGTTTAATTGTGAACTCTGAGTCAAGCAGTATGAATATCAGTCAAAATTTTGCTTGCAGCAGTTACAAGAACACAACACATTTTGCTATCTTTGAAAAATAATGCAAGTCATTCATTAACCCTTTACACCCTAAAATCAGTTTGTATATTCTCCACACTGCTCTTTATACATTTCCTAAGGTGCTGACAAGGAGAATTTGTTTACCAATCAAAAGCTTCTTTTTTTGGTGATCATTTCCTTTATTCTCATGACCTTTATGTTTGATTCAGGGGTGATACTGTGTGGAGAAATTTGATGCTGGTCACTCTTAGGGTGTAAAGGGTTAACCAGAATATCTAAACATGCTTTTAAAAGGAGATGATCTGGATTCCATAGAAGAAGACTATTTTAATGACAAGATATTACAGCTGGTTTATTTACCAGACACTGTCTACAATTCAGTAAACTTACATCTTGATCTCAAATTTTGAAGCCTGGGACCTATACAAATAAAAATAACCATTAGAAAAGACAAAGGATGGTGAAATAACATGGCAAAGACTGAAATCAAAATTGATGAACACAAGAGCAGAAGTGATCATCGCTCAGTCATAGCCACAGTTAAAGAAGGAATAAACATTCCAAAAATATCAATTCAGGTTGACAGAAAATAACACTTCACTGGTTTAAGACCTGGTTAATAGAAAATAACACATCCCTGGTTTAAAACAGAAAATCCCTGGTTTAACACATTCCTGGTTTAACACATCCCTGGTTTAATAACAAAAAAATAACAAAAAAATAACACATCCCTGGTTTAAAACCTGGCAGTAGAATAGCTTGATTTGTTAACTGAAATTTCAAAAAACCTGTGGCTCTTATATGGAGCACAAATGCAGAGTAGTATTTAATGATAATAATGATAATGATAAGGAATTTATATAGCGCTAAAACTATAAATAATATTTAGAAGGGCTTTACATAAGTTAAAGTTCTATACTAATTAAAATTAAAATATTCAAAGGCAATAAACATTAGAACTATTGAAACAAACTAAAAGCTTTCCTAAATAGAAATGTTTTAAGTTGCCTTTTAAAAATGGCAAGGCTACTACTTGTTCTTATAGTTAATGGCAGGGAGTTCCATAAAACAGGTGCAGCATGAGCAAAGGCCCAATCCCCAAGTGAAGAGCAGTTTGGAACGAACAGAAGAGCGTGAGCAGACGAGCAAAGAGCATAATTAGTAGGTGGTTTCAGGGACAAAAGATCTTTAATGTAGGGAGGCCTTTGGGTGCATAATGCCTTGTAAACAAAGAGGAGCAATTTAAACTGAACTCTGAATGTTACTGGAAGCCAATGTGGGTCAATAAGTGCAGGTGTAATATGATCAAATTTCAGAATCTGAAAAATCTCTACAGCTGCAGCATTCTGAACTTTCTGTAAGCGATCAAGTTGATATTTAGGTAGACCAAAGAGAAGTGCATTACAGTAATCAAGGTGTGAGGATATAAAGGCCTGGACTGGTGTCTTAGTTGATTGAACAGTAAGGAATTTTCTGATCTGTCTTATGTTGTATAATCTGCAAAAAGCCTTGCTACAAATCTTGCCTATATGAATGGTCATTTGCATATGGGCATTGAACCAGGACCCAAGGTTCCAGACACTTTCTAAAGGTTTAATGAGGGTGTCACGAATAAGGGTTGATTCAATAGATGTTTCTTCAAGTTTCTGGTGGGTGCCAATGATTAGAAACACAGTTTTTGCATCATTGATCATTAAATGATTAGCAATAAATCAAGAACGAACATCAGCAATGCACACCTCAATCGCAGAGACAGCATTAATTTCGAAATGGATAGAGCAAGGTCAGAAGGAGAGATAAATCTGGGTGTTGTCAGCATAACCATGGACGGAAGGGAGATGCTGAGAAATAATGTTGAAGAGGCGGGAGACTCATAGAGTGAATAAAATAGGCCCCATACAACTTTCAGAAGTCTTATCACCAACAAGTATACGTTGTTTGCAACTGGACAGAAATGAGTTTACTGACATACTGAAATTTATATACTGAGTTTACTGAAATGAATTTACTGCAGATTTACAAATGTGATTCCTCCAAGGGTTTACGGTCAATTTGCCACCACTACAAACTTGCCACCACTTAAAGTCATATTGTGTCCAGTGGCAATCTGAATTTTTTGTTGTGTGTAGCCTATCATATGAAACTTACATCAAATGAAACTAAGATGTAGTAGTATGTTGCAAAGAGGGAAAGGGACTTAAAAGATGTGTAGCCTCTCAATTAAGGAATGTTAACCGTTAAATGAAATAAAATTTGTTGATATTAGGAAGATTGTGATCAGTTTACATAAAACGAAACCAGAGTGATTTTCACTTATGTTAAATAAACCGCATGAAATTTACATCAAATGAAAACTTGGATGATGTAGTCTATTGCGACATTAAAAATGTGTACAAGTACATTTACAGCAAAGTTTACAGAAACGGACTTGGCTTCCTTTAACTGTATTAATCACATGTCAACGTGATCTATAACGCAACTCGTAATCAAATCTAATGAAACATATTATATGTAAGGTTTGGTCTTAAAGTGGAACTAAATTTTGGTTTTCAGGATGCAAAATTAAAAGTGCGCACCAACAAGGTACATTTTTTTCAGAAAAATAAATAATGAACAAAGTAAAATCAAAATAAAATCTTAAAAAACAAACAGAAGTTATAATAATTCAGCACCTTTTTGGCTCTCACATACTACTAAGAACACCCTCTTTTCATCAAACAGTTAAGATACTAAACCTAAAGAAAGAAATTTAAAGCCGATTCAAAGGGCATTAACCCTAATTCATCGATGGTCAATATCATAGGTAATAAATATATTTCAACAGCTCATTTGTTATTCAAATGAGTAACCACAATAGTATCTAAAATTTTCTAAGACCAATTTCAAGTTATCGATACGCGATGAAGTTGTGTTTGAACGTGTTCTTGCGATCGAGAAAATCGACATGTTTCACAGCCTTCTCAGTACAAACAAGAGAATAACATTCGATCGAACAACAATTACAAGTCAGCGTACGGATTTTAATGAAGTACCCACTGGGTTTCATCAAACCCCTTGAGGAAAGGAGATTCTGTAATTTTAGTTCTTGCGAGGTTATGAAGTCTATTGACAAATTACTCGGATGTCGCATCACTGCATCTAACTTACCATAAATTCATAACTTTACTGCAATTCTTTGAAATAACAGCTTCTTCTGAAACGACACGGCCTAACACCTGTGGGAATAGAAGCAACATTCTAAATTGATAAAGGTTTCAACAAGAAGGGAAAGGTGGAGATCGATTTATGAGGAGAAAGGAATTGATTATTGATTACCGACCAAACGGCCAGCCGAACCCCAAATTTCACTTCAAAATTGACTGCAGATAACAATTACTCTGTTCAGACAAACCTGGCTATGGAATCATCCAACTTTCTTCTCGAAATCTCGACTAGGAACACCTCCTACAGACAACGACGTCTACCGTGGATTGCAAAGGATAGAAAGAATCTGAAAATATATTTGGGACTTTCCGCTATCCCAGAAGCCCCAGCAGGTAAAATTCAAAATGGATTAATCCAATATTGGATTACTGAGCTGTGGATCATATAGCTTCCTTGGCATCAACATCGTCTCTCACCATTAACATTGTTACTAGTGCAACGCAGACATGTAAATGTCTAAAAATATTAAAAATACTCCATGAATTCCTATTTTCTTGTGCCTTAAATGAAGAGGAAGAACCTGCTAAACGTTTGACCGATATGTTCATGTCGGTCATATACGGTTATTTGGCATGTTCATGAATCATTTGTTCGCCTCTGGCTGCTGAACATGAAAATCCCATGAAAAGCCCAAGGAATTTAAGCATAGATCTCTCTTCCTATCGGTTTGCCGGCAGAAAATAATGCAGTAAGTACGCTAGTAATCCAATAGAAAGTGCAATGTTATGCATTTATAAAATAAACATAATATGTTTCAACTTTCCTTTGGTTTACCGGTGCAATAAACGATAGGTCTTTTGACCAATCAGGGGGCGCGTAGCATCTCGAGCTCAATTATGTTATATAATAATGATAAGGAATGTGGGGAACAACATTTTACCGATTACTGCGAAAGCAGTCCATGTTGTATAATAATATAGAAAAGACCCCTATGACCTAATAACTCTGCAGTGATCGACCAGACTTAAACAGCCTTGTCACAGCTAATACACCTCATTTACAAAGATATCGTCTTGTCATAGTTAAACGCTGATTTACAAAGTAAATTTTTGAGACCAGCAGGGTGATAGAAATCATAGATGCTGTAGTATTATGATTATTATACTTGTTATACATGCAACTAACTTTTTTTTTCTGATTGGCCGGAAGCGTAAAGTGAATTTTCGAAATTAGCGCCTAGGACGTCAACTAGCAGCAGATTATACAATAATCATGTTACGGACCCTCCAAGGTCACGGGTAATCGTGTCAGGTACGACCGCGGTGCATGATTTCTAAGGGTAATCATGTCAAGTTCGCGCGCTTCGTGTTGCTTGCTGATTAGTATATTCTTACACGATCAGAAATAAATTATCATTTCCATTTACTGTCGTGACCATTCCTTTTATCGGTAAGGGTTATCAGCCTCAGCCTTCGGCTTCGGCTAATAACCCGTGCCTCGGCCTTGGTTATTCTGAATATCACAAAAACCTCATCCAATAATTGTTTATAACAATAGTGACGACGATGACGATGATGACAACCACCATGACAACGGTGTGACGAAATGACGATATGATGATGGTGATGATTGTTTCGTTTATCAATAGGCGTTGCCTCTTGTAGATAGATTTACTTAACGACAAGAATCGTGATTGACATTAATTCTATAGATTGGTTTAAAAGCGTTAGATTATTATGTTTCAATTCAGTCTTTCACCGGAATCGAAGTGAGAAAGAAGGCATTTTGTTATCATTTTTTCTCTCTCTAAATCCGCTAACCTAGAGAATCTGCTAACCTGCAAAGTGAGACTGTTGTAACGACCCGCCACAGAAGTAAGTTTACATTGAAGTTTTCGAATTTAGCTACGAGATTAAGACTTGATTTGCGTTTGTTCTGACTGCGAATTATATATGTATTTCTTTTAGATCGAATAGTTATAAAAGCTTGATTCATTTGATCTAACCAGTTCCGAGTAAGGAAACAATGGTGATGACGTCAGCTAGTTATTTCTAATGAGCAGAAAGAAATATATTCTCCATTCCTGTGGGAGAGGTCTACCTAAAGGTGTTTAGTATATCACCCAGATAGTACGCGCACTTTGGTTGATTATTTGTGTGTTCTGTGACCTCCAGTGCGGCCTTCTAGAATTTAAAAAGACGGAGTGGCGTTTGCGCGGTCAAATCTAAGGCATTAGTGAAGGTGTTTTCATTCCGTTCTCTATTAAGCTTCACCTTTGTGGTGCTCAAAAGAACAATTACTTAAAGTTTAAACACTTCAAATTTAAATCAACAATATCCTCGCATAACACACTGCTAAAGAAAACTTTCCCTCGACCACTCACCCTCTTCAAGGGGAAGAAGGGAAAAAAGAGAGAGCCTGGAGACAAGAATGCTTGCAGTCATGGTCTTTTCTTCAGGTGCAATATCGAGTTCAGGCACTGTGGGCTCAACCCTTTTACCTTAGGGGTAAATGGCATCTAATTTCTCCTAACAAGATCACCCTTGAATAAAACATTAAGGTCATGAGAATAAGGGAAATGATCAACAACAAAAGAAGCTTTTGATTGTTAAACAAATTCTCCTTTTCAGAACCTTAAGAAATGTATAGAGAAAGTATAGAGAATATGCATACTGATGTTAGGGTGTAAAAGGTTGAGGTAAGATTTTGATCGCTCAGTGGACCACAAAATTATTAAATAAACTCCTCAGTTTAACGTCAATTGCTTGAAACATCAATTGGACGAAAGTGCTTTGTTCACTTCTTCCAGAGCTTAGAGGCAGGTGCCTTCCGCTGACCAAGAAATCCGTCAACTTAGGGTATCAGATGAGCTTTACAACTGTGATCTTAAGAGAAGATTGCGTTCAATTTATTCGGCTATATGATAAAAAGGCGAGGACCTTGATGTATTTCAATATTTTAATTACATTTACTGTTCCTACTGCACAATAACTTCAAAGATATAATTGAGCTATATACTGAATTACTTGAAAAAAAGAAGAAGCAACAACTACCAAAGAAATACGTATATTCAAAGTCTTCTATGGCGTTGCTCGATATAAAAAATTCTTTTTCCTCAATCGTTAAGTACACTTTCTTGGTATCGTTTGTGTTATAGCAACATGCAAACTAATTCTACCTCTCACATAGAAACATCTCACTGGCGACCTAAAATTCTACCGTCAAAATTGTTCATATGTCATTACAACTACCTCGACTAGAAAGCCACACCATCAAATAAAAAAGGGTCTGTGAGGGCGTTTACATTTAATGAACAATTATCACTCTGTCTGATCTTGTACCTAAAAAGGAAACGTGTGCCCTACAGTAATTTCTTTAGAATCTATCGCTTGAAATTCAGAGGGACTACATGAAAAAAATTCATGTCACTGATTTCAGTTGCAATGTATCAGTACAGTAAATGTGTTATCGCTTTTTAAGGCAGGGCAGGTGTTGGAAAGCTGAACGCATGCACAATGGCAGTTTTCAATTTTTTTGCACTCGTATCTCTCCATTTCTTCCATCTGAGGCCAATATTACATTACAACACATCTACGAAAAAAGAAGAAAATACTATATTATACACTATTTCAGCTGTAACACCACAGATCCTCAAAAAGATAGTTCTGTCATAAAACGATACCAAATTTTAATGCACGACTCTTGAGTTTGCTCCTCTTTCAACCCTGAAAAACTGACCCGATTACTTAGAATTTTTGTAATCTGCCGGACATTTCAGATTTTTCAATGTGCGCCCTACACAACTACAAAAAGGCTCTAGAACTTTTATTTCATTTTAAATTCTTGCAGTAGAGCCGTGCGATTGCAGGGCCGAACGCCTTTTTCCAGCCCGACCCCTGCGGTTCATGTCAACCTGTCTTGTCCTAAAGACGCATAAAGGTGGCAAGTTTCTAAACAAACGGTGGTGCTGCGTCGGTGGAAGAGTATTACAGTGTACAAATTCGATGGCCCTTCGATGGTCCCGGAATCTTATAGGAAACCACTGTGAAAGCTGACGTTTGCAGGGCAACAGGGTAATTTAGTACTATCAACTAAGTTAATAACGTAAACTGGCCACCGTAAAGATTTTTAAAGCTAACGTTTCGAGCGTCAGCCCTTCGTCAGAGCGAAACGCCAACTTTTTAACTCTTTACGATGGCCAATTTACTTTATAGTACTAAATAACACTGTTGCCCTACAAAATTCAACTTTCATAGTGGTTTCCTTTTAGATTCCGCAACCATCAAAGGGCCATCGAATTTGTTCACATAATATCAAAAAGACAGTGGTCATATAATGAAATACTTATCGACTAGGTTTGGTAGAGCAGGACGGGAAATATTTGGCTCGAGCGCATGACGTTGAGACCGACCTCGCGCCAAATATTTTGTTCCGTCCGGCCTTCCCACACAGTCAATAATTAAATACTATTTCTGCTTTCTACAATGAAAGCATTTGATGTGAGCTGAACTCACAGAGTTCTGTTCAAATCCGAACGCAAATTGGCGCAAAAATCCGATTTATCTGTTGGGAAAGAAATGTGTCACTTTCACAAATACAGCCAAAAGATACATCAGAAACTGAATATATTACTTGACTGTATCCAACTCGATTGTGGACCCAAGTGGGCTCTATGATGGCTCACCTCTTTCTTTGTCTGCTCTCTTGGATCTCTAAGTTCCTGCTGATACTAAAACAAATTATGTTCAAATTAAAAAAAAAGATACAAGTCCCTCAGTGGTTAAGGAGATGCTTAGGGCTGGACAACATCTACCCCACTTGCAATGAAGGATGAGGAGACAACACTGTCTAGAAGTTACCATGGTGGGCTTGAAAACTTCTGCTTAGATGGTATTCGGGAGTTTCGAGTACAAAGCCATTGCCGTACTTTTCAAACGGTCAATTACTACGCTACGTTCTAGTCGGAAAAAAAAACTTACGCCAACTTCTAAAACAATCAGACTAACAACTAAAAAACATCGCAACTTGGTCACCCGCGTTTTCCCACGCTTTAGACAGTTTCGTAGCTTTCATTGTTCTCATAAACTCTTAAAGGCGTTTTTCTTCGCTTAGAAGTGGCTTCTCCGATTACCTTGGTTTTTGTTTTACAAAAATTATTCGCCCTCGGGTTACAACTTTGCACTCGTGTCACATGAGAATGAGCTCGTTTTCAGCCAACCAGACGCGCGTAATGTTTTCATGCACATTATCATTAGGATAACTCGCATGCGCATTTCCTTGGTTATTGGGGGCACCTAACCAGATTTATGCTGCAAGACGAAATCAAGTTAAGAACTACCTAGGAGCCAGTATCACGTAGCTAATTGACTAAAACAACAACGCGTCGTTAGCTCACCTCCTGTTTGTCATTGGGTCTCTGTCACAAGGCAGCTTCACCTGCACAAGTTTGAAGCATGGGTCGGATTTGTCCAAGCCAACAGCGATGAGTCGCTTCCGAGGACAAGCAGCTAAACAGGAGGGCTTGCTCTCCAATTGCAGGACACTAAGCAAATCTCCGGTCCTCACATGAAACATTTGTAAACCATAACCTGTACCAACAGTTGAAGTAACAACAATTTCCTCATCACTGATAAACTCACACCCAAAAGGAATCGCGTCGAATTTAATGGAACAGAGCGTGTTTCCTGTATCTGCACTAAGGACGAGTACATTAGTAATGAACGGCCAGTTTTCCAAAACTACAAAGCGCTCGTCAGGAGAGAAATTCCCGTAAAAAAATTCCAAATGCTCCTTCTCCCATAGAACCGATGTACCATCAGACAATTGAACAGAGCGACCGTCAGAGGATATCACCTGGAATTTGCTGTTACATGCAACACATTCTCTTGATTCAGTGGAAATTGTAGACACTATGTTGCCGCTGGACGTATTTATGATGCTGACTTCAACTCTTTCTCTAACACATGCAACGTGCTCATCTGTTACGGGAAAGATCTCCGCTATCTTGTCTAAGCTGGACCAACCTCGGATGCATTTTGATAGCTGGCAATTCCACAGCTTAGGAGTGTCGTTACTAGCTGTAACTACTATACCCTCTTTCACGGGTGCAAAATAAATGATGCCCGTCTTCCCAAAGCTCTTCTTTGCCTTTAACTTTCCACTGGAAACGTCGAACGCGGTAATAGTTGGCACATCAGCATCATTCACAACATAAACAGTCTCACCGTTCAGTGAAATTGCAATGCTCCTTGATGGAGTATTCAGAGGTCTAGATGCAAGCTGACAGTTTTCCCTTTCTTTTTTTGCATTCAATATTTCAATTACGGCCGATCTCGAATAATCATTTCTAACCACAGAGTGTGTATCCAGTACATATTCCACCGGCGGGGGCGTCTGACGAGAAAAACATGAAAAAGGGTCTCCTAACAGAAAACCGCAGACACTGGGTGTATCGCATCTTCTGGCCAGATCAAAAAAACCTTTCTCGGCAGAAAGATCAACCCAAGAGGTCTTGGTGTTCTCCTTTTTATCGACACGGAAACAATATTCTTGCGAAAAATAAGATTCAGAAACATGCAAGCAAAATAGATATTGATAATCAGGAGAGAACTTTATCATTCCACAAACTTCAGAGGTGGCTGTTTCAGCTAGAGTTCGAAAGTCATCTACCACATCAACTAGGCAAATTGAACCGCCTGCAGTGGAAATTGCGAGCAGCCTTCCATCTCGAGACCATGCAAATGACAAGACATTTTCGGATCTAGTGGTGCGAGTAATTTCAGAACCATCGTCTAGACTCCACAAAACAATGCATTTGGCATCACCAGTACAATCAGACAACATCTCTCTCCTATCTCCAGAAATCGAGCATATGGTGAAACGGCAATCGCTCTCGGGAAAAAGTGGTTTCAGTTCTCCGTCAAGGGTGTAGGCAAGGCTCAGAACTCCCGGTAGGACAAGTTCCTTGGTAGGATGAAAAACAACAGAGCGGTAATAGGAGAGTGGAAACCTTCTCCATTTTGACCTCCGGAAATCTTTCATCACCTTTGCCGGACGCTGCCATAGCATCTTAGCGGTGTGAAGTGACCAAAGCTGAATGGTACCGTTGGAACATTCGCTCACTAAATAGTCCAACTGTGGTGAAACATCGAAACAAGCAACTCGGGATGAACATTGAAAACGGACCTGAACAACCTCTTGATGCCTTTCCTCGTGTAAATATCTCATGTGTGGTATTTCTGGATATTTCGTCTCCAAAAGGTTTAACGCTTCAGAAGAGAGGTCAAAACCTCCTTTATTCAATACATTTTGCAGGATCAAGTAGGGAAGTTTTGTCAAATCTTCAATGTGCCTCCTTAATAAAAATAGCAGAGTTTCAAGGGAACACTGAGTCTTTAAATCCAACGTTCCAAGCCAGCCTTGCTTCTGAACATAAATGATATCTTCAGACGCCGCCGTATTACTGACACACAGTTTTGCATACACCAGCTCTAAGTCTAAAATATACTTCCGCACAATTTCCTCAAGGTGGTACGCTATGGTATTTGTTTCCAAAGCTAATATCTTGTGTTGAACACAATGTTGAAGGGCGTACTTTTTCCTATCATTGAGTTGCCCGTCAACACCTTTACGCTTCACCTCGTCGACGTCTTCTGCGCAAAGTCTAGAAAGGATACGATGGCCTTCCTTTTCCTCCACAGAAAAGTCGTGTTTGCCATAGGTCGCCTTGTCGGTCAACCAGTCTCTAACTGACTTGTGAAAGAAGTAAATGCGGCCATTTCGTATGGGCAGCAGAGCTGATATGGACGAGATTGCTTTACTTAATCTTCGGCTATCCGCTAAAGAAACGGTACCCAAGAACATCAATTCGGCAACAAAACCTAGCAACAAAGGCTCTCTCGCAGCCACCAGAGCACTCAAGAACGTCAAAAACTCTTCCTCTTTAATGCTCAGTTCATTGCAAAGTTCATTCTCTAGACGTTTAAAGTAGGTGTGGTAAACTGTCGAAATACCAGAGGGTAAGGAGCTGTCAAGCAAGCATGGATCGAGAGGAAAAACATTTTCTTTTAGGAAATCTACCAGCAAATGAGCATGTAAAATGAGACCCTCGGATTTTCTAACCAGTTCATCTACAACGATTTCTTGGTGTTCTTTTTTAATTACATGACTCAGCTTTCTCTCAAACAACAGTCTTATATCCCTCACGTTATCCTCATCGTTTGGTTCAAGCTTAAGAGGGTTAAACAAATTTAGACTATCTGCGATGTTCATTTCTGGCCGAGTTGTCACAAGAAATCGAATCCAATTTGGCAGCTTATGGAAGTGATTAGAAATAACATCAAGCAGTTCACTTCGTCCCTGGTATTCACTTTCATCCACTCCATCTATCACCATGAGAATATTTTTCCTTGGAGACGCCATTTTTAGCTTTATGAGGGGTTCCTCAAACAGCAACTGAAACAGGTCCTGGACTTCCATATCGTTGAGCTCCACGCCCAGATTTCTTGAAAGAGTCTCCACAAGAACATTCTTGTAAGGGGGCAGACAATCAGATAGTTGGCAAGCTAAAGACTGAAGCATTATCTTGGGATTCCTGTGGCGTGCTTTATCGTGCTGGCAAAAGTGGCTCCCTAATAATCTTCCTGCTTCTTGCATTCTTTTGCACAAAACTGCGGCGATAACGGATTTCCCCATTCCTGCATTTCCGGTGATCACCATCACACGATTTTGCGAACTTTCACCGACCAGCCAGTTCTCTACTTTCTCTAGAATCGTTATACGAGTTCCTTCTTGATACCTCTCGGTATGATAAACGACATCTTTGTGGGTGTCGATCCGTGCAAGTTTCTTAAGAATTTCTCCCTCTCTGCTGTAGTTCTTCTGTTCTTCCACCCTTTCTGCTGCATGTTTGAGTTGTTGTAAGGTTTTGTGATACTCCTTTTGGGTTCTTAACATCTCTTCAACCATCGTTTTCGTTGAATGAATACCGTTTATGTCTTCATCGCGCATCTGATGAACAGGTAATTTTGCAAGAGCTCGCTGTGTGTTGATCTGGGTGCGATGTAATTCTTCCAGTTTGAACATCGTGTCCTCAAGCACCATGTGGTCCTCACGCTGAGCCTCACGAACTTCAAAAATACTTTGCTGAGATTTGGTCTGAGAATGCTGTATCTCCATCAGCTTTGACTTCATATCCTCTTCATTTTCAGTCCATTCAAGCAACAGGTCAAGATAATCTTTTTCTCCACTGTTTTCTGCCTTCAATCGATCGATCTCTATCTGATCCAAACCAAGAGCAACTAGAACGGCACTAATTTTCTGCCACAGAGAGGAGAAAGTGGGCGTGTCAATGCTGGTGCTGGTGACGTGACCATACAACTCGTTACGGAAGAACTTCACACGAGCGAGATTTGCCTCAAGAGAGTTATCACTCGGAGATGGTTTTGCATGCCATCCTGAAAGAGGAGAGGACAGTTTGCAAATGTTGGTAAGAAGAAGAAATAGGAGAGTGATATCAAACGTATTTGAGTCTGGTGTTGCTCCACCAGGTGGGAACAGTTTGTCCCACTGGGCTGCACGCAGAACCTTTTTCTTCAAGAGAGTTTTTAGGGTTGAGTAGTTGGCATTGAGATTAGCAGAAAGATTAGCCGGAGGGTGATAGCCATCAAAAATGGTCCTCAACACTGCTGTTCCACCATCAATGAGAAGTCTGCTAAGCTTGGCTCCATTTGCCTTCTCGACAGAGCTGGCCAGGGTTGAAGGTGCACATACTGCCATAGAGTTCTGAAGGGCTATGCACCTGAGTAAGGGAGCAAGATTCATGCAGTTTGTTCAATTTATAAGGCTTAAATGCATCCAGTGTAACTTTGTAAAATGTCATTTCGGAAGGATTTCACAATCAGTACCAAGATTAGACAATATGTAAGGTGAACCTCAACCTTTATTTTGTTTGTTACTTCTGCTGTTACTTTTGCTTTCCTTCTCATGGGGATATAGTTCCATTGTTTGGTAGGTGTCTCCATATAATGGTAACAGGACCGAGTGTAGTCCAATTCGGTCTGTGATCATACGAGTAATTAACAAAATCGGACGACCGCGAAGCGGGCGTCTGATTTCTTAATGACGAGTATGATTACAGACCGAATTGGACGACATGAAGTCCTGTTACCAATTAATCAAAACTATGACAAAATTTAAGAAGGAACTAGACATCGGTTATACGTTTTCATCAAGACAAACAACAGTTGACTCGGAGAAATGCGAGACAACAGCGCGCGCACATGACGCGTTCTGTCCACTTACACGAGCATAACTTGTTAATTTTCCCTTTAACTGTCCTATTACACTGTCCAATTACAAGCACGATGCTTACACTGTCCTATTAGTGCTCAATTCGGGCTGGTGACGACCAATCACGTTAGAGAATTTTGTTATAGTTTTGATTATGCTGCTTATAAATAGAGTCAACTAATGTTACGGCTTTACTTACCCAAAGGGTCAGTTATAATCCACAGTCCTTGGTGGATTTTGTGCCTCTTTATCAGTAAACACCTCTTTAACTCTTTATTCCCTAACAGTGGCATTCATATTCCCCACACTGTTCTGTTGACATTTCCTCTGATACTGACAAAGAGAATTTGTTTGACAATCAGGAGTCTCCCTAATTGATCATTTCCTTTATTCTCATTAGCTTTATATTTAATTCAAGGGTGATAATGTGAGGAGAAATTAGAAGCCAGTCAATCTTTGGGGTTAACCCTTTTTTAACTTCCAAGATCTGATTGTTAATTCTCACCTCTAGTGACTAGGCATTTCTTTGTAAATTAGTTATGACAATTTGGGATTAGATCAAGATACTTACATCTACCTGATAATTTTTAGTCTTCTCATTACCTGTTTACAGGAAAATTGTATGGATATGGTAAAGAGAAATTACATACTAATAATTCCTGAGAGTTAAAGGGTTAATTTTAATCAAGTGTGAAATTTTTCTCAAATCAAGAAGCTGATCTAAATCCTACCTCAGCCCTGTTACATTCACTACTAAAATCAGCAAACTAACTAAAATCAAATAACACCTTACCTCTGTCTAACAAAAAGCCTAAGGTGTCAAATGTCAGCTGTGTGCTGTTTCTCGATCCCCTTGCAACTAGTTGAAAATAGAAGAAAGAGAAATTCAATGTTCAAGTCATAAAATTGATTAAATTCATCATCCTTCAGCCCCTCTGTAGTATTTGAAACTTAACCCAATTTTCCTTTGCATGCTGTAGTACAGCATACAGTGTATAAACAGTCTGATACATGATTCATATGAATCATGTCTGCATGCAGAGCAAGGGCTGATCATGAGCAAAAACTGGTCAATTTTACTTGAAAGAGTTCCTCCATACAGAGTCCAGAGAAAACCTGTTTGGTTATGTGATCATGATTGCTAGTCTCACCCAGTGAAGGTACACTTAAAAGAAGACTGTTCATGAGCAAAAACTGGCCAATTTTACTTGGAAGAGTCCCTCCATACAGAGTCCAGAGGAAACCTGTTTGGTTATGTGATCATGATTGCTAGTCTCACCCAGTGAAGGTACACTTAAAAGAAGACTGTAGAGGTGTTGCCAAATTGAATGATGGTGAGGCCAAGAGGGCAAGAGCACTACCTCCCTGAGGGTTTATCACTACATGTCCCTTAGATGTACCCTTAATTAGATGTTTTCACAGTTTTGTGGTCCTTATTCACAGATCATGGTTGATAAACGAATTTAAGACAAATTGGAAACTGAAAACTTAGAGACAAATATATCAAAACTTTTGAAAAGTTTTAAGCTAAGAAAAATTTTATCCACAACATATTATCCAATACACCATAGGACCAAGCTGTTAGACCATGAAATGCAGAGACACTAACAGTTCATTTTTCAACCCAACCACCAATAACTCAATCGTCAATTAACCCTTTAACTCCCATGAGTGACCAAGACAGCATTTCTCCTTGCAATATCAATACACTATCAAAAAGAAAAGTGATGAGAATAAGGAAAAATATCAGTTATCATAAGAAATGTGTAGCAGACAGTAAGGAGAATTACACATGAGATCTTGGGAGTGAAAGAGTTAATCCAATCACATTCTATGTAATCCTCATAAGATACCCTTTGTCACTTTCTCAACTATTGAACAATAGAAATTGTTTCGGGAATACTAATAATTCATTCAATGGAATAGTCATGAAAATCAATAAGCTCCCTTAACAAAAAAACTGCAATGGGCTGCAAATGGGAACTAATATTGGAGGAAAAAGAAGCACCATTATTGATTTGTGATCAAAACCTAAACAATTGCTGTCAGGGTTTGACTGAGCTTTCTGGGCACCACTGTCTGTTCATGCAGATCTAGCATTGTAACAAGATTCTAGTTGAAGTTCTTCTCATATCACCATCAATATGGCTACATCCATGGAAAAACTTTGAAACTGATTCTTAACCCTTTAACTCCCAGATAAAATTTGTAATTCTCCTTACTGTCAACCGTACAATTCTTATGATGTTAGGCAGAGAATTTAGTATTGGATCAACTTATCATCCCCAAAATGATATTTTTTTTTATTCTCATCACTTATTTGGTTGATATTATATTGGTTCTGTAGGGAGAAATTCTGTCTTGGTCACTCATGGGGTTAAAGGATAAACAGACATAAGTTACAACTTTTGACTCCCAGGCCCTCTCTTGAGTTCTCTATGCAACAATCTGAATGAAGCTGTAATCTTGCTGCAGCTTTGAAAGGTTGCACAATAATGTAAGTATCAAGCCAAATGACTGCTTTGCCTTTACTACCAGAGCTTGTAAAACTTTATCAAACAGGAACATAGTCCAATATTCTGGGGCGTAACTGAGATTTTCCAAAGAGGGGGTCACACTCTATCAAAGAGAGGGTATTTACCTGTTTTCACAACCTGAATATTGTAAGTTGTTTACTTAAAAAAAAAGCATACAGGAGGGGGGGGGGGGAAAGGGGGGGGGAGGGGGAGTCAACCAAACTGATGATATTTTTGCAGGTGTCCCTTCCCCCAAAGAGGATTGTTGATAGAATTTTCCCTTGAACCTCTATCCCAGAACATCTTTATGAATATTCTCCCCACTTTCTTTCATTCTTTTCCTATGGAAATGACAAGGAGAATTTGTTTAACAATCAATCGCTTTTTTAGTCTATGATTATTACCTCTATTCTCATGACTTCAATGATTAATTCCAGAACTTCTTAATGCATATTCTCCACACTCTTTGTTAAACATTTCCTATGAGAATGACAAGGAGAATTTGTAAATCAATCAAGGGCTTTTTTTGGTTAAATGAATTTTTGATCTAGCATGGATATTGTAAGGAAAAATTAGATGCTGGTCCATCTTAAAGATAAAGGATTTCAAGGTGAGGCCACTTAAATCTTGCAAATAAGACAACTGTAGGGTTTCCCTTCCCAAATTGGATCAATCTTCTGGCCCTGGCCCTATAGCTAGGGGTGACTAATTTGAATATAATTATGAACAGTGATCATAATTGCGTACATTCTCTTTTTAAATGAATTTATGCTGTTGTGGTTTAAATAACTCCAGTCCAAAAAACTGTTAATAACACCCCTCTCTTAGCCTGCTAAGCATTGGAATGGATTCAGACAAGTCTTTTATCATTTCACGGACTGTAGTACAGTTTTATGAGTATTGAGGAGTGTAGTATACACTGTAACTGATCATTAGCTCAAAAGTTTTGAAAAGGAAAGATGTAATACATCCTAATAAGAAAATTAACTTCAGAGCTGAACTTCTAAGAAGTCTACAACTTAACAAAGCGTTTGTTACACACCGATCAAAACTCCTCTTTTTCTTCCATTCGCTCATTTAAAGACCAAAAATGGAGTGCACAGATATATTAAAAATAACCTTTCAGTAATTTTTTCCATTTATTATTTACATGATATCCTTCGCAGCCGTTGTTTGATCTCGTCACGCTACGAACTTCCCTACCGTTCCTAACTGGTGGGGAGAAAGCGCGTTGCGTGACGAGACCAAACAACAGTCGCGAAGGAGACTACTATTTACAGAAATCAAAGGGAAATATTACATTTATCTAAGGAGTGATTCCCTCTTTTTTTAATTCAACGGAAAATGTGACCATTTGTCCATAATAACGATAACACCAGGGTTTGATTTCGTATTGCGTCAATAAGTATTCTGGCATGCGGAATTTCTTAACTTGACGTGCAATTAGCAATTTCAACACAAAATTTAGTATGAACTCCTTCTATGCATTGTGCTCGCATGATTACAGACTGCTTTGGCTTCTAATTAAAAAGATAATCCATATTAACCGTTACAACGGTCGATGAATATTTACTGCATTAAGATTTTTGCAATGATTAATAAGTTAGTTGATCATCTTGCCACCACGAGGGCATTATTTTCGCCAAAAATGCATGGCATCTGTAATGATTTTCCGCCTTCCGTCGCCTGCACTGGTAGATACGACGCTTAGAAACAAGAAAAGCATAAAAGGGAGCCTAGAGAAAGTATTAGCTGAGAAGCACTTTAAAAGCGTCGGCGAAGGTGTTCACAAATTTACAAGTAAGGCACAAAATCTATGGAACGTAAAAACCGCAGATAAGTTTACCGCGGTTGAAAGACCCCTTGAGCGACTAACACTCCGAAAAATAGCTTCGGAACCAAAGAACAGGTACATACCTTTCCGAAAAATAACGTTTCCTCGCCAGTTTTTCTTCTCTCCAGTATGACAACGATGTAACAGTTTTCGCTTGTAAATACAACTCTGCACTGTTTACATTAGAATAAAAGTCACAAATCTGCCCAAATAAGCGTGTCCCAGAAGCCCCAGCGAGTAAATTTAACTAGAGCAGTGGACTGCGGATTATTGCACGCACAGAGTAAATCACATATCAATTAGTTGCAAAAGGGAATGCTTTGATCGGGTGTTATTGCTGAAACCACTGAAAGTTTTCTTTTTTCGTTTTCGGAAGTCTAAACACCACAAAAGACAGAGGCTTATTTTGGGACCAGACAGTTTATTAAATGTATAATTATATCCTACGTAAATAACACACTAGACTATTACATGACAAAGATATTGGACGAATAAACTAAACCAACGGTTCAGTAATCAAGAATCAATTACAAAAGCGAATGAGATCAAGTTACAATCAAAACTGTCGATGGTGTTGGTGGGGGGAATACTAAAACTTTTTTAATGCTAGAAATAAACTTGTTCCTTTTTTGCTTGCAAGATTACCAATAACACGTGCACATATACCTAAGGGGTAATACTAAAGTAATTTCGAAATTAAAACGCGTTAGCGTGGCGAATAGCCATTGGCTCTACCCAAGTCTTATGACTTATATGCTGAACAAATTGCTCAGTCTTACAGAAAAAGGAGAGTACCTCTCAGTTATCGATGTCTAAATTCAGAGAGATTAATATTCACTATTCAAGGAAGACCGGGAAGCGCTGGAAACACATCATAGTATGAATGTAGGAATGCATAAATGCAACTTATGTTTCCCCTTCCCCTTTGACTCGCGGGATTAGTGTATTTTGTAGAGGCTGATGCGGGTATATATAGTTTTTTTTTTTGGGGGGGGGGAAGCCTTTTGCGATAGAGGGACAGACTGCAGATATCTTACGCAAAATCATTGTCTGTAACATGCCCATACACCCTAAGGAAAACTAACTCTTCTTCTATTCGTAACTCCGAGGATCACCCAGCCACGACAGTTGCACGTACATATGCGACAGTAGGCTCCATCCTTTCAGAGTTGTCGAGAAACAAAGTACTAAGCGTTTCCTTTTCTAAGTGTTTAGTTTACTAGGCTTTTAGGAGAAGGTATGAAAGATCGACGAATGCAAGTAACCACCCAACTTTTATAAGCAGGAAAAGTAATTAATTATCTTCAACATCAAACTTACATTTTGTTCTTCTTATCTTCTTCACTTGGAAGGTTGTTTACCAGGATAATTCTGAAATTTTTCTCAGAGCCTACGCTTACGTCAATTGCGATCGCATGGTTCAGCAGACAGGTTGCGAGACAATGCGTTCTGAACACCCTCTCCATCACACAGAGTAGGTCACCGCTCCTGATATTGAACAGACGAAGACCGAAATGCGGTAAGGTATCTTCGAGATCAATGACACATTCCTCATCACTGACGAACTTACAGTCAAAAAACGAAGCACCTCTACAGACAATGGAATGTTCTTTCCCGGTAGAGGCTTCGAGAACAAATGCCTCCTGATCATCACAATCATTGCGTTTCGCAGGGGAATCACATTGGTAATGTTGCACACCCGTGACCAAGAACGGATACATCTAGACAACTCAAAATCCCACAGTTCGGGACAACCACAGTCTTTGGCGATAATTACGCCTTCCGCTACAGGCGTAAGGCACTCCCTTCTTGTCCTTCCAATCATCATTCTTGCTGTGAGGTTTTCCGATCGAACGTTCCAAGCCATTACTTCTCTTCCAGCTGGAACTTCGGAAATCACATAGAGAATCTCTCCATTTAGCGAAAACGCCATCTTTACGACTCTAGATAAGTGTGGGTGATGTGCTGAATTGGCCTTCAGGAAAGCGCCTCAAGACAATTTTCTCAGCAAGGACAAAGATAAATGCTCGTTCTACAAGAAATGAGCGACCAAAGACGTTCTCATAGATACAACAAAGAGGATCTCCTAACAAAAATCCAGCTTTACTGGCAGTTTCATACTCCCAGGGTCTATATGAAACGTCACAAGAAACGCGAAGCGAAAATGTGTCTTGGTTGATACGTTTAACGCTCAGCCGATAAACGTCATGACGTCGTGCATGACTTTCATGCCAACAGAAGAGGAACCGATGGTCAGGGGAGAACTTGATTATCCCACAAACGCTTGGAATGTTTATTTCTGCCAGTATTCTAAACTTGTTTATCGTGTCAATCAAACAAATCGAGCCCGACGTACGGGAAACTGCCAGCATCCTCCCATCAAGAGAACAAGCAAACGATAAAAAATCTTCATCCCTGTGAAAACTAGCAACCTGAGAACCATTTTCAAGACTCCACAATATAATACACTTGGCATCATCTGGAAAATTTGTTACAAACCGGACCTCGGCGTTTGCATTCAACAGTGAACAAACAGTGAATATGCAGTTACTTCTTGGAAAAAGTGGTTTCAGATCTCCATCAAACGAATAGGCTGAACTGAATTTTTCCTGTAGATACCTAAAGTATTACAGGTACAGTGAGCGAGTCTCCCTATGTTAAGGCTTTGATCTCTGACTTACGGATCCTGGCTCTATGTATGAGAACGATTGACGGCCAACTCAAACAAAAATGAAAAATAACAACCCTAATCCCGTATCTGTGATGGTGCTAACATCCCAAACGTTTTGGTTTGTAAAATTTAAGACTTTTTCATGGTTCTCCCGTAATTTTTTTTTTTAGCTCAAAATGTTTCACTGATTTGAAAAGTGCTCAAAGTATGGTGAAAGTGTGCAATAAACTGGGACTAAGACTAAGGTTTAACTCATTTTAATTTCGCGAGATGTTTATAAAACATATAAACATATAATGTAAGGATGTAAGTCTAAAATTTAACGGACATGGCGCTTTCTGTTGTTTGGATGTCAATGATGTTTTAGGTACGGCTTCGTTTTCATGCTGACCAAAAAAATCATAGGGACTGAATATTTAAATCTTTTGTTCTCGATTGAATTTGTTCTACTTCCAAGGCATTACTGACGGACTAAACCGGCTGAAAAACACATAATTGGCAAGAAAAAGCTGATTGAGTTTGTTATAAAGAAAAGAACATTTGGTCGACACTGGATAAAAAACAGATTTTACACTTGATGAGGTCACGTGACGAGTCACATGATGCTGGGAAAGCCCCTTTTTGGCTTCTTATATATATATAAAAGGCCCTACCAAGCAATCTCATGTATTACAATTTAATGAGTTTTGGTTTAAAAACAGCCGGTTTCAGAGGCCGAACAGAGCCTCGCTTTCGTGGCGAGCGTCAAGTTGAAGTAATTAATTCCCGACATCACCTTCCCTGACTACAAATCAATTGTGCAAAGTACCTGACAATGAAGAGTAGTCATTGCTCTACAAGAAGATGGCATCAAACCTTTGGTGGTGCATTTTTCCATTTTTGGGGAATCTGCTCCTAGACTAGATCATAGTGTAAATATTTGTTTCTTCGGGCGACTTGACTATATGTCGGGAGATATGATTGAAATTTCGGGTGACATGACTCAGGTTCCGTGCGACATGCTTTCGCGCGAAATGACCTTCGGGCGACTTGACCATTTACCTCGATAAGCCCTGGATTACTGAGACTGAGCGAGTAATCACATACTGTATTCCAGGTCTTTTTTTTCCGAAGCTTGAACTCTAGAAATGGATAACTCGCTAAAATGCCCTCGTTTAAATAAAGTAAGCGGTCAGACAACTAGCGATGCTCTGTGGAAGTAAGGTGAGGTATTTTTATTGAGAATTTACTGACTTTTTACTTCCTGAGTAAATATTCTCATACAAACTCTTATATTTTCGCCATGACGCTTATTACGCTAGATGATAGTTTCATAGCTGAAGCTTGGGCCGCCCTTGGTACCAGGTCCGCCCGAAAACTCATATACCCTGGAATAAAAAGTAGCCAGACTAATTCTTTTTTGATTAAAAAAAAAAGGGAAAATGTAGCCATCAAGTGTTCTCGGTGATATGTGTTTTGATGTCAAAAAGGAGCTCTCTCTCGTGAACAAAGGTCTCTCTATAGTCAACGGCGCAACAATTGAAATAGTTAAAAGAACAAAGACAGATACCATCAACAACCGAAAGTGGAAAGGTATGCACAAAATCAACAAATTGTGCATCATCTTACTGTGAGTACAAATGCCACCTGGAGGCAAAAATACCAATGCTCGCTGAAATTTTTAGCGCAGTTGTAGTCAGGTCAAAAACTACAACAAGCTATGTCCAAAGCCGAAAATAGCAGTGACTCGAATTTCGAGAAGCTTATTGAGCTGTAGGCTCGCTAAGGTCTCAAAACAAACGGCCAATATCAACAGGAAAAGCTTAACTTGTAAAAATAATTTATCGGACTATTTCAAAGTCTGGTGACTTTTTTTATCATTCTTCGTGTCACCAAGCCGGCAATGAACGCATATCATGCCCGAGACAACAATCAACGTAACTATAGATTTCTATCATCTAGCTTAAGTTTCTGTATTTGGGGTTACCCAGGTTTCTTATCATTCTGTTAATCCTCTAACCCCTAAGAGTGACTAGCATCTAATTTTTTCTTACAATGTCACCCCTGAATCATGCAGTAAGGTCACGAGAATAAAGAAAATTATCAGCAGCTAAAGAAGTTGTTGATTGTTGTACAAATTCTCCTTGTCAGCACCTTAGTGAATGTATGGGTAACAGAATGGAGAATACCTTTATTGATGTTAAGGTGTAAAGGGTTAACGCTCAGAAAACCTCCAAAAAAGCTTGAATCAATTGTTTTTTAAGATCCACCTCAGCATTATTCAGCTTGCACGGTCGGTACTGCATGTATAAGAGGGTCTCAATGGGGTGATGGCTCTTACGGCTAATGGGTAAAATTTTGGCCAATTTACGGCTATCGGTTAATATCTGTCCACTGTGGTCAACAGAAAAATTTTTACGGTTAATTTTTTTTTCCACGAAGGGTTAAAATTTGTCAATTTTTACGCCTAACGGCTTAAGTTTTTGGTTAACCCCTAAAGACCCTCACATATGTACTGGTTGCATTTTGTTTGAACGCCTAAATTTCGCTTGAGAAGCGGGAGTGAGTTTCGAATTTTCAAAATTGAAAAGGACCGGGAGGACCAGGGAGTTGAGGGAGCGGGGAGCTTGAGCTACAAGCGTGTTAAAGATTTCTACCATGCCGCGCGTGCTGCCGTTAGAGGAGATTGAGATCGTTGTCACGCACGCTTCCATTCACAATGAAACTATGTTTTGCAGTTTTCAGGAAAACAGGAAGTGTATAAATCACCCAATCTTGCAAATATATCTCAAAAGGTAGTAATTTACAATAAACATCTACATCACGTGTGCAAATTTATGAAGTGTTAAACTGAATCTCATAATCCTTAAGTGGTTATTCGCAAAATCAAAACATTTTTTCTCACTCACGTACATCTAACAGGAACGCAAATGTTACACGCAGTTACATAGTAATATAACTCAGCGGCTGATGAAATCCAAACAAAGATGATTGTCATCCGTGATCGGTAAAGCTCCAAGCTCAACTGCGAACAGCACGTAACAACACATGGCCTGTATTTTGGTAATGGAGCCGGCGAACAGTCATTTAGCACGGGGTTTTTCCGAATCATGCTCCGACAGAAACCCGTGTTGAAAGGTTCTATTCACCAGATTTTTCCTGTTAAAATGTCTCCTTTTGTTGCGGTTTCCTTTCTTAAATAACGTCAGTCTTTCCCGATTAACTGCGCTGACACCCTTGTCATGTTGTATATTCCACACGCGTCGCTCCAGTGAAAGTAGTCTGGTATCAAAGCGGTACAAAAAGTAACACATAAACGCTATCGTGCACAGCGCCACCAACAAGTTGAAGATAAATCCATAGCAGAGAGAAGTGTTACGGTTTTTCCTGTGCATCGCGCTTCCCTTTTTCAGTTCTTCAAGTCTAAAAATTCCTTCTTCACGTACATCGTACCCTAGTCGTGTCAAGGTCTGTTTGCCGTTAGTAGCCTTTGAGTAATTGATAATGCGTTATGCAGGATAAGATTTCAGCAAAAATATGCAGCATAAACACAAATATTATGACTCTTGGAATGCGTGTAATCTTCTTGTTGAAAGCTGTTTGGAGGCCAAATTTTGAAATCGATCTTCTAGAAGAGGACCACACCAAAACACAAGGAATTAAACAGCTGTAATTTTTATTAAGATGGCACTGAGCCCAAGCTGATATTTATCTACAGTGATTATCTAATTAATTTACTGCTTTCATTTCTGTTAATGTCCTTTAAGAAGTTAATTCCATTGTATTCGAAATGTTGACATTTCTGGACGTCGGCATTTCCACGGCTAATACGTAATACGTAAGAAAAGATTTTTCTAAAGAACTTATGTTCAGTTCCAACGCCGCAAAGTTTAAAACTGTTTTGAAAATTCAGCCACCCCATGCTGAAAAGATAACTCATTGAACTGTAAACATGAAACAAGTGTTGTAAGCAGGATCTGACAGTTTTCATAGACAAAAACAACCTTTGAGACGCTTGTAATGTGCAGCATAAAAATAACAATCGAAATTGATATTTTGACCCATGTAAGATATGCAAACCGCGAAGAAATTATCTTTGTACCGAGGGGATTTGCAACTAAAGACATTGCAGTGACAATTTTTTTGCAATTCCTGAATTTCAGCTGGCATGCAAAGATCGTTCCTTTTCTTGTGGCTTGAAATGTTGCCAGTTGTATTTACCTACGCCTTTGGCGGATTGCCCTCGACTGCAAATAAAGTTCCGCAGAAAAATTTCCGTGTGATAAAACGATGCAAAATTCTACCATTCTCACTGAGTAAAAGAAAGCACAGTGCACGCGAATCAACCAACTGTCAATTCGTGTTTTCCGTATTCGGACTGAATCACCCTGCCCGCTATCATACTCGTGGGTACTTTTTGAAACCATAGTTCGTACAACGTCAGGATCGCAAATTTCTACTCAACTTGAAGTATATAAAATTTACTAATCTTAGAATATGTTTTAGCTAATATGGGCAAAAGTGCGAAGGGAAAGAAAGGTACTTTCTTAATCAGAGTATGGACCCTAACTGCCCCCCCCACACCCCCATCAAAAGTTCCTGGATCCCCTCCCCTCCTCGAAACTTTCGTCCAGGCATCATCTAACGTGACACTTCCTCCTTTATAACTCGACACGCTTTAGGAAATTTGTAAACACGAGGGTTTTTATATTTCTGTTGCTTAACGGCGAAAACGAAATTTTCCTGGCAGAAATTTCAGCGAAATTAAAGCACAGAAATTTGTTCCCCCCAAAAAAGAAAGATCGTCAGTCAGCAGTATTCAAGGTTGAACAGGTAACAATCAGGAAATCCAACCCTCTGCATTGACACCGTGAAACTTCCATAAAAAGAGTTTCTAGATCCGACGATTGCGATAACGCCGTCAGATAATCGAACATCTCATCGTCTTTTCACTGATTAAGAAACTCGACATCACAAGCGAAAGTAGCAGATAGCCACTAAGCTCTCTTTTCTCATTTTGGACGACCTGAGGAGAGAAGATATGGAGAGGGTGGGGTGGGAAATGGAAGTCTTCTCCTATTTTGTGACACTCGAAACTGGACCTGTGCGCGAGAAATAATTCTAAATTTTGGATGGGAATGTAGCCAAATTCGGATGGGGTTTCGAATTTCGGATGTGAGGGTAGCCATACCTCTGGATTGTTCAACATAGTTTCAACATGACAATCAACGAAATTAACACATATACATATGGCTTTTATCTAGCTTTATCTAGATCGTAACAGTAATCATAATGATAAAATCCCCTAAGGGCTACATTAGCTAGCCTTTTAGACACCAAGTAAAATCCATTCTTTGGGTAAAACTTAAGCGCAGCCTCCTGAGCGCTGGTTGTCAAAAGAACTATTTGTTTATATCCTATCTCCTTTGCAAAACTTAATAGTACATGTAACAATTTCTTAGCAACACCAAGTCGACGAAATTCGGGTGAAACAGCCATTCTCCGAAGTCGACCGACGGTGTCCCGAGGCTTTCCGAAACAAACTTCGTGCTCACTGCCGGGAACAAGGGCGACCATGCCGATGATTTTGCTGTTAAGTTCAGCCACCCACATATGGGACCTTTTCTGGCCTAAATAGACATTCTCTACGTTGTCTAGATCGTTGCGTAAGCAGCTTCGAATGTACCTTGAAAACCCAATGTGCAGTCCAGTGAACAAGGCAACCAATAAAAAAAATAAAACTAAAAGGTAAATTGATAAACACCAAGGAGACCATATGAAGTTTAAAAGTGCTACAGGGAACGATAAAAATAATCCATAAAAAGCCACTTGGTACATGACGTCACGAACAAGGGGTCCTCGCATTTCTCCCATGCTTTGCGTAAAGATCTTGCGAATCATGGGACTGTCACGTGACTCAAATGACCTAATGATGACGTCAATGTTCGTATCTTGTTCAGCTTCCCTACCACTCGTTGAGAAAGACTCCTTTGATTGTTTCATTCCTATACAGAAAAAAAAATTATCAAGGGTTAGTGGAAGTTTTGGAGTCGTATCAGTTGAAGAGGGGTTCCGTTACAAACTATTTTCATTTTAAAACTTCTTTTAAGTCAGTTAGATCTCCATAATGTCAACCTCATCCATGCAACTTTGACCAATAATTAGATATCATGAATGCATAATAATAATAACAATAATAATAATAATAGTAATAATAATAATAAAAATAATAACAGTCTTTATTCAGGAGGCTCACTTCACTAGAAAGTGGTATTCTGTGAGGCCCTCTAAAATAAAATAAAATAAAATAAAATAAAAGTTATCATAAATAGATAACAAGTAAAAACAAAAAAGCTATGAAATAAAAGTTGATTGTAGAGGCTAAAAATCTAAATTCATAGTTTTTCATTCTTTGCTTTAAAAATGAAGAGAGAGTTGATTTCTTTGAAAGAAGTATCTAAAAGACTCCATTCTTTTACGCATATGTATAAAAGTCTTTGTTCTCCCTTGTTTTTTCAACTAGAGGAAGGAAAATCATTCTTTCTTCTTGTATTATGGTTGAGCAATGCATGGTTGAGCAATTAATGACAATTCAATAGCACCACTAGCATCTGTACTGGGGGGGTAGGTACTCCCTAGTAATAGGTTACTGGGAATGTGCTGCTGGATGGGACCACATTTTTGATACAGTATTAAAATTGGGTCTCACGTTAGGATGACCCCCTTTAAAGGTTTCATGAGGTGATGCATATTTTAACAATTTGTCTGCAAGTAGGTAGCATTCATAGTCTAACCTTTGAATTGCAATAACCCTTTTTGAAGTTAAGCAATTGACTGCACTTTCTGTCAGTTTATGGATGTAATTGCCCCTGTAGGATGATGGGAGAACATGAGGAAATAAAAGTTTATAATCCACGAGCCAGAGGTAAGAGATCTAGAAACTTTTTGTGTGTTTAACCAACATCCCAAGTGGGTTATTACACCAGTAAACATGTAGTAGGAGTATTTAAAAAAATGTATCAATTTAAGTCAAAAGATGAGTGTATTATCTTTTTATTACATCTAGGAGAGATTTGCACAAGGGTACTACTTAGAGTTCATAAAACTCATTGTAATGTCTACAAACACTTCCTTAATGCCATCAATGTCCACCTCAGGCAAAAGAAATCCCATGATGATAATAAGTTGCATGAAAAGGATCAGTAGACAGATAATATAGAGCTCTTTATTTTGTGTTTGTAGCTAACATAGAGTTGCACAAGAACAATAACAATTAAAATGTATATTTTAGAGCTCATTGCCAATGTCAACATATTTGCATTGGCTCCCAGCATATTCTTTGTGGTGGACAGCTGTCCAGTTGCTGCAAAAATGGGCTATTCTATTTTTCCATCTAACTGCCACCCCTTTTTTCATGGAAGGCAACATTTGGCACAGGGCTCTAATGGAGTATTTTTCTAAGAAACCAACAAAATTTTGAGCCCTCCAACTGCAAGTAAACTAACACAAATATGAGCCCTCCAATTGCATTTAAACTAACATAATTTTGAGCCCCACAACTACAATTAAACCAACACAATTTTAAACCCTCCAACTGTAATTAAACAAACACAATTTTGAACATCCAAGTGCAATGTTTAAAGGTGCTGTCCACTAAAAATAAAGTCAAGTGTTAAAACTTGGCCTTCCCTAGGGAGGGTTGAGATGAATAGTGGAATGTCCCAATGAATAATTCTATCAATCAGATGATCCATACATTGCCAACAGTTAATAATTATTTCCTGAAGTGGAGATCAGTAAAGATGGATATTTTCCAAGCCCCGAAGTGGAAAGGTAAATATTCACCAGTTTCACACTGAGGTGAACAATTGTCTTATTACGTACCACATAGATACCAAAAAAAATTTTTTTTTTTCAGATACTGAAAAATGCTCAGAAATTTAGCTCTTGACTTGCCATTTTATCTTATCAGCTGCTGGGAAGTTAAGCGCACTTGCAATTCACTTCTAAACTAGCCAATCAGCGTGTGCAAAAGGCACCATTCACTTGTGTGGTATAACCTTTTACACCCTAACATCAGCAAAGGTATTCTTCATACTGTTCCCCATTCATTCCCTAATGTGCTGACCAGGAGAATTTGTGTAACAATCAACAGCTTATTTTGCTGCTGATAATTTCCTTTATTCTCATGACCTTACCACAGAATTCAAGGGTGATATTGTAAGGAGAAATTAGATGCTAGTCATTCTTAGGGATTAAAGGTATAAACTAATAAATAAAATGGTAAGTGTTAAAAAAAACAACATACCAGTCATATGGGAATTTTTTTAACTCTTAAAATCCCATGAGTGACTAAGAAAGAATATCTCATTATAATATCAAACATTATCAACCAGAAAAGTAATGAGAAAAATATATCAATTTGGGGATTGTTAGTTGATCCAATACCAAATTCTCCAACCTAACATCTTCAGAATTGTATGACAGACAGTAAGGAGAACTATTAATGAGATCATGGGAGTGAAAGGGTCAGTGGATAGGGAATGTAATTACAAGCTTAACATTTTAACTCCCACAAGTGATCAACATAAAATTTCATCCTATAATATCTATACATCATTCAGTAAACAAGCAATTAGAATATTCAAACTTATCAGGGAGTAGCTGCTATCTTGATCTAGAACCAAATTCTCTTAACTAATTTACAAGGAAACGAGTACCAGTTCTGAGAGTGGAGAATTAACAATCAGATCTTGGGATTTAAAGGGTTAAAAACAATTAAGGCTTGCACAATTAAAAAAAAAAATCGTAGGATTGCTAGGATTGGAGATATTCCAGGTCTTTCACAGGGCTAGCTTTCGTGAGCTTTAAAAAATCCTAAAGTACCCATAAAATACCCATTATTTAATACTTCATGCTTACCTTAAACTCATTTGATGTTGAAGATGGGTCTAAAGGGCTGTAAAGGTTTTCCGATTTAGTTTTCCACACCACGGTTAGTTGGTAAATTGGACGGAAGTGCATACGATAGTACAACGAGAGCCCGTATACGATAAATATCGTTTGATTTTTGTCAGCGGTCTTGCTGTTAGAATATAGGCCATCATGTAGGGTAGATAGAATGTGCTCGTTCCACTGACCTTTTATTTCATTTTTTACTTTTTACTTTCTTTGTAATTAACCGTGTTCCTCTTCTTCTCTTACTACCTAGTTGTCTTTCACTTTTTTGTTGTTGTTTTTCTGTGTTTCTCTTTAGCTTCCTCTGCTATTTTCTCTCCTTGGCCAGGGCCAGTTCGACTATATTGTAAAGAATTACCACTGAATTTCGATGAAACGTCGAATACTTACTAACTTTAAAGTGGCAAGGTTATGAATGAAAGAATGCATCTTTTTTGCAGTAAACCTCTTGGTCGATTATTTTTAGTTTAGTCTGGTTTAAAGTAGTTTAGTTTAGTTTTGTTTACAATAGTCCAGATTAGTTAAATCTACTTTAGCAGGTAATTTAGTGTTAACAACTGGGTTGAAAACGTAAATTAGCCACCGTAAAGGGTAAAAAAGCTGACGTTTCGAGCGCTCTGACGAAGGGCTAACGCTCGAAACGTCAGCTTTTTTACCCTTTACGGTGGCTAATTTACGTTTTCAACCCAGTTGTTAACACTAAATTACCTGCTATACTCTCCCACCGACGCAGCACCACAGTTTCTTTAGAAACTTACCCCTTTATTCGTAAATCTACTTTAGTTTAGTCTAGTTTAGTCTGGTATAGTTTATTTCAGTTATATAAATATTTTAGTTTAGTGTAGGCTAGTTTATGATAATAATAATAATAATAATAATAATAATAGTGATAATAATAATAATAATAATTTTTCTGGCTAATTCACGTGATTCTGGCGACCAGTCGAAAGTTTCAGCCTGCATGAGGAGAAGCAGTGGGAGGAATTTTGGGGGCATCTCGTGCTTTGGACGTTTTGTCGTTTCTAACCGAGTTTAGAAGAGGGACTATCAGTAGAAAATTGACTGCCAATGATGGAGATCATGAGAATACTACAGAGCCTTTATGGAGGATCAGGTTAATTTTAATGACACACTTTAATGTCTGTTCCGCAGGCTTCAGATTTGTGGAAGGTATATGTAGTTCTAAAAATGGTCAAATTAGATCCTGCTATGAAAACCGTAAGTAATTTCGTTTCGCCAAACTTCGTTGGTTTCAATACAAATGTTATACATTGCAGGATTTGAGATCACTGCAAAACCGTAAGTTGTGATGTTATTTACCAAAGCAACAACTCGGATGCTGCAGGGGCACGACCCTGATTTCTTGGGTACAGACACTATTAAGGGCCATACTATCAACAATTTTTTCGTTAGCCGACGATTTGCTGGAATGCACCGGCGATCACCACTTTAGACTAACGATCGCTACTTTGAACTGATGACTGCCCCTTCGAACTTGGTATTGTCAATTTGAATTAGCGATTACCACTCTGAACTGGGGAGTGCCACTTTGAACTAGAGATTGCCACTTTGAGCTTGAAGTGGCGAATTGCCAATTCATAATAGCGCTCGCCAGTTCAAAGCTGCTAAACGCCATTTCACGAAAAGTGTTCATAGCGTGGCCCTCGATGGGCACCGTACTTAGGGGTTCATTTTAGAAATTTCCTCCTCCCGTCCCCCCCCCCCCCCCTCAATCTTTCTTGATGGATAGTTGACGTGGTTTTGAGATAATTTCTCAGGCGGTTGAAAGGAACTACACAAAAGTAGCCGAGTTCTGTAACCAATTAATGCAAAGTGTGACAAACTTCGAGAAACATGTTGGTCGTCAGTATGTTTTTACAAAAAAAAAATCACTAATTAAGTCAGTGAAATGCGCTACAACATGACGCTATTGTCCAATTACCAAAGCATGACTTGTCACCTGTCCGATCAAAAGTAGAACTGTCCAATTACAAGCATGACGCGAACACTGTCCTTTTAGGGCGGGTGATAACCAATCATTTGAGAGTTTTGCTGCGGTTTTGATCCATAGGGAACGTCCTCGATAGGGATAACCTCATGTCGGCTCCATATAAGTATATTGAACGTAATAAACATCATGATTTGATTTGACTCGCTAAATAAGGTTACCGTCAAGACATATTTCAGGAATTTCTCAAACCAATAGAAATATTCTGGAAAGTAAGAAGACGATTGTAGATCGGTGATGTGGATTCGGCCATATACTTTAATCTTATTCAACAATTATTATTTGTACAGCGTAAATTATTCCGTTAATCTTAGGTAAGCTTCACTCTTGATAACGCGCAGTTCTCTGATCAGTGTCTCTGGAACTTTCCCGCCAAAAGCCAGTCTTGGAGGGAATCTGGGAACGCCCAGATTTTGTCGTGTCCTTACCGAACAGCTCCTCAAATTTGTTGTTCCACTGTTGGACATATTTATCTTCTGTCTGCTGCTGTTGCTTTTGTTTTTTGAGTAAGTCCTTTAGTTTATTACTTGAGCTGTGACCTGCTCCTTGGCTAAACCCAAAACCACTCCGCTTACCTCTAATATTGTCTGAAGGAGCGGATCGGAAGGGAATGTCTGATACTACTGGAAAAAAGAAAAAGCCAAGGCTCATGCTAAGTCTCGTACCCAGACCTTTCAAGTCCAATTTCAGTCACAGTTACCGATAGGATCTGGGTACGAGATTCGGTTATGCTTTGATTGAGGCCCACAGCAATATTTTAATCATCCACTTTATCAAAGATCAGTCTTTATTTATAGCAGGGTGGGAGGGGGTGGGTGTGGGGAGGGTCGGAGGAATTTTTTGTGCGTCATAATAATCCCCTTAAGGCTGTGTAATATTCTAACGATCTCCCCTCATTGGCAGTCAATGTTTTATAGTCTCCCCCTTATGCTCTGTTAGCACGACTGGTCTCTCATCCGTTCCCCCTGGATCCTCTCCCAAAAAATCCTCTTACCGCCCCCTCCTTTTTTTTAAGGCGATAAATAATGACGGGGACGGGTAACCGCTTGAATTAAACCGGAAGGGGTGACCCAATGCTATATGGAGGTCTGAATTTTTTAGGCTTCTTTCTCTGCACTGTTTTTTTCCTTTTTCAATGTGAAGATCAGCTCGTTACTTGAATATGGTTGAAGCATTAATACGAATTGCATACTGAAAGTAGTTAAGTTTTTTATCCATTTAAAGGCAGCTCTGACATTATTCCCCCCCTGCTTGGACACAAATGCGAAAAAAAAACTTTACGGCTCTTTTTCTAACTTGCCTTCATTAGTCGAGCGCGGCATCAATATTCGGCTTGAAATTCCTCCGACAAGGTTCAAAAGAAGAAGAAAAGTAACGACGAATCTTTCCATAGCACAAAAGGTAATTTTTTTCTGCAAAAAAAATCGCACAACTCAAGTTTAGAGCGGGCCCATGAGCGCACAAGCTAACCTCCGATCAGACGATCTTTTTCAAAGGGAGAGCGATTGGCGGTCGTAACTAAAAGTACACACGAGTGACTACGAGCGACTACGAGTGACTGCGTGTGACCGCAAGTAAGAAGTTATCAGAGTATTTGGCTGACATCATCATTACGTCGTCATTACGTCGTTCAACCAATAATCATGATTCAACCGTAAATAAATTAATTCCTGAGGCTGAAATATATAAACAATGCATCATTTTCTTTTATTCCAAAGCGTAATTTCTGGAGATAGACTCCGCTGTCAAAAAATAATATGCAATATTATCGTGTTTCTCTCGTGTGTGGTGTCGACGTTTCCGCCCTCTCGAGAATCCCGCTTCCAACTTTTCTGTTTCTCGTATCCTCTTCGAATTGAAGGAAAGAAAGGAAGGGAGGGATGGAAAGAGAAAGGACGGAAGGAAGAAAGGAAGAGAAAATTAATGGAAAGAAAAAGAGCAAAGTAAACAAAAAGAATTAAATTAAAAAGTTCAAAGAAAAAAAGTAAACAAAAAAGAGCGACGAGTGGTGGAAACCGGGAAGGGCGACAAGCAGCAGGAAAATTACACAAACAAAAACCTTCCCCTTTCCCATTCTGTTGAAGGCCCGCTCTAGATTATACATTATTTACAAATTTCAGCCTCTGCAAATATTTTGTCAGTTAAATCATGATTATTACATAAGTATTTTTATAGGATTTTATTTGTACTTTTCATAATGTACACAAAAAATACGCACTTCTGATTGGCTAAAAACGAGTGCGTTCCATGTAATACGAGTGCAAAATTGTAACATTGGTGCAAATTACAAATAGCGCGCGCATACCTCAAAGTTCGTTCGCCTCGACCCTCTGTGATGTTTTTTCATGTACATTATTAACACTTGCAAATTTTACAAAGACTTCAATTTATACTTGCCCGACGGGCTCCTCCAATTTGGCGTCTTTGTAAAAATTTTTCGTGCTTATTAACACCAAATTGTACCCGAAATCATGTTAAGACCTATACATGAAGTGTCACAATGACGATATAACTATGATGTCAGCCAAATATACTGATGCCTACTTTTGGTCACTAATGGTCACTTGTGGTCACTCGTGATCACTCGTGGTCACTCGTGGTCACTCATGATCACAAGATACGCTTGAGTTTATCTTCGCTTGAGTACGTGAGCGTGCGTAAATGTGTGTAAACGTGTCAGTTCCTAAATAAGAATGTACATGAGCACTTTATTTGAGCGTACAGCTGGTGGCTTGCAGGTAAGGGGTAAGCAGGATATGGAGATTAAACGTCTAAACCGTTTATTGCCCAATTTCCTTCCCGCGGTAAAACTTGGCCTATCAAATATGAAAGGATTCCTCACCCTGGGAAGCAAGTTGTGCTTCACTTTCCCGAGGTCGGTCCTAACGAATGAACTAAAAAACCACATGGAAACACATAATAAGACAGAAGTTCATTCAAGCCATTGTTGTCTTTACAAAGTAGCCTGATCAACAAAAAATGAGCTCAGACGTGTCTAAAAGTACGTGAGGGCAAACAATTTCAACGCAGCCAACGCCTAACAAATGAAGTTTAAAACTTGTGAATTTTGAGATCAAA